GGCGGGCTCGACAGCCGGCAGCACGACCACGAAGCCCTCGGCGCAGAGCAGTCGCGTCGCGTCGGCGTCGGCCTTGAACGCGAGCCGGGACGACGAAAGCGAGCTGCTGACGTCATACACGCCCAAGGCCTCGTCGTCTACAGACTCCCCAGTGAGCCAAGGTGCGCGCCCGCCACCTTAACCTTGACCTTCCCCTTAACCTACCGCCACCTTAACCGTAGAACCAACCGCCATCTTAAATGTTGGGTACCAGCGAGGGAGAGCCTGAGCGCGCTGCGGGTGGGGCTCGCGCGGCAGCTGGAAGCGGTGGAGCAGCGGCTCGAGGAGGCCGAGGCCAGGAGCGCGGAGGACCACCATTTTGCGGCGGACATGCACGCCTGGAACCTCCAGCTCCTCGCCCAGCAGAAGGCCGACCAGCAGAGGATCCGAGAACTCGAGGAGATGTGCAAGGTGCGTGTTCTGTGTGTGCGGTGGTGTGCGGTGGTGTGTGTGCGATGGTGTGTGTGCGATGGTGTGTGTGCGGTGTGCGGCGGGGAGACGGGGGCCTCGGCTGACTGGGTGTGGGCAGGCGCTGATGGACGAGAAGGAGGAGCGAGGAGGCAATGGCGACGACAGTGGCGATAATTACCTGCCGCGCCAGGAGGAGCTCCAGACGATGACGCGGGACCAACTCAACGAGGTCGAGAGGCGACAGGAAGAATACCTCCTCACCATCCGCAAGATCAAGGTCCTCCTCTTCCCCCACACCAGAACTATGATGAAGCAGATATATCTTTATATCTTGTCTGACACGTCTTCTCTCATATCTGCTCTTATTTGTTTGTTACCTGTTATTTGTTTTTTCCCACAGATCAGCCTCATCCGGTGAACTGGGTGTTCCTTTTTTCATTTCCCAAGTTGTTTTTTATTTGCACACAATCCCACAACACACGGCCGCGACACCCACCACAACGGGTCCTCAACTGCTGGATGCATCGGAGGGTGGGACACAACCGACGCCTTCTCAGGGCTCGTCGACGAAGGTGGAGGCGCCAATGGAGGTGTTTGTGCGCACGCTGACGAGCAAGGCCTTCGTGATCGTCTTCTTGTTGTCCGTTCTGATTGAATAAATGTGTATATTTTTTGTTCGCCACACTGTTGAGCTGACCACATCAGTGACACCAAGTACGACATACCCACGGGTATGTCTGTGTATCTGTGAGGTATCTCTGTGGCACATTGCCATCTTCACAGATGACGGGATCTGATTCTTGATTAACTAGGAAGAGCCATTCACTCCTGTTACCACACCTGCACCCGTTTGTTGCTGCTGTCGGCCACAATGATGTGGCCCGTCGCTGCGTCGACCGCCACGCCCGTAGGACGGTTGAACTGGGCGGGACCGCCACCCTGGGAGCCGAAGGTGCGAAGGAAGGACCCGTCGTAGGCGCGCCACACCTGCACCCGATGGTTGCCCCAATCGGCCACGATGACGTTACCCGCCGTGTCGACCGCCACACCCGCGGGGCTATTGAACTGGTCCTGGCCATGACCCCGGGAGCCGAAGGTGCGGACGAAGGACCCATCGGCGTGCCACACGTGCACCCGATGGTTGCCCGAGTCGGCCACAATGATGTTGCCCGTGGCCGCGTCGACCGCCACGCCCGCGGGCTGTTGGAACTGACCGGGGCCGGCACCGCGGGAGCCGAAGGTGCGAAGGAAGGACCCGTCGTAGGCGCGCCACACCTGCACCCGATGGTTGTTGCTGTCGGTAACGATGATGTGGCCCGCCTTGTCGACCGCCACGCCGCGTGGGCATTGGAACTGGCCGGGACCGGAACCGCGGGAGCCGAAGGTGCGGACGAAGGACCCGTCATCGGCGCGCCACACGTGCAACCGGTGGCTGTAGATGTCGGTCACGACGATGTGGCCGTTGGCATGGTCCACCGCCACGCCCCACAAGGTCCCTATCTGGGCACCCGAACCCGGGGTGGTGCCCCAAGTGCGGACGCACGACCCGTCGTCGGCGCGGCACACGTGCACCTGGCTGCAGTCAGCCACGACGATGTGGCCCGCCGCCGCGTCGACTGCCACGGCCCATGGCCTTCTGAACTGGTCAACCGAACCGAGAGTACGCTGGGCCGCTGTCATGACAGTGTAGTCGCGCACAACACCACCAGCAGCAGCCGTGCGCCGCTCCAGGCGACCCGACGAGCCCACCGCCTCGGCCCACGTGTCTTCGCTTGTGAGTGCGATGCTGCTCGCCTGCATTCCTCTCGCCGCCGCCGCCGCCGCCGCCGCCGCAGTCCTCGCCGCCTGACAGACTGCTGCCGAATCGCCCCAAGTGGCCGACCGACCGAGCCCACCGCACTGCAGCAGCTGCTGCTGCTGGAGGGCCTTCCCGGCTGCCGCCAGTCGCGTGTGGGCCTCCGCCAGCTGGGCCTGCCGCTTGGCCGCCGCCTCGGCCGTAGTGCGCTCCCACTCGTCCACCTCGGCGCCTAGCACTCTCTCGCGCTGGGCCACGGCCTCGCGCATCTGGTCAAAGTGCTGCTTGATGGCCGCCCTGGCCTCGCGCGCGCTCGCCTGTTCGGCGGCCTCGCGCGCCGCCTGGCGTTCCACGGCGGCCTCGACCTCGCCCATGGCAGCCTCGACCTGGGCCAGCTCGACCCGCGCGGCCTCGCGCACTCGCTGCTCGGCCTCCTCGATGGTGACGGCATCGTGGCCCTTGTGCGGCCCCGCCACGAGGCACACCACGCACACGGCCACGCCGTCGCGCTCGCACCACATCTCCACCTTCTTGGCCCGGTGGTGCTCGCACGCGGCGCGCGGCTCGGGCGCGTCGGCCGACGCCACACGCACGTGGCTCCGCAGCGCAGGGAACCCGTGGAGCTGCGCGTCGCATGCCATACACAGGTGGGCGCCGCCGCACTGCTCGCAGAACTTCTCCGCCGCCGCTTGACTGCAGTTGGCGCACTTGAGCGCCGCGGCGGCGGCGGCGGAGGTCTCTACAGTCGGCCGCGGCTGCCTCATGGCCGAGGAGGAGGAGGAGGAGAGGAGGTCGATGAGGTCAAAGTTGCGTGGCAGGCCCTTCACGCCCTCCGCCGGCGCCGCGGCCTCGCCGTCGACCAGACGAACACGCGTCACCGTGCGGCACTTGGGGCACCGCAGAGGACGCGTGGCCTCCTCCAGTTCGGCTTCGGAGTTGGAGTTGGTGGGGGTGGGGGTGGAGGGGGTGGCGTCGAGGAGGCGGGTGAGGCACGCGGTGCAGAAGGAGTGGCCGCACTTGAGCAGCCGCGGCACGTGGTCGGCCTCGCTCGCGCTGAAGGCGACCAAACATACAGAACATGTGCCCACGTCGTCCTTGTCCTCTTCAGCAGCGGAGTCGGTAAGCGTCGGGTGGTGGTTCATCTCCTCCTCTCCTCTCTTCTTTCTTTTCTTTCTTTCTTGCACAAATGGGGCAAAGCTTTGCATTTCGCGTTTCAGTGTTGTTGTTTTTTATTTGTGCGCTGTGAACGTACCAATCATAATTTTGTGCACTTCCTTGTTTGCTGCTTGTCCCGCGGAGGAAGGTCCCGCCACCACCATCGAGGCGGCCGAGCAGCGGGCCGCTGCACAGGTCGAGCTGGCCATGGGCGAGGTCAAGGCCGTGATGGAGCGCCAGGCGGCGTGCGAGGCCAGCGAACAGAAGAGCGCATTTGAGGCGTGGGTGGCCATCAAGCAGACCAGGTGCATGAGGCCGTGGCCCAGCGCGAGAGGGTGCTTGGCGCCAAGGTCGGCTCGTGGGAGCACACAAGAGCCAATGTGGTGGCCAAGCAGTGCCTGGGCCAGGCTGGGTAAAACTCTGAAGCTGCTGGAGGCTATTCAGCAGCCCATCCTTCAGCGGGCCGATGGCGTCGTGGCCCTTGTGACGAGCGCCAAGAGGTCCTTCTTGGCCCGGTGGTGCTCGTGAGAGCCTGACACCAAATATTTGATATATATATATATACTGAAGGTTGTAATCAGTGGAAATACAGGACTCTCTGTTTAGATGCGCTCCTTGCCCTTGCCGACGGTGGTGTCGTGGCTCTGGAGGCTCTTCTTGATGCCCTCCCGGAACCGTTCCAGCTTGCCGATGGCGCGCTCGCGCTCCTCGTCGCTCTTGAACACGCTCCGCACCTCCTTGAGCACCACGTCGGGCTGCTCCTGCGGCCGCCGCGCCTCGAAGTCGGCCTTGGTCATGACCTTGCCAACCTTCAACCAGTTGTCCTGCACGTACTGCGATCCTGTGTGTCGTGTGTTCGTGCGTGCGTCGTGTCAGAGGAATGTGAATGCTCACATTCCACACAGGCCACCGGGTGCGGCATACCAGGAGCGACGCCGCTGGCCGGTCGCACGAACTCGCTGAGGAGGTGGTCGCGCGCGGTCCTCCTCTCGGCCCTCATGCGCTCCCGGCGCAGGCCCTTCAGCTCGGCGCTCGGCGTGCTGGTCACGCCGCACTTGCGAAGCCATTGGTTGACGATGTCGAGCGACACCGACGTGACGATCCGTTGCCTCCTCCTGCGGTCACCGTTGTGCGTCAGTTCATCACCACGACACGCGCACAAAACATACGGAACACACGGCACGCACGGCACTCACCACACTCACGGCACGCACGACACACACGCAGAGTTGAAGCAAGTAAGAGAGATGCTGTATGTACCTGAACCAGATCTTGTCGTACCACTTGGGCAGCTTCTTGAGGAGCACTTCGAACTCGACCAGGAGCTCCACGATCAATCGGTTGCCCTGACCGAGCGCCGCGAGCTCGACAGGCGACTTCACATTGCACAGATGCTGCAGCTTCTTGAGCCTGGGGATGTCGTGTGTCGTGTGTCGTGTCGTGCGTTGTGGTGAGTCAAACTGTTGGGGGGGAAGGAGACTCGAAGTAATGTGTGCGACGACAATGAGGAGGAGGACGACGAGTACTTCTTCTTGATCTTGCCCGAAGGCAAGGGTCCGCTCCAGGAGTGGAGGCGGTAGACCACCTGCTCGTCCGTCAGGTCGGCCAGGATCGCCTTCTTCAGCGCCTCGATATACTGCATGCAGACACCCGCACGACACGACACACACCAGCGCACATGCACACATTGGTCGGCGATTGATCATCATACCATATCTAAATATCAAAAAATCGAGATGTTGAGAAAGAGAGAGAGAAAAGAGGAGTGAAACGTACGAGGCGGCCGTTGTCGCGGTCGCCGTGCTGGGCCAGGATGTTGATGGCCACGGCGAGCTTGCGCTCGAAGGGCAGGATCTTGAGCACGTGGAAGGCGTGCTGCGACGAGTCCTCGATGAGGTCGGCCTGGTGCAGCTCGGCATCGCCGCGGCCGAAGGAGGAGATCGACGTCTCGGTTCTGTCCAACGCTCGGTGCACCGCCACTGCGGTCCAACAACGAATTAATTAATTAATTAATAAATAATCATCTAAATTTTCAATCGATGAAAACCATGTTTTAGGTTATTTATTATTCGTTATTCCAATTCTAATGTTATAAAATAAAGAATGGTGGGTACCAGTGCCGAGGTCGTAGCGCTTGCGGAGGAAGCCCTTCTTGATGAGGACGGGCTCGAAGTGGTACACGGCCACGTTCCTTTCGTTGGGCAGGTGCTTCTCCAGGTGGTTGGCCACCCGCTTGGCCCGCTTCTCCAAGTGCCTCGTTCGCGGCCTGTGTTTTTTTTCGGAAAAAAACAATTAATTTATCAATTTAAAGCACAATGATATTTCCTCGCCAAGTTGTGATGAGCTTACGTACCTCAAGAAGGTGTAGCCCTCGGTGTACTTCTTGATCTCAGCTGCGTCCCTCCACGCTCCCTGGAACGGCCGTTCAGCACTCATAAATCAGTGGTTGCCTCGTCCCTCACACAACACCGCACACACCACACAACGCACCGCACACCGCACACATCGCACACACGACAGGCGCATCAAGCAAGTGGTCTGTGTGGCATACCTCCTTGGCCTCGGCTTGATCGTCTTCGTCGTCGTCCACCTTGTTCTTGCCCTTTTTGCTATTCTTGCTGCTCTTCTTGGCCGGCGCGGCTTCCTCGAGCTCGGTGGTGTCGTCGTCCTGGTTCACCTTGAGCATCTTGTCGCGCTTGAGCTTGCGGGCGCGCTTCTTCTTGGCGAACTTGCTCTCGCTGGTGCCCGGCGGCAATTCGCCCTCGTCCTCGCGCCGCCGCGTGAGAACCTCCTTCACGCTCACATAGTCGCTCTGCGTCTTCTCCGGGAAGGGCAGGATGCGGTTCTGCAGCACGTCCGAGATGAACTGGCCCACCACGTACGTGCGGATCCCAGCGTCCCTCACCAGCAAGTACAGCTCCTGCACGCACACGCACACGCACACGCACACGCACACGCACACGCACACGCACACGCACACGCACACGCACACGCACACGCACACGCACACGCACACGCACACACAACGTAAGAATTGTGGCGAGGACAGGAATGCAAAGAATGAGAGGGAATGGTACGCGAGCGGGGAGGTCGGTGATGGCCTCCTTGGAGTCCTCGGCGCCGCGCGTGTAGTTGTTGTTGAGGAAGATCACCAGCTTGCCCTTCATGTCTTCAATCAGCGTGCCACCATCCTGTTCGTCGTACCCGTTAGCCACCCGCACGACCGCACGACCGCGCACAGGCTCAGCACAAGGGATCGTAAGAGAACGTACGAGACGTCGGTAGGTGAACGACACGCCCTCGTAGAGCGACAGATTCCAAGAAGTGACGTTGGGCAGTCCCACATTGGCCAACAAACGCTCCCACGCTTTCACCTGTGCACAGTTATCGCAAGTAATAGATCAGTGCTGAGAGCTGCACACGTGTGCGGTGGTGCGTGTGCGGTGGTACGTGTGCGTGCGAGTGTGCGTGAATACCTCCTCGTGGGTGGTGTTGGTGTTGGTGACCAGGAGCACATCAACGTTCTCCTTGGCCCTGTAGGGCTCCGCCAGCTGCAGCGAGAACAGACGCTGCTGGATGCACCGCAGCTGGTCCCTGTTTTCCGGCCGCATGCCGCTTAGCTTGAGATAGGCCGTGAGATCGCCGTGCACGTAGGCCGGCAGGTCCTCGTTGTTGAACGCCATCGTCCCTAATCGCGTGTGTTTGTGTTTGTTGTGTTCCATTGTCAACTCACCGCACACGCACACACACATGCACACGCACACATTCACGATTGAGCGGAGTGGAGAGCGGTGGTACCGGAGATGTAGGTGAGGGCGCCGGGTTCGAGGCGCTTGACCTGCTTGAGGAGACCCTCGAGGAAGGGCCGCACCTTTCCCTTGCGGTTGCGGAACACCATGTCGTTGGTCTGCAACTTGAAGTTCTCGGCGATGCCCAGGTAGGCCTCCACTGGCCGACCGCACTTGGAACCAATTGGCTGCCAAAACAAACAAGAGTGTGATCAGCCAATCACGGCCTTGTGCTTGTGTGTGTTGGCCACTCAATGGTTGAGAGGTAACAAAGGTCGACATAATGAATCGCGTGTCGGTACCTGGTTGGAGATGTTCTTCACGCTGAAGGTCACCGGCGCCTCCTCCTCCATCGTGATCGTCCTCAATCCCTCCACTGCACGACGAGACCAACATTCAATTAATTAGAATCTTAATAATTATTTATATTAACACGAATAATCGAATAAATGTAAAATATTCTAAATAAAAAAGCCGGCGGCGAGCGTACCGGCAGAGATGAGGACGGGGAACTGGACGACGAAGGGATCGACCTGCGCGCGGAAGCCCGGCAGCAGTCGATTGACCCGCTGCACCAACCCGCGGTAGTCCAGCCGCGCCACCTCGCGCAGCCGCTTGCCCACGCGCGGCGCGTCGATGTCCTTCACCCGCACGCGCATGTTGCGCACCGTGTAGCTCTCGCCCACGGCCAGGCTGCGCGTGATCTTGTGATGGTCGGCGTCGTTGTCGAAGGCCACCCAGGTGTTGGACTGGAGGTAGAGCTTGATGAACTGGTGCACGGGCGTCGGCATGCCGCCGTTGTTGGTCACCGTGAAGGTCACTCGCAGATCGTCATCGGGCTCGATGATACCGTCGTCGTTGTAGTCCTGCATTTACATAACATGCATTAATATGTTAATATAATTAAGAATGATAATAATATGCTTAAGCGTTGTAATCGTTTGAGCACAGCCACGGAACACGTGCCTGGATTTCGTATTGGATGGTCCGGAGCTCATACGGCGAATGGTAGACCTTGCAGTCGCCATCTGTGTGCGCGTTCGTAGGGTGAGCAAACGCGCTCTTCTTGTGGTGGAAAACGAAAGCGACAACGACTACGAAAGCGACAACGAAAGGGGAGTGGTCGCACTCTTGATGACTTTGATGGCGTAGCTGCCAGTGGCGCCGTTTCGTCCGTCAGATCCGTCTCGTCCGCGACTGCCGGAGCTGCCGCTCGGGCCAGAGTACCCGCCCGGGTTGGAGTGGTGGGTTGTGTAGGTGCCTAGTTATCGCGAATCATTGCACGGCGTGCGTGCAGTGTCGGCTTAGTCTAACATGACGCTGGATAAACAGCGCGGCGTGCGTGCATAAGTACTTGAGGTGCCATCGCCGTTGCTCCGGGTATGCGACTCGGTCCACGAGTAGGAGCTACCACCGGCACCGCCCGCTCCTCCGTGGCCACCACTGCCGCCGTGTCCCCTGCTTCCTGCGATGTGGCGTGCCAGAAGCGAACAGGGTTTTGATACGTCCTTGAGTGGTCCGTTCTTGTGTACGTGCGCGTGTGCGGTTGTGTCGTGTGTGTCGTGTGTGTGTTGGGTGGAGTACCTCCAATGCCGCCAGAGAAATTGGGCCGACTGTAGAGCATGACGAAGTCCATGTCACGCTCGTCCACGCTGACCGAGATATTTCCGCCGTCGCCGCCAGTGCCTCCGTCTGCGCCATCGCCTCCATCTCCGCCTGCAAAGAATGTAGAAAGAAAGAAATTTTATAAAAATGGTACATATCCACATAATATTCATAGATTAGCTGAAGGAGAGACGCGTACCATGGCCACCGGGGCCTCCGTTAGTGCCGCTCGAGTAACGCGTGGCATCCCGGCCTCTGGTCCCCGTGCCGCCATCTCCACCACGACCTGATCACGCCATGACGTGGCCGACATAGTAAAGGCGCTGCTTTTGTGCTCAAAAGTGGAGAAGGCAACGTCGGCGTACCGCCATCGCCGCCGCGGCCGCCGTCACCGCCGCGCGCCGTGAGGAACACCAGCTGTGGCGTCCGCGTTTCGTCCTCGGCGAGCGGAATGATCTGCATGTTGCCTGTCACGCTGTCCTTGACTGTTTTTACGAGTTTCCGATCAGCGGACTCAGTGATCAACGAGTGTGTGTGCGTGCGTGCGTGCATGTGTGTGCGTGTGCGTGCAGGAGTGCGTATGGGCCACGTTGTGGTACGGACCGGTGACGGTGGAGGTGAGAGGGCTGAAGGTGTGGTTGAGGTGAATGTCAGTCGCATGCCGGCCGTCGGCGCCACGGTGGCCGGGCGAGCCTCGGCCGCCATGACCGCCCTTGCATACCCGCCCCACCAGGTCAGACAGCGAGTCATCACACACCAGTGGTGGACAGCACACTCCTCACAGCGGCATGGCAATGGGCCGAGAGAGTACCCCGCTAGAGCCGTGGTGGCCACCGCTGCCGTGGCTTCCAGGACTTCCGTGCGCGCCGTTGGCGTCGAATACCAGCTGCCGGTCGATCACGCTCGCCGGCTCTGGGTCTGTTTCGTTGTTTGTTTGTTTTGTTTGTATTTGTATTTGTATTTGTTTTGTATTTGTTTTGTTTTGTTTTAATTTTCGGCCGTTGTGAGTGGCGGAGTTGTTTTGGTTGTCTTGGTCGCATAGCACGGTGGTCGCGTTCCGGCAGGGGAAGTCGAAAAAGAGAGAAAGAGAGAAGAGGAGAGAAAGTGTAGCGGGAGTCAGGTACCGAGTACGACCTGGGCCATGAGCTGCAGGTCGCCGTCGATGTAGTCGTCGCCGCACACCGCAGCGTCGAGCTCGTTCTCGTCCTCTTCGCTCATCACCGTGTCCGCTCGCGGTCGGCTGCCCACACCGCTGGTGGCGTCACCACCGCCAAAGTCGGGGCCGCCGCTCGGGCCTGCGCCCGTCACCATCATCATAGGGAGCCCGCCCACGGCGAGGCCCCCGGGCTCCTGCCTGGGGGAGGCCTGGCCGACGTCGACGTAGGTCGCCTGCTCGCCGCTGTTCTCGGGCAAGGCCGGAGTGGCGAGCGAGGCGACGAGCGAGGGAGCGGAAGGCGGCAATGACGACGACGACGAAGAAGACGACGACAAAGACGAAGAGGCCACCAGCTGGTGCTGCTTTTCCTTGTCGAGCGCCTCTGCGTCCATCATCATGGGGGGTGCCGAGGCCTCCAATACCGCCGCGCTCTCCATGCTCACCTCCGCCATCTCTACAAAAATAAAATAAAATAAAAAATAAACAGTCAATCAAAATCAACAGTCAATCAAAATCACAAGTGAATGGAAGAGGAAGAGGGATGTAATGTTGTGCCTGGTGTGTTTGTACTGCCTGGTGTGTTTGAGCGGTTGTAACTTGGAGCGAAGAATAAACAAGACCGGTTCGGAAAGCTGTGTCGGTGACCGACACCCGCGTGATTGGGCCGACCTTGTTAGGCGAAAGTATTGGTGAGCGACCACCGCAGGAGTGTGAAAAACTTGGAAAAAAAATGTCTTTTTTTAATTTTTAAATTTTTTTCTTGTTTATTCTTAGATTTGTTATTTTGTTTCCTTGCGCTCCGGACGATATGGAGGGCACCACCGGAAGTCGAGGTGGGGAGGGCAATACCACCTTGTTGAGCACCACAGCAGCGGTCGAGTTCAATGCCGAAAGGTGCCGTCATTGTTTTGTTTTTCTCCTCAATACGACATATTTCCCCCTCCCCCCCTTTCCAACGCTCTACGCGAACTCACTTGGCCAAGCGCTGGCGCACCTGCGGTGCTGGTGGGTAGTTGGTTTCATCAGCTGCCCGTCGAGGCGCTGCTCAAGGTGAACACGCGCCTGGCTCCAGCTTGCCCGCCACATATCAAGAAGCTGACGGTGGTGGTGGGTGGTGCAGGTGTTTGGGCTGCTGGCGCGAGACGACCTCCTGCGTGTGGGCGCCGTGTGCCGCGCGTCCCTTCTTCTCTCCGAGGTGCGTACCAGCCACCGCCGGTGGTGAGAGATTACAAACGTATGATTCTCACTGGATCGTGCCCCGCGTCTGGTGCTGGGCTTGTGTAGGACGACTCGCTCTGGCCGCCCTTGGCGCGGCGCCGCATCTTCTATCGGTGACTCACTCCGTCTCCCGCCTTTGAATGGACTACACGACATCATATAGTGCGCCATGTGTTGCTAACATGCATGCTAACACAACATGCAACATATGCGCTACCTTTTTCAGGAAGTGGACGTTCGAGCAGCAGACTTTGGAGCGTACGGGGAGAGGGATAAGCGAGGGCGCGCTGGTGTTTCCACACGTCGGTATGACTACCAGGCAAGCCTGTCATTTCGTTGGTCGTGTCGGGTCGTGTCGTGTGCGTGTGCGTGTGCGTGTGCGTGTGCGTGTCGTGTGATGACTCGTGCTCACAGTTGCCTGGGATCTGTTTACAGTGCTGGTGAGCGAAGACAGAAGCCAACTGAGTCTCCTCTCCGTCCTCGACGACATGCTGCGCCCGTTGCCCCTCCCCGCCGCTGGCCGCTGTACGTCTCGTGATGTGACCGCACAACCACTTACGACCGCACTCGCAGGCAACGCACACGTGTGCGCACACATCGATTAATAATCGATGGCACACAGGCCGCGTGGAGCAGTTCGCGGGCCATGGCGCGCTTCTGGTCTCGGTCGTCAGCCTCAACAGCGGGAGCGCATCGGAGACGCGGATCGGCTACGTACATGACCTCGCACGCCCTGCACGCCCCTTCCTGCTCGGCGGCAACCGTACGCTACACTCCCCCTCCCCAGCCATCATTGTTCACATTCCTCCAGTTCGTTGGGCTTCTGAACCGAGCGCGCGGTGGTATTCCAAGCAGACATCGGCTCGACGTCGTACTTCGACACCGTGACGTGTCTCAGCGTCAACCAGGATAGCCGGCTCGTGGCGTTCGGGCACCGGGACGGCCGTGTAGACTGCTTCGCATTCCTCCTCCCCGCAGCCGACGATGACGACGGCGACCGCCAGCCGCTGGCGGGCGTCGTGTCGCTCGAGTTGGACCCCTCCCTGTCACGCCCACGGGGCCGCGCCCGCCTCAGCACCGTGCAGATCTTGGCCTGCGGCGCTGCCGGTGAGAGGAATGTCGACAACCAAAGCGACGACAGCGACGACGTCGCCACGCAGAGCGTGCTGGTCTGCGGCTACACGAACGGAAGAATCGAGGTGGTGGTGCCATTCGACGGCGGCGAGGCCAGTGCTTCGACAGCCACAACAGCTACGAAGAGGTTCTGCCTGGAGGAGGGCAGCACGGTGGCGTGGGTTCGCGCCGAGCGAGACCAGATCCTATGCGCCTGTCGGTCGCTCGTTGCGCTCAGCTCCGAGTCGCTCCATATTCTGGTGCGCTGTCCGCCTCGGCCTCCTCCCACTAGGCGATAATGTGCTGCAGACTCACCACCACTGGCTGACGGACCAGGAGCGGGAGGACAAGAGCGCCGCCGCGTACGTCGACGGGTGGAAGCAGCGCTGCGTGCTCCGCCCCAGCAAGGGCGCCATCGTCGCCGCGCACTCGTCGAGGGCGTCCGACAGCGTGGTCATCGCCTTTGCCTCTGGTGAGTCGTGCCGATCAACCGACCATCGCCTGCAATGTGTGCCAAATGATACACTGATCGTGTGGTGTGTGGCGTGTGGCCAGGGGTCGAGGTGTGGAGCAAGGCCTACGAGAGCAGGTTGGTGTCGGCGTCGCTGGGCGAGGGTCCGGTGCTGAGCATGCACAGCATCAGCAGCGCCTCGTCGCCGCTCAAGGACGACCACTGGGTCCTGGCGCTCACCACCCGCGCCCTCCACCTCATGCGCCTATGCCACGGCCGCGTGGACAAAAAGGGCACAGGCCGCGACCACCACCATCAGCCACCCCTGCGGCGCGTACACGCTGACATGCACGCGCGCACCCGGACCTTCAACAGGCTCTTCACCTCCTGGATGGCCACGCAACGTACCGTCAACAATGATATGGTGACAAAATGAAATACATTGTATTTCCTTGTATTTGGTGGGTGACGTCGACATTGCGATCAGCCCAGCTGGTTGGCTGGAATTGTGGGCTTAGTGGTGATTGGCGGTTTTCCAGGCAGGGAGGATTGTCGTTTGCGGGTTCTCTCCTCCAATCGCCATTCACCCGCACCACACAAAACCACAGCGTGCGGCTTCTTCTCCGCAACTGCAGCCCACAAGTACACATCACCTCCGTTGAAGAATGCAGCAACAGCGCGGTAGAGACCTGGTATCGGCCATGGCGGCGATGGCGGCGATGCTGCTGGTGGCCTCCTTCGCGGCAACGCCCGCCGAGAGCGCCTACACGCTCAAGTACAACTATGCGGGCTACAACTTCTTCGACAACTTCGACTTCTGGACCCAGAATGACCCCACCCATGGCTACGTCAACTACGTCGACCGCAACACCGCCCAATGTACCGAACTATTTTATTTTAAAATTTACGGAAAGCTGCCATTTTTGGTTCATTTTCAACTTTTTCATTTAATAAACTTTATTTTGATGAACAGCGCAGGGATTGATTTCGGCAGGACCTCACAACTGCTACATCGGGGCCGACCACAACAATGTGGCGAGCGGCCGCGGTCGATCGTCGGTGCGCCTCTCCTCGAAGGCCACCTTCTCCGACGGCCTCGTCATTGCGGACCTCAGCCACATGCCTGAAGGCTGCGGTACCTTCTTTTACTTTTATTATATATAATACCATTGCTTTTTATAATTATTTATTATTGCGGTTATCTGTTTATTTAATTACTTATGACTTTTTCTTATTTGCCGCAGGCACCTGGCCTGCGTTCTGGATGGTCGGCCCTAACTGGCCTAACGGAGGCGAGATCGACATCATCGAAGGAGTCAACACCAACAACGCTGACCAGGTACGAAGCAATGACAAGCACATGCGCGTGCGCGTGCGCGTGCGTGTGCGGTGTGCGAGCGACTCACTTTTTCGAGTGGTTGGCGGAGTCAGACGACGCTGCACACCAGCCAGGGCTGCGATATGAGCGGCGAGGACCGCAGCGCCTTCACCGGTGACATGGTGTCCACCAACTGCTGGGTCAACGCCCCCAACCAGGGCAACAACCAGGTACACGACACGACACGACACGACACGCACGACACACACACAACGCACGCACAAGAGAGTAACCAGCTTGCGGCTGTGTGCGGTTTCCCAGGGCTGCGGCATCCAGAACTACGCTGGGTCCTACGGGGCTCCCTTCAACCAGGCCGGCGGCGGCGTCTACGCCACGGGTACGTCGTCTCGCGCGTCGCACGTGCATGCTTCTCATTCCAGCCTCCGACTTGACACGCCCTCCTCGGCGAATCCGTGTGTGTGTCGTGCCTTGTGGCGTCGTGCGTGCGCGTGCTGCAGAGTTCGGTCATGGGTGGCCCATCAAGGTGTGGTTCTTCCCCCGCAACAACATTCCTGCCGACATTCAGTCCGGCAGGCCGGTGCCCACCAACTGGGGCAAGTACGTGGCAGCTCCTTGTACCATTGCCCAGTCACCCTTCTATAGTGCTCACGCACGACACACACACACACGACACACACACCGCACGCAGGCCCTTCGCTCAGTTCAACATTGGCAACAACTGCCCTGCTGGCCACTTCTACGACATGCAGATCATCATCAACCTCACCTTCTGCGGCGACTGGGCCGGTACTCCACACGACACGACTCTATACGAACACACACACACACACCCACACGAACACACACACACACACGAACACACAGACTTACTCACCTATGTACAGGTTCTGTGTTCAGTTCGAGCTGCGGGCAGTACGGCAGCTGCAACAACTTTGTTCAGGTACACACGATCACACCACACATTCGTTGGTGTGGAAACAAAACAAGACTAACCCCACCCCCCGTTGTGTTTCCTCGTTGTCGTGCAGTACAACCCGGCGCAGTTTGGTGATGCCTACTGGATCTTCAACAGCATCAAGGTGTACCAGTACCAGTTCTGAGTGAGCCTTCAGCCCCCTTTATCATGGATCACTTTCTTGTAACTGCAATGAACAGCAGCACTTCACCAAACATTCAGTTTGTTGCAATCCAGCCGAATCAGGCAAGCAAACAAGGCTGAACACATGGCTCCATGTTGTCTTAGTCACCAACTTTCGGGTGAACTCTGCTCGTCGTTGTTCTTTCCATACAGCGATCCTGGAGAGCTGTGGCTTAGTTTGATTTGGCCGCACCCAATGAAAAAATGGCGGATTCGGTCACTTTTGTTGCTGAGTGTAGCGGCTTACGGAAGGCGCCACAACACTCCTCCGTACCGTCGTTCCCTGGGTAGAAAGTCAGAACACTGCTAGTGCATGTGCGACTACGCCCTTCTGCTAGTTACCAGGTGAGCTGACTCCACATAAAAAGCCAGTTCTTCTTGTCCTCTTGTTCTTCATCTTCTTACCACTACATACACCACTACCACTACCACTACCACTTCCAAACATGTCCACTAAGTTGGCCTTCATCGAAGTCGAAGCCAGCGGCATCTGGCCTGTTCGTTCGCTCAAGATCTCGGCCAAGGACTACGTCACCGAGCGGGTCGTCGCCACCGCCGAGACCAGCGGGTTCGAAGGCAACTCCCCGGCGTTTACCAAGATCTGCCAGGACCTGGACAGGAAGGGCTACAAGCTCTCCGAGAAGGCATGGGACTATGCCCAGGCCGAGCTCCGCATGGACTACAAGACCTTCGCCGGATACATCTCCGACGGCACCGACCTGGCCAAGGGCTACGTCAACAAGTGAGCCCGTACTTTGAGAGATCGAATCACGGGGCACACGTTATCCAATTCTCGAATAAAACGAATTTGCCCCACGTTGTTTACACAAAGGTGAGCTGGACGCGCAGCTTGGCCAACCGCTGGCGCATCTCGGCTTGGTCCACCGCGGGAACGACACCTCCGGCCAGTCGCACGCGCAGCTTGCGCCCCGACGGGTTGACGTTGTTGCGCGCGCCGAGGACCCGGGCGAGGTCGGCCAGCGTCAGGGCGCTGCAGCCGCTCAGGTTGAGCGAGGCCAGCCGCGGGGCCTTGGCCAGCAGCTGCGCCACGCCGGCGGGCGTCACCCCACCGCACCCGGCCAGGGAGACCGACTCGAGGGCGTCCAGCGGGGCCGCCATGCGCGCCAGGAAGCCGTCGCCGATGGCCGAGTAGTCGGCGCTTAGCGTGCGCAGTCTAGGCGCCACCAGCCGCACCTCGTTGTTGCCGCCGATCTTGTTCCGCGGCAGGTCCAGCGCGATCAGGTTAGGCGCCCGCCACTCGCTGGCGGCATCGGTGGCGGCAGTGGTGGCGGGCAGGCGAAGGTCGGTGGAGTGGACGGCGTGGAAGACCCAGAGCCGCGACCAGTCGGCGCCGCCGCCGTCGACGACGACGGGGTCAATCGAGGTGAGGCCTCCGCAGAGCGATACGGAGACAAGGCGCAGGCGGCGGCTGGTGCCCGGCGGCAGGGCCACACGCGTCAGCGCGGCGCAGCCCTCGAGCACGAGCCGCTCGACTCCGCCGTCGCTGCCGCGCGACGAGGGCGGCGATAGAACGAGTGAGCTGAGGCGCGAGCAGGCCGCGACCACAACGACGGCCAGCGACGCGCAGCCCTCCAGCACCACCTCCCTCGCTTGCTGGTTGTGGCTGAACACCAGGCTCCTGCGCGTATCGTGTGTTCAGCATGCCGTTGTGTGTGTGTGTGTGTGTGTCGACGCGCGATGTTACGCGGCGCAAGTGTTGTGTGCGCGCGCGTGCACCGTGTGCTCGTGTGCGCCATGTGTGCGTCGTGTGTGCGGTGTTGTGTGTGTGTGTGTGTGGTACCGCAGAGAGGGGCAGTTGAGCCGAAGGGTGTGGATCGCGGTGTGGGTGAGCACGAGATACCGCAGGTTCGCCGACGTAATGGCCACCACCCGGAGGTCGACGCGCGACATCTGCAGCACTTGCAGAGCCGTCGCCTTCTTGAGGAGGCGCGCGAATAGGATCGCCGGACACCGCGTGCGGTGGGTGGTCGCCCACCCCACCTTCTCGCACTCCACGCTGCAGTACTGCGCCTGACCGCACCCTTGGTACACCGCACACGCGCCGCACACGCGCCGCACACACAGCACCACCGCACACACCGCACGCAAGGTCTGTTAGTGAAGTCTTCAGCCGAAGAAAAAGGCCGAGGCGAAGAGGGACGTACAGAGGCAGCGGACCGAGACGGGCACCTTGCCGCGGGTCATGATGATGCTGTTGGGCGATTGCGCGTCCGGCCACACCGGCGTGGCCGGATAACTGGATTTCTTCTTCTTCTGGTCGCCGGCCGCCGCCGCCGCCGCCGCCTGCGTCTTGGGCACCACCGCGAAAGAGAACGACTTGTGCCGCACGAACCCGTTCCACTGCTGCGACGTCGACTGCGGCTCCTCCCTGCCGGCCCGTGGCTTGACAGTATGCCCCTCTGGGCTCCTCTTCACCTCTTTCTGTTTTTCATCGTCATCGTCATCGTCGTCGGTGCTGTCGATCTCTTCGACTTCGTCGTCATCGTCCTTGATCACGATCGTGGCGGTCTTCCCGGCCTGCTTGGCCGCCCTCGTTGGCGTTGGCAACGACGCCTTGGTCGTGGCCTTGACCTGCGCAGTCGCCGTAAGCGTCGGCTGTGATGACATCAGCACTCGGGCGGATGTTGACGTCATCCTGCCTCCTCCGCACTGAGCGCAAGCGAACGTTGTCGGTGTCGACACATTCTCAAAGGCCTCGGAATGCAGGCTGCAGGCCATGGGGCCGAGCTGCAGCCGACGCAGGCCGGGCGCCGCCTCCAACAGCCGCCCGAGCAGCTCGATCGAGACCCGGTCGCCGCTGCCCGCGCCGGCGCTGTGCTTGGCCACGTACTGCTTGATGTCGCCGGCGAAGGTCAGCAGGTCGTGGTGGGCCTCGAGCCGCCGCTCGAGCCGCGGCCACGACACTTCGACGCCGCGCAGGGCAGGTCCCGCGGGGCAGTGGGCGGCGATGACCTGCAGGTGGCCGGCGTCGGGGTGGGGGAAGCCGCCGAACTGCAGGCGGAGCCGCTCGAGCGACGCGGGGCACTCGCGGAGAATCGGCGCCAGGCCCGAGGGGTCCTTCCAGGATGCCTCCAGAGACAGAGTCAACGCCCTGGCATGACCACCCACACAAATGTCAATAAAACAAATTCGAAATAGAAATTAATAAGAATGAAAGAGAATTTAAATAATAATAAAAATACTAGGTAAGACATGCGCATACCGTAGATGAGGGAAGGTGGTTGCGAGCGGCGGCGAGAGCGCGTAAGCGACGTTGGCGATGTGCAGCTTGCGCACCTGCGGCAGCTGCCAGGATGGCAGCGGCATCAGCGCCGCAGACGCCGACGACGACGACTTTCTGACCGCTCTGCGCTGGACGTCCTGCTGCCACACCTCTTCTACCGGATCCAGCCACTCCGCCACTCCTTCGTCGTCTTTGTCTTCATCTCCTTCTTCGCTCTTTTCGTTGCCTTCGTCAGCAGCAGCCCGACGCGCCAAGTCCTCGTAGGTGGCCGAGTGGAGGCGCAGGGCGGCCAGCCTGGTGCAGGCCTGCACCTCGGCCGGCGCCCAGGTAGCGTGCTTATCGTCCGGCGGCGCCATGCGCAGCTTGCGGAGCGTGCTGGTCCAGCAGCGGGCTGTGGCCGGGTTCGGTGGACCCAGCTGGGTGTCGGCCTCGGCGGCCTCCTCGAGAAGGGGCAGCCTGACACCGCCGTCGTCGCCGTCGGGGCCGGCGAGCGAGATGACGTCGGCGGGGACCCGTAGCACCCGCAGCTTGGGCATATTCGGCAGGACCTAGAGTTTGAGCTTTAGGTTTAGGTCACGAAGTACGAAGCACGAAACACAACAAGACACGACCAACTGCACGCACACGCACTCACACAGGCGCACGCACTACCGCACACGCACTAAAGTCGACTGATGCACGCACCACTCTGTCATAGGTGAGGAATTCAGGAGGGGAGCGGATCTCGCATAGCCGAAGGTTGGGACACCACCTGGTCACGCTGTCTAGAAACCTCGCTAGCCTGTGATACATATCAGGTGGTCAGTGTGTAGTGTGTGGTGAGTGTCGTGAGTGTCGTGTGTGTCGTGTCGTGCGTCGTGTGTGTATGTCGCGTGAGACTAATTGTGAACGCACGGGCGGGCAGCTTCCAGGTCGACGGACAGCTCGGTTACGGCTTCGCCCGCTTTCTTCATGACCGCGGCTGCTTCAGCAAGTGTCAGGTGCCCCGCGCGAAGTTTGGGCACGATGCTGCATCAGCCCCGCTCAGGTCAGATTAGACGAATATATGCGTGCTGCGGCCACGTGTTGAGGCGCGTGTGCGGTTGTGTGCGCGTGTGCGGTGATAGGGGGCTGACCTGAGCGCGAGCGTGAGCGTGCGCGGATGCTTGGCCCACAGCGCAATGATGATTTCGCTCGAGAGGGTGTTGGGGTAGTGGCCCGCATCCAGATGTCGCCACAGCAGGTCGTCTACACACACACACACACACACACACACACAAATTAGTAATAATAATTACAATAAGAAAATCAAACGCGAGCCATGTGTGCGTGTGCGGTGGTGCGTGTGCGGCACGTATACCACTGGCGACGTGATACCACCGGCGGCACACAAGGGCGCAATTGGCCAGATGCACGAACCTGCTCGAGGCAAAGCGCATGGCTGGCAATCAGTCAACAACGCGCCGGCAGACCGAGACTGAGTTGTGGCAGAGTGCACCTTCGTAGATCGGGGAGAAAGGAGAAGATGAGCAGCAGCATCTCGGGCGGCAGGGCGAGAACCATGGTGTCGCCCCGACCCTGCGGCTCGGTGCTGCAGCATCCAAGGAGGTTTGTAGGGATATTCATCAGAGATGAAGCCTAAAAGATGAAAAAAGAGAGTGGCAGAAGCTTCTAAGTACTTGAGGATAGTGAGGTCGGAGGAAGAGGTCAAGGTCTTTCTTTTCTTGAATGCTTTGGGCGGCTCGAAGTCGGCGTCATCATCGTCATCTCCTTGGGCACCTACATCTTCATCTTCGGCATCAGGGGAGGCCGGCCTCAGTTCCTCCTTCTTCCGCTTTGCCGTCGTCCTCCTTCTCATGAAAGCGCTAATCGGAAGGTTCAGATCTAATTAATTCCACAAAATCTGGATTTTAGTTTCTTGGCGGGAAAATCAAGTCGACACAAATTTTGGAAGAAGAAAAGAAAAAGCGGAACCCCACCTTTTCTTTCATTCCATCAGAATCGAGCGAGAAGAAGATGAGTGATGCGTATGACGTAGCCCTCTACACGGCCAAATCAGGACGTCTCCGCCTCAAAGGCGACAAACCCTCGAGGTACCCTTCCACATGCTACCTGTTGCATCATTTCATGCGCAACTTTAAATGTAGTTGTTAAATGTCAAATATTACAATTTAATCTATTGTGCTCTATAAATAAATAGAGGAGCTATTTTGTTATCTTTTCGATACAATAAATAATAAATAAATTTAAAAAATAACACGTTTGTGATGTTGCCCTACCTGCAGGTCGGAAAGCCGCAAGCGGAAGAAGGAGGCGGCGGACGCGGCCGAGGAGGAGCGCAAGCAGCAGGAGGACGAGCGTAAGGCCAAGGAGAAGGAGGACGACGACCGGGAGCAGCGGGAGCTGAAGCGTCGGGAGGGCGGTGGGGAAGGCGACGACGACGAAGATGGCGACGAGCAGCCGCCCAAGCTGCCGCGGATCGAGGAGGCCAAGACGCCCGCCGAGCGGCGCTTCGAGGAGATGCAGAGGCGGCGCGAGGAGCAGGAGGCCAAGAAGCTCAGCATCCGGTCCCACAGAGAACGCGTCGACGAATTCAACAGCAGACTCGACAGGCTGCCCACCCACTTCGACATCCCCAAGGTCGGCCCTGGCTAAGAAGACCATGACCATCTTGACAACCCTCTTGGTTGTATTGAACAAAAGAACACCAACGAGCATGATAAAAACACATAAAAAAATCAATCACTGCCTGGTCGCGATTTCTTGCTCCCGCTGCTCAGTTCGCTGTCTTCGCCGTCGGACTCGTCGGCCGGCGTGCCGTCAAGTCCTCCTGCCGGTGGCCCGAAGAAGGGTAGCGACGCCGCAGTCGCTGTGGTAGGTGCTGGACCGAACGAAAACGCCGCCGGAGGTGTTGATGGCATCCTCAAGGCCGCCGACGTCGACGATGATACGTCGGCCGATGCAAACGCGAACGTGAAAGGCGACGTCGCAGTCGTCGTTGTCGTCGACGAGCCCGATGACGGCGCGGGCGACGACGAAAAGGAGAAGGAAGGCGGCGGGAGGGCGGCTGCAGGCGGGAGGAACGAGGCCGAGGCGCCCGAGGGCGAGAAGGAGAAGGTGGCGGCGTCGGGCTGCATCAGCTCCATGTGGGCCGTGAACATGGTGGAGAAGATCTCCGTCGAGAACGGGCTGCCGGGCGACGCCGGCACGAACGACGGCTGCGCGGGCGCGAGCGCCGGCATCGGCAGCAGCGGAACCGGCGGCGCCGACGCTGCGGGGTTGGCGGTGGTGACGGTGGCGGGCAGAAGCAGCGATGGCGCCGATGATGAAGATGACGGCGGGAGGCGGAAGGGGGACGAGGGCGCGGAGGCGGTGGAGGTGGGCGCGGCGCGCGGCGAGGTGGGCGGAGAGAACGAGGGCGGCGTGGTGATGGTGGTGGGCTTGGCGAACGACAGGGTGCGCGGGCGCGGGCGCGGGCCGGTCTTCTTGGTCATCACCTTGCGTACGACCCGCTTGGATTGCACGTCGTCGTTGTCGTCGTCTTCGCTCTCGTCGTCTTTATTCTTTCCGTTTTCGTTCTTTTCGTCGGCGTCGTCGTTTTCGCTGTCATCACTCTTCAGCTCGTCCTCTACGTCGTCGTTTTCGCTTTCGTCACTCTTCAGCCCACGCAGGAAGGCGTCGTTGTCGTCGCCGCCGGCCACCCTCTGGATCGCGATGCGAGGCGTCGTCGGCTCGGCGTTCTCCGCCGAAGCCAGTCCGCGTGGCGTCGACGCGCCTATCGTCGCGGCCGCGCCCAACAGCGACGCGTGCGCTGAGCCGACGCCAGCGTGATCGTCGTCGAACACGAAGCCCTCGTGGAGCAGGAGGAGGTTGAACGGGCTGTCGCGCACCATGCCGCCGTCGAGCAGGGTTACCACCAGCTGGTACTCCTGCGGCCACGCCTCACCATCGCCCTCTGCCGCGGCTTCTGCTGCTACTGACGTGGCCTCGGCCCCTGATGACGTGGCCTCTGCTGATGATGACGTGGCATCGGGCGTCGTGGCAGCCGCAGCCGCGGCCTCGAGCGCGGCCCGGTTGCGCAGGGCAATGTCGTGGATGTCAGGTGGGACGGTGTAGGTGGCGTGGTAGGTGCCGTCGCCCTCGTCCGTCACCACGCCCCGCACGAGCTCGTGCTGCTGCAGCAGGGCGTCGAGCTGGCGCCACTCCTCGGCCTGCTTGCGCTTGCGCTCGGCCAGCTCTTGCTTCTTGTTCTTGCGCTCGTCATCGCGCCGTTGCTCGGCCGCGTCGATGTTCTCGTCCTCGAACTGCTGCTGCTGCTCGGGCGTCAACGGCGTCGACAACGATGACGTCGATGATGACGTCGACGAAGAGAGCGACATCATGCCTCCGGGAGAACACTTCTCCTCGTTCTGCTTCTTGCTGTTCTCCTCGCGCTTGCGCTCCTCCTCCTTCTCGCGCTCCTCCTCCTCGTTGCGCACGAGCGGCACGGCGCCGCGACGGATGAGCCGCACGACGAACGTGTCGCCGCCCACGTCGCGGCGGTTGGCGTAGCGGTCGAAGGTCCGAATGTGGAAGCTCGCCGGCTTCCCCATCACCGCCGACACCAGCCCGTCGCCTGCACACGCACCACCGCACACGCCTCGTCAGATCACCGCACACGCACACGCACACACGGGTGGAGGGAGGGGGTGCCTTCGGCCTCGCATTTGGGTCCGTGGGCGCCGGCGGGGAAGCAGGCGATGGGGTAGGGCGAGCCGAAGATGGGGAGCCGCATCTTGTCCGAGATCTCGTGGCGCACGACGTCCACCAAAAAGTCCCCCGATCGACGCAGCGCGAAAGTCGCCGTGTACGTACCGTCCTTGTTGTCCCGCACTACACGTGTCTCTCCATTAGCTTTGGATGTCGTGCGCGTGTCGTGTCGTGTGCGGTCTTGCGTGTGCGGTTGTGCGTGTGCCGTACCGTAGACATCGGTGAGGCCCTTGTCGGAGAGGCCCTGGCGCGCGGGGTTGAAGTAGAAGGACGGATTGGAGGACATAACCGTGGACTCCTTGGCCGACGGCAGGTACACGCACACCCGAAACCCGGGCTCGGCGCCGCCCACGGTGATGGGCCGGTTGTTGATGTCGCGGGACTGGATGATGAGGGTGGCCTCCTTGCCTGCGATGATGACGCCGCTGCCGCTGTCGCCCTTGAACGCCGCCCGGCAGTTCCGCGAAAATATCGCTGTTTTTTGTTTTAGAATAATAATTACAATAAAAACAGCCGTGAGTCACCATGAACTAAACGCTAAAAAAACAAAAAACAAGCAAAAAAACAAAATAACAACAACGGTAAAATAAGAACGAAAGAAAGAATGAAACGCACGTTTTTCGAAGCGCACGCGAAAGGGCGAGTTCTTGATGGGCGTCCCGTTGAGGCTCACCGAGATGGAATACTGGCCCAGCTTATACGGCATGAACGACGCCCTGCCATATCGAGCATTCAGTCAGCTTCTCCATAATGACGCGTTATGTGTCGTGCGTCGTGTGTCGTGTGGTGCGTACGTGTAAGTGCCATCGCTGTTGGACGTGAGAAGCACGCTGGGCCGGTCCTCCTCGTCTCCCGCGCTCCTTCGCGCGATGGCGGCAGCGGCGGCAATGTCCTCCTCCTCCTCGTTGGTGGCCGGGGTGGTGGCTGTCGCCGCGAAATACGACGCCGCGGAAGCCTGGGCGTGTCCCGCATCGCCCACCTCGGCAGAGACCGACTTCTTGACCCGCCGCCTCCCGCGAATGAACCCGGCGCCGGTGGTCGACGGCGCGGGCTCCTTGGTTGGGTGTTGGTCTGTCGACATTGACAACGCGGTCGTCAGCGACGCCGGCGTCGAAGTAAGGCTGCTCAGCACCGTCCCGATGTCGGCACTCGGCGGCGAGGGCGACGATGACGGCGAGGGCGACGCCGCTGCTGACGCGGTGGTGGCGGTGGTAAAGAACGAAGACGAAGACGAGGGCGATGAGGGCGAAGACGGCGACGCTGCTGACGTGGTGTTCAAGAACGAAAACGAAGACGGCGACGAAGGCGATGCCGGAGTGTCGAACGCCGGCGAAGTGTCGAAAGAAACGGGCGACGCTGGGCTGGTCGGCGTCGTGGCCGGAGCCGCGGGGGCTGGCGCGGTGCCTAGAGGCGCCGAGAAGGGCAGGAGCGGCGATGACGCCGTGCGGTGCTTGTCACTCCGGCCCCGGAGCGGAATGCCGCCGGCGTGGCTCCGTCGGCCGGCCGGCCTCCGACCACGCTGCGTGCCGCTGTGGAGGCCAAAGTCGAAGAGCTTGGCCATTGCATCACTGCTGCTGCCCGACGACGACGAAGACGACGATGACGCAGCACCGGCGTCGTGGTGGCCCTCGCCTGCCTCGGCCTTGTCGGCTACGTCATCGGCCTTGTCATCCCCTTTGTCGGCATCGTCACCGCCGCCAGCGGCACTGCCGGCATTGCTGGCGGCCTGGTCTGCGGTGGCAGTGGTGGTGGTGGCGGCCGAGTCGGTGGGGTGGGGCTCGAACTGGACGACGATGTCCCACTTCTCCTCGCCCTTGAGTACGCGCTTCTTGAAGAAGTCGCGCGAGATGACGACAAAGTAGAATCGCTTGCCCTGGAACCCGCCACTCTTGGCCTTGATAAGGCTTTCGCCCGGACAAGGGACTGTGTGCGCCGGGCGACACACACACACACACACACGATCAGTTGGCCATCACTAGTTTGTGTCACGCCCCATCCAAAGGAGGAATTGGCGCGTACTGCCGCGCTTGAACTCGTCCTGGATATCCTGGCTGAGTTCGCTGAAGCCTTCGAGTTTGCTAAAGTCGCCCTTGAGCCGGCCCACCAGGTAATTCATCGCCACGCTCCGCAGGTGGTGCGTCTGGAACTGGTGTGCCATCTCTGCATGCGTGTTGTTGTGAGCGTTGTGTGTGTGTGTCGTGTTGTGTGTGTGTGTGTGTGTGGTGTATGTGGCCGGGAGGGAAGTACGCAGGAGCTCGGTGACGTTGTCGAGCTGAATGCCGCTCTCGATGTAGTTCTCGCACTGCTCCTGCAGCTGCTGGATGCTGTAGAGGTTGCACACGATGAGTAGCTCGATCACATTCTCCTCGTTGACGTCCGCCTCGCTCGTGTACAGATACTGCCGACAGGAACCAAATTAGAGGCGTGTCATACCACGTGTGTGTGTGTGTGTGTTGAAGATGCGTACCTTGAGTACGGTAGAAAAGGCGGAGGAGCTAATCTCGGGTACCACGATGCGTCCCGACTGGGCTTCCCGCATGCCGGACGTCAGCATCGCCTGGCGTCACTCTCGGGTAAGCCACGGCACACACACACACACACACACACACACACACAACACACACAACACACACAACACACACACACGGCACACACAGTACCCGGAAGTGGGAAGAGCGAGCGCAGAGGAGGGCCTTGTGCGCCGGAATGCGGACGTCCTCGACCTCGAACACGATATCGGCGTAGCGGGCGCTCCCGACGTAGGCCCCGAGGTCGGCTCCCAGCGAGTGGTTGGCCCGGGTGGCCTCCTCCTCCTGTCGGTCCTCCGACTCCCGCTTGGCCCGCAGCTTCTGTGCCTCGCGCTTTTCGACCCGCACACGCTTCTCCTCGCGCGCCTTCCGCTGCCGCAGCACCTCGGCGTAGTCCTCCTCGTCCAGGTAATCGACCAGCTCGTCGTCCTCGGCCGCCGGCTCGTTCATCTCTTGGATGAATTCGTCATCATCGTCGTCGTCGTCGTCGTTAACGTGATGGGCCACGTCATCAGCTTTATCAGAGGGCGGGGTCGTCGCGGTGGTGGTGGTGGGCGCACTGTTGTCGACACCATCGGTTGCTAGGCTCTTCAACTGTGCGTGCTCGAGGGTGCCGGTGCTCTCACGGAGGCGGTCCAGGTTCTGCCGGATGACCGCCTGCTGCTCGCGCTGAGCGTCGGCGTGCGGGTTGGCCGGCCCGGAGGCCTCCGTCATGGCCTCCATTTCGAGCAGGCGCTGTTGCAGGAATTCCACGCACGCTATGCGCAGCCGCGTGAACACCACCAGGTGGTAGGGCGCGTCGCTGTTCTTCAGCGTAGAGGCTTCGCTCTCTTCCTTCACCCTCTCGGCGGCCTCTGCAAGCGCCAGTTGCTCCTCGTCCAGGAGCAGGGCCATCTTGGCCTCGACGTTCGCAGGCGTCACGCCCTGCTCCCAATAGGCCTGGCATTTGGCCTGCAACCTAAAGCGAGATTGGTTAGAGGTTAATTAATTGAAAAAATAAATTCCTTTCCATCGAAGCAAGAAGTTTGCTTTTTCGATGGAAAAATAGAAAGTGTCGACACAATAAACGAGATGGTACCGAGAGAGGTGGAAGCGTTCGGCGACCACGCAGAGCAGGACGAGCAGCCGGTCCTCGAGATCGGGGCTCACGCGGTCGGTGTAGAGGTACCGTACGAACTCCACCATCACCGCGTGCTCCATGCCGTCCACTACCAGCTCCCACATATCCGCGGCAGCGGCCGGCGAAGAAGAAGAAGAAGAGGAAGGAGCCTCCTCGTCTGCGGCGTCGACGGTCTTCAGCTCCTGTGTCGACACAATTAATTGTGGTGTTCGCAAGCGAGCGATGATGAAGGAGGGGGGAGGGAAGCGGTGCTGCGATGAATCATCGAGTCGGGTCGCACCTGTTGAGGAAGAAGAGCGTGCCAAGCGGGACATCGCGCGGCGAGCACCGCCTTGTGCGCCCGCAACGCCGGTTTGAGCGGCTCGCGAGCGCATCGCAGCTTCACGTCGTAGAAGCACTCTTCCTCGTCTGCACGACCCCGTGGTGCGAATAGTGTTAGGCCACACGACACACGCGCGCCGCCGCACACAACACACACATCGACGTTACGCACCCAAAGTGTGTCCGCCTTTCAGCTCCTCGGCCTCGCATATGCGCCCGAGGTCGGCCATGAGCAGGGACTGGTTCTGATTGATGCCCGCCAGCACGATGCATACCGTATGGCAGGCGCCGCACACCACGCTCTTCACCGTCTTGTTCTTGAAGGCCTCCACCAGCCGCGGCGAGGGCTCGTTCGTCATCTCGCCGTGTCCCAGCGCACCTATTGGCCCAAAAAACACCGAAAAAGCCTCTCATTCGTCAGATAAATGCCCGCGCTGGCTTGGTGTGTGGTGGTTTGTGAGTTATGTACCGGTCGAGCCGTCGCCCCAGGTGTAGAGCACGCCGGTGTCGGAGACGCACGCGGAAAAGTAGTCGCCGCAGCTGCACGCCACGATCTTCTTGCCGGCCAGGGCCTGCACCCGCTGCGGCTCCGCCAGCTTAGCGCCCACCTCCCCGTGCCCGAGCTGGTTGCGCGTCGCAGAGCCCCTGCAACACAACGGTGGTTCAGCATTTCAGTGTTGAGTGGGTGTGGGTGTGTATTTGTGTTGGTGTGTGTGTGGTGTTGACGTACCAAGTGTAGAGTTCACCCGCGTCTGGCCAGGTCAACACAATACCGCAATGTGGAGTGGTGGTCAGTCAGTCAGACGACGCAGAATGCGAGATTGGGCGGAGGAGTTGATGAATGGCACAAGGGGTACCAGTGACGCAGGCCATGTGTTCCCGCCCGCAGGCCACGGAGATGACGCGCTTGTTCTCGAGCGCGCCAAGCACCTTCTCAGGCTTGGGCTTGATCGGATTGCTCGCTCCCTTGTGGCCCAGCGGCCCTATGCCCCACGTGTAAAGCTCGCCCGTGTCTGCAAAGAAAAATTCACCACAAATGAAAACAATAATAAATATAAATATAAATAATAGTATTATATATAAATTAAATAATAATATTAAAAAAATACTGTTCGGGGGAGTGACTGAGCTGAGAGGGTGGAGGAGTGCACGGACCCGAGAGCGCGGCGCTGTAGAGTTCGTTGGCGGCGATGGCGATGATGGAGTGGTGTGGCGGGAGGACCTGGTGCTCGGTGCTGGGAAGGCCGCCGAGCCTGTGGTCCCGCTGCACGACCCAGCCGTCCTCGAGCAGCGCCAGAAAGTGAGTGCCCGTGGCGACCACCTGCCTGGCCGAACCCCACTTGTCCGACGGCTGAAAGTCCGAACCCTAAAAAGTTGTTTCGTGAGCGACCACCCGCACCAACCCTTGCATGAACATGCTCATAATATATCTACAAATATAGAAATGTAAAACTTACATACGTGCACATATGCTATACATATATGAATGAGGAAGAGAGGCAACGTACCAACTGAGAGAGCAGACATTCGCCGTTGTCGAGGACGACAGTGCTGTACATGGCGGGGGATGAAGAGCACGAGATGTGTTTGGCCACTTTACCAGTCAACTGCGGGATCTGGCGCGACGTCGTCGAATGCACCAGCGCACCCGGTAAAACACCCCCTGGGACACACACACACGACACACACCACACACACACACACACACCACACACACACACACACACGACACACCACACACCACACACCACACACCACACACCACACATCACACACCACACACCACACACCACACACCACACACACGACACGCGCCAAGACATCAGCGTGGTCAGCGAGCAGATTGAGCGTAGTCTGGGTGCAAGGGAGCATGCACATACCATGCGTAGCACTCGCCGTTCTCTAAAGAAGAAAAAGAAAAGAAGGAAAAGATCGAACAGGTAAGTGCGCGGACGACAAAAAGCAGGACAAGGAGGAGGAAGAGGAGGAACGAACCGAGAAGCTGGTAGGTTGAGGATGCGCCGCACGCGATCTGTTTGACGCGTCTGCGGCCTTGGAGGCTTTCCACCAACGCCGGGATGCCTATGTTTTTGGCTGTCGTGGCGTAGCCCAGCTGGCCTGCAGGCAGGGAAAGGAGTCAATTATAAATAAATAAGTATTTACTTTGAGGACAAATGATAAGACTTCAAAATAATGCACAAAAGGAAGAGACCAACGGACAAAATGAAACAAAAAGCATGGTTGAAAGGAAGGAGGACAGTACCGTCTGAGTTGGAACCAAACGAATAGACTTGGAAGGTTTCTACGCGCAGCAAAATAGACGTGAGTGGACAGCTTTTGCGATTACGCCCTGGTCGTTGCAAAAACATCAACAGGCAGAAGAGCGTACCCATTTCGAAATCTTTGACCTGTCTGGTGCGGCTTGCGGCAGACGCAACGTTGTGCACAACCGATTTGTTCACCAGGCGCTTCCCACACAGCCGTTAATTGATCTTGTTGCGCTCAAGCCTGTTCGATTTATTCGTTCTTGGAGCAGATAATTGTGTCGACAACAATTTTTGATGGAATTATAGATATATGTCGACGGTAAAATTAAAAATAAATAAAAGTTTTTCTCCTTCGTTTTCCTTGCTCTCTTTTCTCTCTTTTTCTTCGTCCTCTTCATAGCTTCGGGTTGGTGGTGGCCGGGCCGGCTATACACGATGTCGTTTCTCAGCCCGGCTGGGCGCGCTCGGGGTCTCTCTTATGGCGGTGTTGTTGTGTGAAGAAGCTCACTTGGCGCGCGCGTTTCGGAGGGCGGCGAGCCACGACTGCGGCTGGTGCTGGACCGACGCGCCGCTGCCGCCACCGGGCGCGGAGGCCTGGTCGGGACGCGAGGCCTGGGCGCGTGCGAGCTGGAGCCCCATGTCGTAGAACGACGACACCAACAGACGCTGCTCCCTCTCCGTGCTCTCCCTGCTGTCCTTTATCGTGTCCTGCTTGTGAATTGCGGGACCGCACGACACACACGTGGCACACGACACACGACACACACGACACACACGATAAGAAGTCAGCGCCAGACAATGATAATTAAAGAGGCCTAGAATGGAATTGGTGGGTTGGCTAACCTTGAGGTGCTTGATTTCTCTTTCCCTGTCGAGGAGCTGCGCTCGGAGCGCCTGCAGCGTCTCCTCGGCCTGCTTGCTGTGCTTCTGTTGACGGTCAACCCACCATGCGAAACAATGAGGTGAGCAGGGTGGGTGCATGCGTGCGGGGCACATGGGTTGAACAGCTCAAGCAGGAATGCGCACCGCTGTCTCAGCGTCGGCCTCGTCCTTCTTCTGCTGCCGGAGCTCTCTGATCATCTGTACCAATGATGGTTGGAGGTTGCGGCAGGAGTGGTGAGAAAAGAGGGGGAAAAAATCACAGTGGTGCTCATCACATCACGTTGGTTGCGGGGACAAGGCACACCTTCTTGGCGGTGCGGAGGTAGCCCTCGAGGCGGAGCTTCTCGGAGTTGAGCGCTTCGTTCTTCTCCTGCACCTGGGCGAGCTTCATGGCGATCTCCTCCACCACCGGTCCCTCCAGCGTGGGCTCCCCGCTGGCGGCCGCGTTGGCGCGGTACCGCTTGGCCTCCTGCGCGGAGTAAAAGTGAAAGTTTAACAACCCACTCAGCAATGGCTGAGCCCTGTCCCCGCGCATTGGTCGTGGGGTCGGCGGGGAGTTGGTGTCGTCGTCGTACCTCGTAGACCTTCCTGAGCTGTTCTTCGAGGTCGACGATGGTGGCGTCCTTCTTGGTGAGCTCCTGCATCAGGTCGCTCACCTCCTTCGGCGCCTTACCACTCTCTTCCTCACTGTCGCTATCAATTAGCAACACACACACACACACACACACACACAGACAGAGGCGAGTCAGCAGTCATGTGCAAACCCAAGACAACACGCACACCCAAGAGAGCACATACGGAGTGCGGGCGGAGAGCTGGTGCAGCTTTTCCTCGTAGGTGGCGTTGAGCGCGGTGGCGTCGTCGAGCTTGGCCTGGAGGAGGGCGATCTGCTCCGCCGCTCCGCCCTCGCCCATCTCCGACTTGAGGCGATTGTTCTCGCGCTCCAGGCGCGCCATCTTCTCCCGCCTGCGCCATTGCAACAACACCAAATATCACATCAGCGTCATCATCAGTCCGGTCATAGCAATAATGGTTTGGGGAGGGCACGACGTACAGCTCGGGCGTGAAAATCTCGTGGAAGCCGGACATGCCGTCCTCGTCGCCGGCGCCTCCGCCCCTGTTGGGTCCGCCCATCACTGCACGCACCGCAAGACACCGTCAGAACAACAACAACAGCAGCAGCAGCAGCAGCAGCAACAACAACTGTTGGTGAAAGATGGCCACGACGTACGTCTGGCCTCCTCCAGGTCGGTCTTGAGCTGAGCGATGGTCTCCTCGAGCGAGTCCACCTTCTCCTGGTGCATCTATTTTGTTTGTGGACACAACGGCAAGGTGGTGAGACTCGCCTCAAACCAAAATGTTCGAACAAAAGAATTTGTAACCAAAAAAGTGATGTTGGCCAAATGTAAATAATAACTAAATAAATTAAAACGTACATCGCGCTCCGTTTGGATCTGCTTGAGGGCCTCCTGGAGCTGCTGCATGTCGAGCTGCTGCTTGATGTCCTTCTCGCCCGTCGTTGCCGCCTCCGACCTGAACGCAAGCACTGGAGAGCCAAGGAAATTAATTATTGATAAATACACAAATTAAACTATTATTGTAAAAAAAAATCATTCTTGTCGCACGTACCTTGCTTCTTGTAGTCTTCGATCTGTGCCTTGAGGAGGGGGATCTTGACGACCTCGTCTTCGAGCTCGATCGACCGCTGCATGTACGTGTTGCTCTGCTCCTGCAGGGCCTTGTACTGCTTTCGGAGCTCCGCCATCTCCTTGAGCTTGTCCTGCAGGTGGGCGAACTTCTCCTCGACCTGGTCCGCGTTGGCCACCTTCTCCTTCATCATGTCCATCTCGTCCCTGCAGTCCAGACATGTCGTCCGTGCGCGCGCGCATGAGCCTCAACCGGCGCCACCACGCAAGCAAGGCCGCGGCACCAGATTGGGGGGGGGGTCTCGGCGACGTACCTCAGCTTGCGTGCCTCCGCTGCGTACTTGGAGAGTTCGTCCACCTTTTTCTTGAACTCGAACAGAGATTTGTCTTTCTCCTGTCGTCAATGGTCAGCATCACCAAGCATCAAGCGCTGGACGGCATGTTGTGTGTGTCTGTGTCTGTGTGTGTGTGTGTGTCTGTGTGTGTGCGTGTGTGTGTGTCGCACCTCGATTTCTATCTGTAGGGCGTGATACTGTTCCTCCGAAATCTGTCTGTTTTGAAGGACAAACACATTTCGTGGTGAGCGCCTAATATGTGTGACACAACTCGAATAGCAAAGCCTTCTTGTAAGTTTACCTGCTGTGCTTTTGGAGAGCGTTGATGAGCTCGGTCTCTTCCTTCTCCCTCCGTTCCTTGTCGTGCTGCTCCTTCTTGGTCTTCTCGTCGAGCTGCTTTTCCATGTTCTTCACCATCTCCATCAACGTCTCCTTTTCCGACCTCAAGTTGGCCTGTGCACCAGCCAAACACGAGTCAGCCGCCAATTTCTTCAAAGAAACATTACTATGGATATAATAGTTTTAAAACATATATATGATGAGAAATGAAATGAGCATAGTCAGTATGTAGCGTACGTTCTCAGAGGCGAGCGAGGAGTGCTCGACTTGGAGCTCATCAAACTGCTCCTGCAGTTCCTCCTTCTCGAGTCGCAAGCTTTGAATCTGGATCTCGTTGGCTGTGTGGAACAGAGAGCGTACACACTCGCATTGTTACGAGAAGGAACGGACAATCGTATGATACAAAATAAATAAAAGAATAAAAATAGTCACCCGGGGTCTCCGCACCATCATCATACGACTGGCTGTGGTGTCTGGGCGAGTGCGCGGGCTTCATCTGATGTTCCCTCAACAGCTGAGAGAAAATGAACGCAAAGCAAAGCAAAGAAAGTGGTCAGTTGAGCCTCTCCAGTAGAGAAGAAGATGCAGAAGAAGCAGAAGAAGAAGAAGAAGAAGGCAAAATGGTACCCGCTCGATGAACACCATGAGGATGCGCTGGGAGCTCTCATCGAGCAGCATGATGTTTTCGATGTACTCCTTCTTGTTCTCGCATTCGATGGCAGCGCCCAGAATGAGTTCGATGAGCTTGATCATCTCTGTGTTGTCCTCGTTCTTGCACACGCGGTCTGCGATCAGTGTGGCCACGACACGACACGACAGAGACGCGGTAAGTTGTGGCATCTTAGGAATGCGTGGTGGTGATGGTGCGTGGGCATACCAATGTCAACGCTAGCGGCGTCGCTGGCGATGTTGAGTTCGTCGCTGTAGAAGTCCTCGATGTTGGTGAGGAGAAGCTTGACGTTGGCCTTCCTCAGCAGCCAATTGTTCAACGCCGAACGCTTCAGCGTTGACATGTCAACATGACGAGGCGCGCTGGGGGGGTTTCGTATGCGAGAGCGTGAGCGTGAGCGTGCGCCAAGTAGGAAGAGAGAGACGACAGGGCTGCACAAGAGTAGGAAGAGAGGGGGAGCCAGAGATCTCTGAAGGGGCGAGAGCGTACATCTGAGCAAAAACCTCGCATAACAGGACGCCATCGAACAGCTCGTCGATGCCCTTGACGGTATGTGAGATAGCAAACGTGTTGATCTGCAGAGAAGGCGAGGCATATGTGAGATAGAGTGGAAATGGAAGAAAATCGAAAAAAAATCTAGTGCCACGTAGCCCATGAATTGACACGATCATCCCACCTTTAAAACACCAAAAGAGTGAGTGGATAGGAAAGAAAGAAGGAGTGCAGTTGTGGTGGCATGAATTAAATCAAGTGAAACCACTACGAAGCGATGAAAGAGATTCAAATTTGCTCCTGTTCTAGCAGGGCGAGAAAGAGAAGAGCGAAGGAAGCACAAATCAAGCCTAAATTGAAGCGATGTGTAAGGAGTGAGTCTCAGTTTTCACTCTTTCGAAGCACATACCCAGTTGATCAGAGCATCAATTTGTTCTTTTTCGGACACGTCCTCGCTCATCTCTGGTCGTCTTCTGTCCTCTTTCTTCTTCTTCTTCCTCTACCGCTTCAGTTCCTTCCCACGATCAAGTCAGGAGATCAAAAACAAAAGCTTCGATTTTCTTTTGGCGTTTCCTACGTCTCGACATTTTCCGTCGACAGTTTATTTCTTTTACATTTGTACACAAAATAAAATGACTAACGATCATGCGGGCGGAGCTTGCGCGTAAAAGACACAAATAAATAGGTATGTTTCCGAGCCTGTGGGACATTTTTTCAACCTACAGAAGCTCAGGCGCACTGCGTACGCCCTTCTGTTTTAGAGTACTCCTATCACACCATGCTCCGGCGTACCACACGAGCGCTCCCCCAGCGGTACCGCAACGCACTGTTATTTATTTTGTGCTTTTTTATTTGTTTGTATTTATTTATTTATTTATTATTTGTTTGTTTGTAGACATACTGCCAGTGGGCCGTTGGCGTCTCTTCGGCGGAGTAGCGGCGCAGCGCGGCACGGCTATGGAGGGCGCCACCTGCTACACACCTCAACCACCACCGTACGCTGCAACCATTTGAGTGCGTGCGGCGTGCAGTGGCGAGTGAGTGCGTATGTCTGCGCGAACTCACTGCCTCGCGGTTTTCCCAGCCACTGGTGAGCGAGAAGCATGGCCGGCGAGAGATCGACTACTTTGAGGAATCAGCCGCCATCGTTGCCCGTGAGAAGAACCAGCACGGTACACCACACCGACGTTGTTAGCTGGTGGTGCCCTCAACTTCCACACTAATCAGCTGTGGCGGGTGGTGCGCATTGGTCCCATTGGGGCACACCAGAGCGAAAGCCGCTGCGTGTGGACCTCATGCTGAAGTCGCTGTTCCTGCCGACCGGCTACCCGGCCTCTGTGCGGCAGGACTACATTCACTTCCAAAAGTGGGAGGTGGCTAAGGGCATCGTCTCCTCGGCCGGCTTCGTGTACGACGAGACACCGCACATCATCGATTGAGCGCATGGCATCTCTAACCTAGCTTTGCTGGCGTACCAGAATTTCTACGAATGCACTACTCAGCGCGGTTGGGTTGGGGGCCGGCTCGATGCCGGCCGCAGCGGCCATCTCGTGGGTCCTCAAGGACGGTACGCCGCCGCCGTGGCCGCCGAGCTGGCTTGATCGACTGATGTGGTGCATTTCCCTAGGCCTGGGCTGTCTTGGAATGATGTTGGTGGCGGGCGCATTCGGTAAATTCTTCGACACGGAGACCAAGCGCATCCGATGGGCCGCCGATTGCATCCACGTCGCTGGAGTCGCGGTGCGTACGCCACGACTCCCCTTTCTCTAGCCGCGCTAGTCTTCTTCATCGCAGGTGCCACCCAGCCTTGTCCTCACCTTGGTTGATCGGTCGATCTGTTGGGGTCTTGTCAGCTCGAGCTGGCCACGCCGCTCTTCCCCGCCTACTTCCTCCCACTGGCCTCGCTCGCCAACTCGGCCAAGGGCATCGCCGGTACCACCGACGGGACCTCACAATCGCTTCGTTATCACTGGTCTCATCCTCACTTCTCTCTGTTCTCTCTGTTCTCTCCAGGGCTCACGACTGGCGCCACCAAGGCAGCCATCAACCAGGGCTTCGCCCTGCGGGACAACCTGGGCGACATCACCGCCAAGGGTACAACCCCATTTCTATCTTTGTTGTTGACGAGCCACGCCACCTTACAACTCATAACTTTGCAAACAACCCAACAGGCCACTCGCAGGGCATTGTGGCCTATCTCATGGGCATGGGCATCGGTATAGGCACCACCTACGTCACCGGTACGTACCCGCACCACTCACGCGGTCTTTCGTCACATCAGTCACCAGCCTGAACTTGCTCACGTGGCACGCAACGCGGTCTTGTGTCGTGCGTGTCGTGTCGTGTCTCGTGTGTGTGTGTGTGGCACCAAGGCGGGGTGCTGGGAGCGCTGTTTGCGGTCTACGGCGTGCTGGCCGGGTGCCATCTGGCCTTCTCGCACCGCGCCCTCTCCAACGTGCGACTCACGACCCTGAGCCGCCAGCGGCTCAACCTCATCCTCGGGGCCTTTCACGACCGCGGCGCCGGTCGTGGCGCCCGAGGACGTCGACGAGCGCATCATCCTCCCCGCGGGCGACCACTTCACCCCGCCCACCATTGTCATGGGCGCCTCGCTACGCGACATCGTCTCCTCCACTTCCACCACATCATCCCTTTTCTCTTCTCTTTTCTCGCGCTTCTCCTCTTCTTCTTCGCTCACCACTTCGTCGTCGTCGACGTCATCGACTTCGCCAACGCTACTGCGGGACTTGATCGGCCTGCACCGCGACGAGCGGTTCGTGGTGCGCTACGCCCGGCCCAGCCGAGGCCCAGGCCCAGGCGGCCGTGTGCTGGTGGTGCTACACGAGGAGGCCGGACCCGAGGACATGCTCCGCGCCTACTTCACAGCGTTCCACCTGCGTCGGCTGGCCAGTCAGGACCTGGACGGTGGCGTGGGCGACAAGCCAGAGGGAGAGAGAGATGCTGAGACGTCGGGGCTAGCGTGGGAGCGAGCGAGCGTGGCCTTCACCCAGGCGCACTACGCGACCTTCGTGGGGCAGCTGGACGCTCGCGGGTGGACGCGCAATGTGGTGCTCGCCTCGGGCGCCTATCGCGCGCGCTGGTAAATAGACGCTGATGCTGGGTGGCTGGCCGTTTGCTGACGTCACGTGCTGCTGCAGCACCTAAATTCCCGCCTTGTGGTGAAAATTTGCGATGCAGCTAATTTCACCGCCGCCACCGCCAGCGCCACCAAGCCGCGGCGGAGGGCGTGAAGGGCCTGCCACGCAACTTTGACCTCATCGACCTCCTCTCCTCCTCCCCGGCCCGCGACCACAAGCAGCAGCCGCGGCGGCCTGCTCGCTCAGTCGTGCGGTGGCTGCGGAGCCACGTGCACGTGGCATCGGCCGACGTGGCATCGGCCGACGCGCCTGAGCCGCGCGCCGCGTGCGAGCACCACCGGGCCAAGAAGGTGGAGATGTGGTGCAAGCGCGACGGCGTGGCCAGCGGCGCAGCGCGAGAGGGTGTTCGACGGGTCTGACGGCGGCAACCATCGGGTTTAGGTGTGGTAACAGGAACGAATGTGACCGCATCATTACCAACACGTGAGGAGTAAAGACTGGACAAAGATGACGAACATAAAATCAAGAAAAAAGGGAGAAAATGCTCAAAACTGCAGGAAAATAAAGCCATATCAGAAAAGAAGACCTCTCGTTTTCAGAAGAAGATGGACGTGTTGCGGGAGCTGTTTCCTGGGCACGACCCAGACGTGCTTACGGATGTTTTGCATGGTCTGCAGGGTGACCTCACCGCAGCCATCGACGCCCTGCTGCACACCACAAACCCCAACCCCAGCCCAACCGCTCCATCATCACCTCCCCTCCACCGTGGTACCATTTCCCCATTCCCACTACTCGCCACCACCCTTGCCCCCCCTTTGCCCCCCTTGCTCCCCTCACGCTGTGCCGTCGTCGTAGTGCCGCCCGCAGAGGCCACCACCAGCGTCGTGGACCACCCAGGCGCACCTCACGCCACCGGCGACTCACCACCACCATCGGCGCCACCGCCATTGCTGCGCTCGGGACCACCACAGGCGGTGCCAACGCTGTGCGAGCGGTGCCTGGCGCAGGTGGCCGAGTCGGTGGTGCTGCCGCTGGTCAAGCCACGCAACGACGACGTGGCAGCAGCGGCGGCTGCGGTGCGCGGGGCGCTGGCCGCGATGCCGCGCGGGCTGGTGGGACGCGTGTGGGCGGCGCTGTTCGAGGCGGTGGTGGCCGAGGCCGCGGCGGGCTCGTCGAGCCTGCTCTTCGCGGTGGCGCCCCACACCACCTTTGCCCAGGCCCTCGCCTGGTTCTTCCCGCTCTGCGCCTCTGATCCAACCCTCGTCGCGTACCATTTCCCCCAATCTCGCGTCGTGTGTGCCGTGAGTGTCGTGTCGTGTCTTGTGTGTGCCATGTGTGCCGTGTGTGCTGTGTGTGCCGTGCGCGTCATATGTGCTCAACGACCGCACGCTAGGGAGGTGGCGGAGAGCATCAGCCGGTATCCGTACAGGGACAAGTTCAACGACGCCACCATGGAGCTCATGTTCGAGCCGCTCAAGCAGTGCCCGCTCCTCACTCAACTCTCCATCGTCGGTTGCTCCAGCCTCGTACGCCAGCCTCGTGCGACGTGTTGCCGTGTGTTGTGCGTGCCATGTGTTGTGTGTTGTGCGTGTCGTTGGCATTGTGTGTGTCATGCGTTTTGTGCGTGTCGTGATTGCTTACACCATTGCGCCGCGTCAGTAGATCTATCCGCAGCTGTGCTCGCCATACCTGGTCAAGCTATCGCTGTGCGACTGCGCGCGGCTCAACGACCTCGCCGTGCAGTGGCTGCTCGAGCGCAGCCCCCAACTCCAGGAACTCGACCTCGCGTACTTGCACCCTCCCCCCTTAATGTATGCGTGTCGTTCCGTGTGTGTCGTGTGCGAGTGCCGTTTTTAATGGACGTGTGCGTGTGCGGTGGTGCGTGTGCGTGTGCGTTTGGCAGAGGGTGTCATCGGCTGACGAGTCCGCGAATCGAGAGCGGGTCGCTGGTGTGGGTGAACATGGAGTCGTGCCGCGGCCTCATGTTCCCCGAGGTCCGCAACTCGCCGCACCTGCTCCACGTGCTGGTCCCCGAGGGCTGCAAGCTCGACTGGCGCCGCCCCAAGCCACCACCGTCAGCGGGCGGCGACGACCTCCTGTCGATCGAGCGGATCCTGGGGTGCGCGGGCGACTACTACGCCGTGCTCGGTCTGACCCCCGACGCCGCCCTTGCCCAGATCACCAAGCAATACCGCACCGTGCGCTCCTCCTCATTTATTTTTTAAATTATTCTATTTCATATTTTATTCTAATTCTAATTCTATTTCTTGGCTTATTCTTAATTGTTTTATACAACTTCTTTATTGATTTTGTCCGTGCGTGTCGTGTGTCGTGTGTCGTTGTGCAGATGGCCCTCAAGCTGCACCCCGACAAGAACGCGCACCCGGCGAGCGAAGAAGCGTTCAAGGTGATGGCGGAGGCGTTCGCGTGCCTGAGCGATGCGGGCCAGCGGGCGCAGTACGACGCCCACGGCGCGGCCGAGATCCGACCCGAGGTGCTGCGGCGGGCCGAGCGGGTGCTGGCTGAGGTGCAGGCCTACGTCTACGCCCACGTCCTCCAAACCCTCTTTGGCGCGCTCCCTCGCTCGTAGACCTCACACGACACAACCAATGGCACGACACGCACGTCGAGAGGAGGGTGGAAGAAATCTGCGTTTCATTCGAGGTTGATGGGTGGCCAGGGGCAGGAGTTGGCAGAGCTGGGCAGCCTGGCTTGGCCTCCGACGCCGAACTGCTCCCCAGCCTGACACACAGGCGCCGTTCGTGTGCGCCAACTGCAGCCAAGCGGCGGAGAAGTTCTGCGAGCAGTGCGGCGGCGCCCACCTGTGCGTGTCGTGCGATCACCAGATCCACGGGTTCCTTCCGCTGCGGAGCCACGTGCGTGTGGCGTCGGCCGACGCGCCCGAGCCCGCGCCGCGTGCGAGCACCACCGGGGCAAGAAGGTGAAGATGTGGTGCGAGCGCGACGGCGTGGCCGTGTGCATGGTGTGCCTCGTGGCGGGGCCGCACAAGGGCCACGACGCCCTCACCATCGAGGAGGCCGAGGAGCGAGCGCGTGAGGCCGCGCGGGTCGAGCTGGCGCAGGTCGAGCTGGCCATGGGCGAGGTCGAGGCCGCCGTGGAGCGCCAGGCGGCGCGCGAGGCCGCCGAACAGGAGAGCGGCCGCGAGGCGCGGGCGGCCATCAAGCAGCACTTTGACCGGGTGCGCGAGGCCGTGGCCCAGCGCGAGAGAGTGCTCGGCGCCGAGGTGAACGAGTGGGAGCGCACTACGGCCGAGGCGGCGGCCAAGCGGCGGGCCAAGCTCCGCCCAACGGCCCGCGGACGTGGCGGTCGACGCGGCCACGGGCAACATCATCGTGGCCGACAGGGACAACCATCGGGTGCACGTGTGGCAGGCCGACGGGTCCTTCCTCCGCACCTTCGGCTCCCGGGGTCGTGGCCATGGTCAGTTCAGGAGGCCCGAGGGTGTGGCGGTCGACGTGGCGGGTAACGTCATCGTAGCCGATTACGGCAACCACCGGGTGCAGGTGTGGCGGGCCACTGGCCGGTCCTTCCTTCGCACCCTCGGCTCCCTGGGTGGCGGTCCCGCCCAGTTCAAGGACCCTAGAGGTGTGGCGGTCGACGCAGCGACGGGCCACATCATCGTGGCCGACTGCGGCAACTAACGGGTTCAGGTGTGGTAAACAGGAACGATGGTGATGAACATTCAACTGTAGTTGTGCACGAGGAGTTTCTTCACATTTCTCCGCCACTACCTGGGTGGAAGGTCGGAGTGTGGTGCTTCTCCTTTATAGGAGCATTCTTCATTCTCTTCTGCCACCACAAGTGTGCCTTCAACACCACCTGGGTCCCTGAGTGTGGTGACTGAGCTGGTTGATGGTGGAAGTGAGATGCTGAGGATTGCTGGTGATGTCATTGACTCATTACTTACCTTACATGATGGTCTCAATCTACTTTCATGATCTAAGGATACTCCAAAAACAAAAAGAACATAAAAAATGAATGTAGAATATGGGAGAATGCCATCATTTTGGCAATGGAGTTGTGTAAACACAGGCTTTCTGGAGATGAAAGTGCTATTTTCCAACCCAGCACCTTCCCCATCAGCACCACATCTGATCCCCAATCTCACCGTCTCACCAATCCAAGGGCTGTTTTACTTTCTTCTTCGCTCCAGGAGCCCACCCTGGACCCTTGTCTTCACTTGCGAATGCGATGCTGGTGCTGCTTGCCTGCGTTCCCGTCGCCGCCGCTGCCGCCGCAGTCCTCGCTGCCTGGCAGGTTGCCACCAAATCGCCCGACGTGCCTGACCCGCCTGCGCTAGCGCATCCGGTCAAAGTGCTGCTTGATGGCCGCCCGCGCCTCGCGGCCGCTCTCCTGTTCGCCGGCCTCGACCTCGCCCATGGCGGCCTCCACCTGGGCCAGCTCGACCCGCTCACGCACTCGCAGCTCGGCCTCCTCGATGGTGAGGGCGTCGTGGCCCTTGTGCGGCCCCGCCACGAGGCACACCACGCACACGGCCACGCCGTCGCGCTCGCACCACATCTCCACCTTCTTGGCCCGGTGGTGCTCGCACGCGGCGCGCGGCTCGGGCGCGTCGGCCGACACGCACATGGCTCCGTAGCGCAGGGAATGCGTGGAGCTGCGCGTCGCCCGACACGCACAGGTGGGCGCCGCTGCACTGCTCGCAGAACTTCTCCGCCGGATGGCTATCGCAGTTGGCGCACTTGAGCGCAGCCGAGGCCTTTCCCGTCCGCCGCCCGCTGGAGGGCCGCGGCTGCTGCTTCTGGCTGCGGGCCGAGGAGGAGGAGGAGGAGAGGAGGTCGATGAGGTCAAAGTTGCGTGGCAGGCCCTTCACGCCCTCCGCCGCGGCCTCGCCGTCGACCAGACGAACACGCGTCACCGTGCGGCACTTGGGGCACCGCAGAAGATTCATGGCCTCCGCCAGTTCGGCTTCGGCTTCGGCTTCGGCGTTGGTGGTGGGTGCGGGGGTGGTGGAGCCAAGGAGGCGGGTGAGGCACGCGGTGCAGAAGGAGTGGCCGCACTTGAGCAGCCGCGGCAGGCGGTCGGCCTCGCTCGCGCTGAAGGCGAGGAAACATATGGAACACGTGCCCACGTCCTCCTCCTCAGCAGCAGCAGCGGCGGCAAGCGTCTGGTGGTGGTTCATCTCTCTCTTCTTGGTCTTCCGCATCTTCTTCTGTTCTTTTTTCTTAGGCAGACAACTGCCTGGTTGAGCTGTATTTTCGATTTTAAAACAATGTTCATAATTCCCATCTTCCCATCTTGTGGTGCTCCCACAATAAACGTCCCGAACGCATACTAACAGGAGTGCATTTTACGCAAAGCGTCTCAAAACAGCCCAGAACGTCCACCACCTCCTCCGTACCCTCGAACTCCGAGAACCCTAACCTGAGACTAAAGCCATGCCCAAACTGCGCTACGAGGCCAGAAAAGGGAAGGCCACGCTAACCGCGTGCCTCAACAGCGCTGGCCGCGCTGGCAACACGTCGGCTAACCGCCGCGTGAGAAAAAAGGGGCGTTTATTGTGGTCGCAACAAACTGCGTTGTTCTGGCCAGTTTAACGCCGAACAACTACAGTTCTTGCTGCTGTTCTTGTTGGGGATGCTCACGCTCGTAGAACGCACCACGACACGTCGAGAGAGGAGGGCGAAAGAAATCGGCGTTTTTGTGTTCATTCGAGGTTGATGACGACGGTGGCCGGGTCGGCAGGGGGCAACAGTTGGCAGAGCTGGGCCAGCTGGGCCTGGAACTGCGGGGCGTGCGAGGAGAGGGCCGAGGGCGGCAGCGTGGACACGATGGCCGCAGCCTTGGCCAGCAGCGCCAGCGCCTTCTCCACCGACTCCTGGCCCGACGCCGAACTGCTCCCCAGCAGGCAGGCCTGGCACACGCGCGTCGTTCGAACGTGTGCGGTTGAGTACTGTGTGGTCAGTACTCTCTACGAGTGGAATGGTCAGAGACAGGGTAAAGAGAGTACCTGGGCCTGGGCGAGTCGCTCCTTGGTGTAGTTGGCCAGCCCTGCTGCGACGTGGTCGGCCACTTGGGCGTCGTCCATCTGTGTGTCGTGTGTCGTGTCGTGGCGACAAATCGAAAGAGTGTGTGTGTGTGTGCAGCGATTAGATGAAGAAGCCCCACACACGCAGACAACACAAAAAGGAACGGCGCACGCACGGGTTGCTGGTCCTTGGAGAGCGCAATCGGGTGGCCGCTCAGAAAATGAATTAACATCGTCCGGCACTCGGACGATAGAAGCCCCTGTTTCGTTGTGTCGTGTGTTGTGTGCGTGTGGTGCGGTGTCAGCGGCGGGTGCAAGGCAGACGGGAGAAAAAGGCGCGTGTTGTCGTACCTGGATGCTCTCGAGGGGGTAAGGTATGAATTGTGCAAAATGTTGGAAGCTCTGCATAGTCTCGGCGCACACGGTCCAGTCGCCGTCGGCCAGCAGCTGCTGGAAGAGGCCCGCGCAGCTGCGCAGCACGCGGTCCTGCATGTCCGCCCGCAGCCTGACGTGGCACCTCGCCAAGAACTGCGCCACCGCCGGCTTTGTCGACGGAAACGTGCTCATCACCTGCCCGTAGCCCACCAAAAACTGCCCCGGGCCGCCGCACACATATGTGTCATGCGCGTGTGCGGCGGTGCGTGTGCGTGTGCGGCGGTGCGTGTGCGTATGCGACGGTGCGCGTGTGTCATGGAGGCGTACGTTGGGCAGCATGTCGGGCGAGAAGGCGGGGATGAGGACAGAGAGGTCGACGAGGCTCGGGAGCAGGTGGAGAGCGTGGTACTTGAGCGGGTCCTCGGTCACGTTGCGCAGCAGGTCGCCCAGGGACTCCAGCAGGGTGCGCGCCGTGGAGTCCCGCTCCGGCAGCCGCTCGTAGGCCATTAACGCCACCAGGCACTCCGCGACGCTGATCTACTCGTACATTCGAGTGTCAGCGCGTGCGCGTGCGGTTGTGTGTGTGTGTGTTGTACCAGTTGTGGCGGGAGCACGTGTTGCGAGGTGAATTGGCGCACACACAGGCGAGCGATTTGGCCAAGGAGAGCATCGGTGCCGGTGGTGAGAGGCTCGGTAGCGCCCGGTCGCATCGTCCACGCCGGCAGGAATGCGGCCAGTCGATAGAGTATCGCCTCCTGCCATTTGTCCGCTCATCAGCACCAATAGCCACACGACACGACATGACCAACGACACGACACTTACCTCTGATGCGGCGCTCTTGGTTTGTCCATTGAGCAAATCTTCCGTGAGCTCACGCAGCAGGAATTCCTGCGAACAGGTGTAAGCAGCGAGCAACGTCCAATGTTAAAAATTAACATCATATAAAAATAACAATACTAAATATTGAGTGCTTTATAAACATACCTTGGCCGACGACGAGACGGAGTTGACGAGGAATGGGAAGAGCGGAGCGAGGGACTCCACCACGCGGCTGCCGCCCGTTTTGATCTGCAGTGGCGCGCACCAGCGAGGATGAGCCGAGCGCTCACAAACAACGAAGAGAGAGGAGAGAGAGGAGAGCAAACGACGGACCAGATTGGCGAGCAGCTGGATGTGCCGTCGCTGGAGCGCCTCGTCAGCGTTGCTGAGCACAAAACTGTGGAGCTCCACGGCCAGCTGCGAGCACAGGAAGTGGGGGTGGAACAGGTGCTGAAACAGGAAGCACTCCACTTCCTATCGGCCGGCATGCCAACCATAAAAGGTGTGAGGTTCTTTTGGCACTGTGTGCGTGTGCGGTTGTGTTATGGTGCCAGCTGGTACGGACCTGCAGCATCTGGGGACCTTTCCGACTGAGGGAGTAGATTAGGGCGGACGTCGGCACCGCCACGCTCTCGAGCCCGTTCTTGAGCACTTGGGCACAGCACGTCTCCACGCCGTTCATTATCCAATAGAGCACCCTGATACACCCCACACGACACACGGGGGAAAAAAGGGAATTGGAATTCCAGTACAGGAGCCAAGAGAGGGCGAGGACCGCGTACGCGACGGCCTGCGGAAAGAGAATCGACGGCGGGAGGTTCTGGCAGAGATAGAGCAGAATCTGTGCAGAACTCACAGGATGAGTAAGTGCGCCAAGGTGTTGGTTGGGGGTGGGGGTGGAGGCCATCGTAGCGCACACGCGCGCGTGTTGAGAGCTCGCAGCTGTGTACCTGGAGCTTGGGCGCGGAAAGCGGATCCTCGCCGCCAACGCGAATCGCGAACATCTCCAGCAGCTTGGCCCTGTGCTCGTCGTTCAACGTCGACGCACAAAAGAGGGTCTGAATTATCGGAGACAGTAAACAGTGGTGTGAGTTCCGCCGGCGAAAGCACCAAAGCGCTCCACACACACACCACACCACACCACACCACAGGTGTGACCTGTGCTGTGATCGTACCTTGATGCAACCGCACACGGTCTTATACACCGCGGAGGCGGCCTTATGTGCCTGGGCTGGATGGACCGAAACCGAAACGAGACATAACGTCAATGTGTGGCGAGGGATGAGCCAGCGACGATCACCGCAAAACAATTTGTGGGGGAGGGGGGGTAGTTACGCGTGAATGCGCCAGGCTTGCTCGGGTCTTCGATGAGATTGCTGGCGTAGCGGAGTGCGTGTGAGAAAAACTGTAACCTTCGTTGTTGATCCGAAGGGAAAGAGAGGGGCGGTACCTTCCGATGAGCAGCACAAAGGAAGCCAGCTTCCCGAAATGAGGCACGAAATGCGGCGCTAACAACGATAACCAGCCGTGAGACAGACATAAAGGAAGAGGGAAGAAGGAAGAAGAGTGTGCAATATACCGTATGAGCGAGAGAGTATGCCCATCACGGACAGCAGGAAACGGCAGGCCTTGACCTTGTTCTCAAAGGCCTTTTCATCGCCCTTGGACACCAGCTCGCCGGCGCGCTGCTCGTGGTGTTTGTCAAGAAAAAACAGATCAAAAAAGGAACGGTACGGTAGAGGCTCACTTTGGCGTCTCTCGTGCATTCATCAGGCCCACATACCTCACGACTCAGCACCAGGCGCGGCGCGCATGGCATCGCTGCGTTCCAACTCGACTGCACCTTCAGGACGCACAGCGTGACGACTCGGTTGAGCAGGGCTGGGTTCTGCGGGAAGAAGAAGAAGAAGAAAGCAGAATGAGAACACCGAACGGAAGCGTTTTGTAAGGGCGCTGGTGGATCCAACCTGTAGTCGGTAGGGGTGCATGAGGGTGATCTCCCGGACGAGCTTCCACACGGCTGTCTGGACCTTGACGTTCTTGGCACACTTGTCGCCGATCGCGATGATCTGTTGCATGACTGTGCACGAGGAGAACAAAAAGGGGATTGGATGAGCAAAGTCACAAAGTAAGAGCGCCCATTGGGTCAGCAACCTATTATCCTTACATTATTATCATTATCATCATCATTCTTACTATTATTATTAGTTGACGCATTGGGGAGCTCACCGTAGAGGAGCTCCGGGTCGTCGTAGGGTTGCGGCATTTGCGAGGGCGAAGGCGAAGGAGGGAACATCTTGAGGTGGAGGGGGACGAACTGAGACAGCAATGTCAGCGCGCTTGTGAACAGGGCGTTGGCCTCCTGCGTCAGTGTCGCAGCTTCGGGGCCTTGTATGCCAGCGCCGGACAACTTGGACAAGAGCTCCTGGAACGCGTGACCAGCCGAGAGGGGTGAGATGAGCAGAGGTGGTGGGTGAGTGGATGTGGGCGCTGGCATACGGTTGACCGAGAGATGGCGGGGTTGACAACGGAGAAGAAGTGGTCGAGGAAGACGGTCAGCACTATGGCGTCGCGCTCGAGGGACATTGACTCCATCGCCGTCTTGCATCTCTCGAAGAATATCACGCACCTCCTTTGTTCCTACCGAAAGAAATAAAGAGGGCATCAACGTGGTGAGAAAGAGACAGAGTATTGAGCTCAACTCGCAAGCTCTGTCTCGGCATAAGGGGAGACGCGTACTCCCAGCAGCTCCAAGAGATCGCGTGGGCTGGGCGCCGCTACGGCAGTGCGGTCAAAGGCCTGTGCGAGTCGTTCTACAGCCGCCTCGTAGAGCGTCTTGGCCTGTGTACGCAGCAGCGAGAGATCGAAAGTGTAAGAAGCCCTTTGGTGCTATCGGGCTGAATGAATAGATCGATGATAAGTGAAAGTAGCGTACGTGGAAGGAGAAGGTGGTAAAGAACGGCGTAAGCATGTCTTGGTTCGTGCAAACGCTGATCAACGATGCGGACGCTTGTAAGGCCGCTAATCGAAGCGGCATGGGTGCCATCACATCAAGTATGGGTTGCTGAATGTGAAGAAAGATGCGTGAATAGATCAAAAATCGTCAAAATCGTTGCATTAACGTACGCTGAGAGCACTCCAAAGCATCTCGAAATTGTCCGTGACCTTAGTAACATCCCAAGCCTGCACCGCCTCAACAGCATTTGTCTTGGTGACCAGGTCCAAGCTGCTATCGAGCAGCAGCGATTGCAGATCCATCTTTGCCAGAGTGCAACATTCGCGCCAAAACAAACACCAGAAACTTGGCTACAACTACTTGGAAAAATTTCGCAAAATGTCTGAATAATGCACAGCGCTGAACAGGCAGACCACAAGCAAGGAGCAGCTCTCGCTTTCGTTGATGAACTTCCACATCAAGGTATAGACGTCCCCAGCAAGTTTTCGATGTCCCTGGCTGCGTCAAGGTGTTCGCGGACGCCGTTATGGCCCCACCCCACGCAGGGATGTGATTCGCCCGCTTGAGTCCGATCGGCAGAAGCCTCGGGGGATTTCCGCAATTCATTTCCTCCGATTTTCCACCCAACAGTTGCCGGTGGCAAAACGAAAAGAGAACTCGCGGAGAGGAGAACGATCGGCTGGCGCATCTCTCGATTCAATCCATTTTTGCTTGATCCAGTCAGTATAACTTTCGAAACCTGTCAGGCATCTCTTAGCCTCGGATGCAGAGTGTTTGATCTAAATCTCTATCCAGCAACGCCCCCTTGCCCTCCTATCCACCAAGAAACAACATGGCACTTATCCAAACAACATCGAATGGACTGATGAGCACCAGCCCTGCCAAGACGCGGGCGTCTCCCGCTCTTCTCGTAGTTGGTACGATCACCAATCTTTTGTGCCTTTTTTGTTCCCTAATTTACTTTAATTTAATTTGTACGCAGCCATCGAGGGCCGCAACTTCGTGTCGCTGGGGCTGCGACCCGACGCTCTGCGCACCATGCGCTACTACTGCCAAATCGTAATCGAGGACGTTAAAACGAGCGACATCCTGCTCAACGTGCGCACCAATCGCGTGCAGCGCGGCCAGACCAACGTCGTGTGGAACGAAGAGCTCTACTTGTACGTACACCACTATACATACAATACCATCCTTACTTCTGCTGTGCTCAGCTGAAAAGGTCATCAAGTTCAAATTTTTAACTCCTTGGCCGTGTGGTTCAAAGAAAGTAATTTTAACCGCTGGTTGTTGGGCACGCGCAGTGAGTTCCCGCCAGGCCGCAAAAAGAAGGACGTCGAGCTGAAGGTGATGTGCTTTGAGCACAGCCCGCTGCACGACCACTTCCAGGGCGAGGTGGTGCTGCCCCTGGGCCACCTCCACCGCCACCGTGCGCTCGATCAGTGGTACGCGCTGGCCCGACGGGACAAGAAGCCCGTGCGCGGTGAAGTCCACCTCAAGCTCGAACTGGGCGTCGATGTGCCCGAGAACTACGTACGACGGCCGAGCTCCCTGGACGGGAGCGATCCGACCGTGCGAGCGTCTATGCCCGTCGGCCTCGACATGGCCTCCTTTCGATCGGCCGACGACAAGCGCGCGTATGGCCTCCTTTCTGTTCACGCACACGCACCACCGCACACGCACTTAGATCTCTTTACCCAACGCTCTATCAGGCTCGCGCTGTCGTCGCCCGACAAGAAGTTCAAGAAGAGCTTCAAGGGGTTCCGCGACAAGTTCAAGAAGACGACGCAGGGCGTGCGGGGCTACTTCAGCGAGGCCGACGACGGGAGCGACGGCCAGGCCTCACCGCTGGTGGGAATGGCCGGCGGCGCGGTGACGGAGGACGAAGCCGGCCGGCTGCGGGACATGCGCGAGAACGTGGATCTCGACCACCTGCTGCACCACCGTGCCGGCGAAAGAAGCAACAGCGTTAGCAGCGACGGATTCGTGGACGACGAGGAAAGCGTGGGCGACAGCGACCACTCCGAGGGCGGCGGCGGCAGCAAGATTATCAAGCGCAAGTCGGGAAAATCGTCCAAGCGCACGAAGAAGCGCAAGGAGGGACAGCATCCTCGTGCTCAACAGCAACGAAGGCCACCTGATCAATTTTGACGACCTCGAAGACGGCGGCAGCGGCATCAACGGCTGGCGCTCGGACGGTTCGGCGCCGTCGTCTCCCCGCTACGCGGTGACCACGGACGAGAGCGGCGAGGTGCTGGGCGTGATCACCCCCACCACGCTCATCGAGCACTTCGAGGACGAGGAGGAGGAGGTCTGTTCCGAGGGCGATGTGTCCATGTCGGCCTCTGCGGACGTCTACGAAGGCGCCGACGGCAGCAGCAGCCTCGGCGACCTGGTATCGTCCCAGCAGGCCTTCAGCACGGCGAGGGGCGACAACATCAAGAAAACGAAGAAGACGACAAACAAAAAGAAGAACAGGCTTCGGGAGCCGCTCGCGGTCATCATCGAGGAGAGCGGCGGGTCCGCTACCAGCAGTGACCAAGAGGATGGCGGCTTCGGCAGCGGCGGCCCGACGCCATCGCCATTCAAGAAGACCATCAAGCGAGGCGGCCTGGTGGCGAGCGACGAGACCGGAAGCCCAGCGACCATCGCAGGGCCATCGCAGGGCCGGCGACCGCGATCGGCCAGCGATTTTGTCATCCCGCGGCTCAAGCTGAGCGACGAGATCGGCGGCTACGACAGCAGCGCCGGCAGCAAGGGCAGTCGACGGCGGCAGAAGAAACTCTACGCCTCGTCCCAGCGCCTGGCCTTGTTGAACAGGTATGGCGACACGACACGACCAACGACACGACACGACACGCATTGACTTGTGTTCGTGAACCACCTGGGAACAGGTTCCCCACCTACGATTCCAAGTCGAAGGCGACGATCATCAGCCAGCGGCAGCGCGCCTACCATATCTGGCTTGATTCGTACCATCGCGACATGGACGACTTTTTCGACGACACCAGGGACTGGAAGGCGCCCATCGGCATGCAGGTAAGTTGACACGACACACATGCCACACACGACACGACACACACGACACACACGCCCAACGACACACGCATGTTGACTGTGATGCTGGATTGCAGGATAGCGATAAGTTGGATTATGTGGCGCTGGCGCAAGAGTGGAAGCGACCATGGCAGAAGGACATGGAGCAGGCCAGGGAGACGAAGGACAACCTGCAGGAGGTGATCAACGACGAGATGGAGGACATGGAGGGCATCATCCGCAAGATCAACGACAAGGCCGGCTCGCACTTTGAGCAGACGACGCTCTACTCCCAGTCGGCCGTGAGCGCCATGCGCGACATCGCCAAGGAGACGCGCAAGAGGCAGCTGCAGGAGCAGGCCAAGCAGAAGAAGGAGGAGAAGATGAAGAAGAAGCGAGACGCCGCCGCCTCATCGACGTCGCCATCGTCTTCCCGACGCATCGGCCCGCTCATGCCCACGCCCTCGAGCCCGCCCGAGAGCACCGGCTATCGGCCGGTCATCGTACTCCTGGCCACCCTCCTCATCTTGTACATACTCAACACTTTCATGTAATTAACACAACACATCACAACATAAAACGTAAAACATGTAACTACATTGTTGCTGCCCTCAAATGCAAGCAACAAGTTTTGAGTTGAGGTGCAGCAGTGACATGAAAGATGAGAAGTCTGCTAGAACGGTTGGTTCAGAGAATTTGAGCCACCCACGCTGAAAGCAGAAGAACCTCAATCAATACCGGACAAGAGGAAGATGAAGAAGAACAGAGGAGGAGGTGGTGGCAGGGGACGGGGAGGAGGAGGTGTGAAGAGGCCCAGTGGAGCCCCAGGCCCGCTCAAAAAGTTGCCGGTCTTTGCCAACCAGGTGCCCTTCCGGTTCGACCCCGCCACCGACGCCTGGACCGAAGTGGTCCTCCCTGCGGTGGCACCCACCGACGGGGGCGCCAGGAAAAAACCCGGATCCAGACCGCCCGTGCCACCTCAGCCGGCGGCTGCCAGCACCTCCACCACTCGGCCGAGCCCTGACCACGAAGCCGAGGCCGAGGCTGACGCCGAGACCGAGACCACGTCAGTTGTAGAGGAGGTGGGTGGCGGGCGGACGTACAAGCTGTGCACGATGAACGTGCTGTTCGACCTGTACGGCAACGAGCGGATACAGACCAAGCGGCGCATGCCGGCCCTGATCGACCTCCTCCGCGACACCGATGCCGACATCATCGGCCTCCAGGTGTAGCCCCGGATCATTTCCGACGACAGCTTCAACACAAAGACGATGATGAAGGTGTCTGACCGTGTGTCGTGTGTCGTGTGTCGTGTGTCGTGTCGTGTCGTGTCGCGTGTGTATCGTGTCGCGTGTGCGTCGTGTGTGCGGTGGGAGAATTAGGAGGTGACGCAGCCGTTCTTGATTCGGCTGATGCGGGAGGAGTGGGTGCAGCGGAACTACTACGTGTCTGACGGGTCGCTCGGGTACAGCCTCAAGCCCTACTACGGACAGCTCATCCTCTCCAAGCTCCCCTTCCACCGGTGCCTCGTCCCTCTATTCCTTGTGTGTGCGTCGTGAGTGTGTCGTGTGTCGTGTGTCGTGCGCCGTGTGCTCACTGCATGACCGGCAGGCTCATCACGCACCAGTTCAGCAAGTCCAAGAAGTACGCAATTCTGACAACGTTTATTTTCCCTTGATGTTTGCTCAATTGACTTGTTGCGTGTGTCGTGTGTGTCGCGCGGTGAAGGGTGACGATAGCGCAGTTTCTGGTGGAGGGCCGGAAGGTGTGGGTGCCGGTGGTGCACCTCACGAGCAATCGGAAGGGGTCGGACCTGTACAACAAACGCCACCTCCAGCTGCAGGTCATCTTCGCCAAGATCTGCCCTGCCGCCGAGCCAGGCACAAATTTCCCCCTCTTTTGGTGGCTACCACGCAAACCACATTCATTGATAACATTGCGTTTGTAACTACAGAAGACGAGAAGGCCGACGTGTGGATGATGGGTGACTTCAACTTCGAAGACGGCGAAGAGGATCGCGGCCTGCCACCTCAGGTGCGTGACACACGGCACACGGCACACGGCACACGACACGCACGACACACGGTCTGAACTTCTACAGTGGCGATGAAAATCATAATCGTGGTTGCGATCGAACATTCAATGTTCCAGTGGGGCCAATTTGTGGATGTGTGGCCGTCGCTCTACCCGGCGCAGGCTGGCTACACGTTCGACCCGCAGCGCAACGCCATGGCCGCCGAGACCACCTCCTCCGGCCGATCACGGTAGGCCCGTCCGCACACCACGCATTCCCCCCTTTTCTCTTTACCGCCAAACCGATTTCAAAATGTCTTGCCTGCTGACGTGTGCTGGGGCCGTCCACAGGCGGATCGACCGGGTGATGCTGCGGTCTGGGGCGGGCGCGCCGCGGTGGGAGGCCCGGTCGATGGAGCTCATCGGCACGCAGCCCCTGCCCCCTGTGGGCGATGAAGGCGGCGACGAAGGCGGCGCGGTCGTCTTTCCGTCGGACCACTTTGGCCTCGTCGCCGTCATTGGGTCCGCCGGCGCTGCCACCACTTCCAATGGTGTCGGTGGCTTCGGCTGACCGACAGCACCTGCTGAGCAGCAATTCCTACGCAGGGTTGATGCAGGAAATTCGTGCGGGTCAAAAAGAAAATAGGTGAAATGAAAAGTTGTTTTTCCTTCTTTGGAGTGTTGAGAAGAAGACACCCAGCAGGCGAGGACTGGTGCTCGTGATGGCGAAGGGACCAAGGCCAATATTGATGCTCTTCCTGTTAACAGGGGGTGTACTCATTTTGCTGCACCTCCACCACACGGGGATGACGCAATGGCACGACCGAGGCTACACCCTTCCGCCCTTCCACTTGCTCCCGTTGCCGCAGCTCGAGGTCGAACCACTCAGCCCCGAAGACATGTTTCGCACGCCGGCCGTCAATGGCATCTTCGAAGACCCCGAGGACCGTTCGCTGCTGCGTCTGCTGCCGCATTCGATCCACAAATTCGTGTGCGAGCTCAACCGAGCCGCGCTCGACCAGCGCGGCTTCGAGTGCGACAAGGCCCTGCCGCTGCGCGCCGTGCTCGACATCGTGCTGCCGCCGCGCCGGGTCTATCTCGACCTCGGCACCAAGAAATTCGACTCGAGTGTGGGCTGGTTCCAGCGCGAGTACCCGGTCGAGTTCAGCCAGATCTACTCCTGGGAGATGGTACCCGATTTGTTCGTGAAGCCGAGCGTCAACTTCGCTGCAGCGGAGATGAACCTGACCTTGGGCGAGGCCGAGCGCTGGCTCAACAGCATCACCCACTTCACAGCCAAGGTCACGGCCCAGGCCGATCAGTCGGAGTCGGACGTCGTGCACTTCCTGCAGACCCACGTGCGACCTGAGGACTTCGTGGTGATGAAGATGGACATCGAGGGCGAGGAGTGGAACATCATCCCGCGGCTCGAGGCCACCGGTGCCATGCACCTGATCGACGAGTTCTTTGTCGAGGTCCACTTCCACCACCCGATGATGCAGCCCCACAGCTGGGGCAAGTTCAGCCACACTCTCGAGGAAACCACGGAGATGGTGCAGCGCCTCCGGAGCCGAGAGGATCTCTTCTTCCACTACTGGCCCTGATGGCTGCGAACAATTAAAAAGAAAAAGAATATTCTTTTTTTCTTCTTGGTGTATTCGGGCAGCAACAAAAGATGAGCACGACGCACAAGGAGACGGTGCGGGCTTGGTTCCAGAACATGAAGGAGCCGGCTGGTGCCCACGTTGACGCCGCAGAGGCGTGTGGGAGCGCGATAGCGGTGGCCGGCTGGGCCGAGGCCGACGGCGGCATCCTGCTGGGCGATATCGACGACGCCCTCGACTTGGTGCGTCTCCGCGCCGCCGGGGTGACCCACATCATCAACTGCGCCGCCCGGCCGCTGCCGCCTGAAGGCGAACAAGAAGACAACATCGACTCGACCCACCCGCACCTGCGGCTCCGCAGGCTCGACGCCCCGGGCCTGGACCACTACACATCGCGCGGCGTCGAGCTGGCGGGCTACCTGGCCTTCGCCGCGACGGACTCGCCCACATACAGGATGGCCGACCACTTCGATGAGGCCTGCCGCTTCATCGATGAGGCCCGGGCGCAAGGTGGTGGACCACGCCGGGTGCTGGTCCACTGCCAGGCGGGCGTGTCGCGATCGGCGTCGGTCGTGCTGTGCTACCTGATGCGCAACAACGAGTGGACCCTGCGGCAGGCGATTGAGCACGTGTGGCAGACGCGGCCCTTTGTGCTGCCCAATGCTGGCTTCTTCGACCAGCTTCTGGAGGTAGAACGCCAACTCTTTGCCATCTGATCTATTGTATAAAGAAACTCTTCAGCCCGCACAACACACACGAGTCCTTGCTCGGTTGCGGTCTCTCACACTTCGTCTTCTCTGTGGTGCATTTCTCTTTATTTTCTCGTAGGACATAAGAAAAAAATAAATAAAACAGAACAGTGTAGCGTGTAATCGATAGGTATAAGTACGAAGATGGCGAGTGGATTGAAGGACGGTGGGGATGGCAGCACGTTGTGGCTCATTGTGGGCGGCGTGGTGACACTGGTCATCGCTGCTATCGTAGCGTTTCTTCTGAACAAGAAGAAGCCGGCCGCTGTGGAGGCACCAGTGGTGCCCAAGAAGCAGCCAGCAAAGAAGAAGGAGTCCAAGAAGGCAACAACAGATGCCAAGTCTGCCAAGGTAGGTCAATTAGAAACTCAACACATCTTTCAGTGCATTGTTGAGATTAATCCAAACATCACACGAGACGGCCGAGCACCCGCTGCTACTCGGCCAACTGCGGGCGCACGAGGACGAAGTGATCTCGATGACCTTCAGCGCCTCGGGAACGGTGCGGCAACACCTGGCGGTCACGCCTCTTCTGTACTCTCTGTTCTCCCTTCTCATCTGCTGCCCTCCATATGCAGGCCTTTGCCACGCTGGGAGAGGACCGCACTGTGCGCCTGTACGCCGCCAAGGAGATGACCGCCAAGGACGTCAAGTACGCTGCCGCTGCCGCTGTGTTCTGATGGTCTTTCGTTAACTCCAAAGTGGTTCTTCCTACGTTTACTGTCATGCTCATCACCACCGTAGGCCCCAGCGCATCAACCTGGAGGACCACGGTGACCTCGTCGCGCTTTCGGGCGACGGCAGCCACCTCCTGCTCGTGCTTCCGCTTGCCGTGCGCAGCATCCGCCTGTTCTCCCTGAAGGTAAGCGTCAACCCCCCAGCCGCCCGCTCCTTGAAGGCGACGAGATGTGTGTTGACGCCGCAATTGTTGTTGTGTGAGCGCAGAAGGGGAAGGACGGCAAGCCGCAGGCGGCCAAGGTCAGGGACATTGCCACCAAGCACAAGTCCGAGATGAAGTCCATCTGCGTGGCCAACAACAACAAGTACTTCCTGACCTGCTCCGAGTCGGGTGAGTACCACTCTTTTTCCCGCCTTTTTGTACACTTGCGCGCCTATCACCGGTGGGATGAGCTCACCTTCATGATGCCACACGCGTGCGCAACCACAGACACGCTGGTATCGCTCTTCAACATGCAGGGAGAGGAATTGACGACTGTGGACACCAAGAAGATCAAGAACAACATGTACGTGGCACGCCTCGTTCGAAGAAAAAGAGCATTCGACTGTCATGAGCCGCCCTCATTCCAATGCGACCACGCTGCAGGGCGAGCATCTCGCCCGACTCGCGCTTCTTCACTGTGGGCACGTTCACGGGCGACGTCAAGGTACCGACCACTACGATCTCTTTCGGACGTCTGTGTCGCAGGTGGCACGATGTTTCGTGCTGACATCGGCCGCCGCACGTCAGATCTACGAAGTTGCGACGCAGAAGGGGAGCGACTCCTGGGCCTTCAAAGGCGTGGTGCAGGCGATGAACTTGGTCAACGGTCACTCGGTACATTACCGCGGCTCATCGTTCTCACCTACATAGCAATGAGGCGGTGGTGGAAATGTTGAGATCGCCGCCGACCGCCTTCCTGATCTCCTCGTTTCTGCTTCACAGAGCTCGGTGAACGACCTCAGCTTCGCAAGTGATACCAAGAAGCTTGCCACCTGCTCCAAGGACGGCACCTGGAAGATGTGGAACATTGACGGTTCGTGTGCGGTCTCGCTACGAAAGTTCTGCATTTTGAATGCTCACGCCCTTCTTCTCGTCTTGACGAACTCAACAATCGATACCGCACAGTGCGATATGCGCAGAAGGAGGACCCGAAGGTGCTCTACAGCGTGAAGGTGGGCAAGCCCGTTGAGCACATCGCGCTCTCCCCCGACGGTAGCGTGGTGGTCATCTCCTACGAGGGCCAGCTCCATTTCTACGCTGCCGCCGACGGCAGCCCCATCGACTCCGTGCCTCGTGCCCACTATGGTCCGTCTCTTTCACGTGATCACACACACGACACACACACACCATATATGGTACGTATGCGTGCTGATGTGGGATAAACGCGTCTGCAGCTGGTGAGCGGATCAGGTCGCTGCTGTGGAGCCCCGACTCCAAGTTCGTGGCATCGTCCGCCGTAAAGGACCGCGCTGTTCGCCTGTGGAAGAACCCGCTCAAGGCCTGAACAACCAGAGCTCTCCACCCCCCCCCCCGGTGAGTGTCGTGTCGTGTCGTGTGCCATCTTCGTACAAACGAAACAAAATATTTGTTCCAGGCGCGAGCCGCAGCGATACAACTGATTTCGTGGTGATGTGGATGGTGGTGTGATCGATCATACGCCAGCAGGCGGAGGGACCGGCAGTTCGTGGTTCCGACTGGCCCACTTGTCGAAGAAGGGGAACTGCTCGCGCAGAATCTCCAGGTTGGACTTCTTGGCCTCCTGTCGATGGTGCCACACCTCCTTCCACGAGTACCCGCACGCCTCCACAAACCCTGCACGACGCACACGACACGACACACGACACACGACACGCACAGTTAGACTTGCGTTGTACGTCAACCGGCCCAAGGGGGTTGAGTGCCTCGGAGGGTGCGCCGACGGGCGACGACGTCGGTGCGCTGCATGCGGGTCTGGTACTCCTTGGCCTCGATGATGGGGATGTCGGCCAGCTGCACGTAGTGGAGGTCGGGCACGGGCGGCGTCTTGCGCGACGGTTGCGCGACGGGCCGGTGCATGGCGTTCTCCAACAGCTTCGTGATCACATTGCGCGTGTGGATCAGCGTGAACTTGTCGATTCCCTTACTGTAGCCAGTGGGTTCAGCACACGCCACTGCACACCGCACACGCACCGCCGCACACAAGGAACAATCCCAGAGTGGGACACGGACCTGGCGGGATCTTCGATGGCGAAGAGCAGCAGAGTCAGGGCTTCGTCGACCACCGGGATCTGAATGCCTTCGGCTGCGTCGCGCTCGTACGGGTGGAAGTTGATCAGCACGGGCATGTAGATCTCCTGCCTACGTACACGACACACGACACACGCACACACGACACACACGACACACGACACACGACCACGCAGCACACACGACACACGACACACGACACACGCACTCAGTGGCAAGCTTGTGTAGGAGTGCTGATGGGTGCGTGGGGAAGGTACTGCGCTCGAGCGGCGAGAGCGCTACTGATGTTGCTCAAGAAGGAGGTCAAGCTGCTGAACGTCTCTCCGTCCCACGCGTTGATCAGCAGCTGCGCCGGATTGTAGCCCGCACTGTACGCATCCCGTCATGGTCATTGCAATGTGTGTCGTGTGTGTGTCGTGTGTATGTCGTGTGTATCGAGTGGGCTGCGTCGAACCTGGCGATCTGGGTCGCAAGAACGCGGGTGGAGGACACGGCTTGGCTGACGTTGAGGAGCCAGGTGGCTGCAATCGCGAACTGGATGAACCCCAGGACCGACATCGCGGCCGTCATCAGCCGAAAGAAATCAGTAGCGGGGATAAAATCGCCTAAAATAATAATAACTGTCAGTTAGAAATAAGAATAATAAAATAAATGAGAAAAAATAAGAACTAGAAACACCTACCCATGCCGAGGGTGGTGATGACGTAGCCGACGTAGTAGATGCGTTCGGCGACGTCGGCGTCGGAGCCGGTGCTGCTTTTCACCACGGCGCCGGACGTGGAGAAGAAGATGAGCACCCACGCGATCCAGCTGACGATGAACCACATGAGGAGGATGGAAAAGACAGTGAAGGGGCCGATGGCTGAGAGGAAGAGACGGTTGCGGAAGAAGTGGCGAAAGATGTAGGTCGAGCCCAGCTTGTAGGCGCGTATGACCAACAGCGAGAGCGGACCCGAGTGTCCGGTGGCCAGCGTCGTGGTTAGGAAGTCGTAGAAGACGATTAGGAGCACTACGAGCCCAATGACTCCCAAGTAGACAGGCATTACTCTCAATTTTTACACCACGCTCTCGAAGAAGGAGAAGAAAAATATGGAGAGTTGATTCTGAGTGGAGAAAAGGTCATCCTAAACGGTAGGCCTTGTCGCAGGGCGATTGCGGGGCAAGCTCCACCTCAGAGATGAGGTGAACGAGCTATCCTGGTTCATGAGAGGAGCGTCCTGGCCAAGTTCACCTCACCGCATTGACGGCAGCAAGTTCCCGGTTTTTCGTTCGAACAGCAGACCGGAACCCAACCAACAAAAAGCGCGCCAAAACAAAAGCGCGGGAAAGCCAATGCCCAAACCATTCCAAGTATTTTTTCACCGGGGACAGCAATAACAATTGAATGGATTAGCGAGCAGGAGGAGCTGCGCCATCTTCTTTGATTATTATAGAATTTCCTAAATATTTATCAAGATGAGGTGCTCTTCTTTTCATCCTTCTTAGATGAGCATTTCTCCTTCCCCTTCTCCTATTCATTCATAGTGACCCGTAAGGCGATGCTCACGATTGATTGATCGTCTTGCACAACAGCTCACAGCCGGCAGCAAGTACTAGCAAGCACAAGGGGAGCAGCAGCGGCAAGCGCCGGGGGAACGGTGCTGCAGGCGGGAGCCAGCGGCTGTTTGGTACGCCGCTCGACATCGCCGCCTTGCCCAGCGCCAACCAGGTGACCCTCCACTCGGACGAAGACTCGAGCGACCAGCCACCCTCGTCGCAGCTCAAGAAGACGCGGCTTGCCAAGCGAAAGGTGAACAAGCCGACGAGCTCGGCCGATGAACTAGTAGGAACCTCACAGAAGAAGATGAAGATGAAGGTGAAGAAGAAGGTGAAGGAGGTCGCCACGCCCGAGCTGCCGGGCGACAGCGGCGGCGGCATGGAGAAGGAGAAGGAGAAGGAGACCAAGCCTAGCAAGCGGGCTGCGAGTCAGGACGCGCTGCTCGACGAACGCCGCCAGGAGAATAACAAGCTGCGAGAACAGGCCAGCAGCCAACAGCATCGGGCGGACGACTCGATCTCTACGCGCAGGGATCGAGCCAACCCAGTGAAGGAGGAGAAAGAGAAAGAGAACGGACGAGGTCAGCTGTCACAGAAGGAGAAGAGCGGACGGATGGAACAGGAAAAGTCTGAGATGGCCGGCCACAGCAGGACGTACATCGACTTGTCTCAGGACTCGGATGAAGGAGGAGAAGAGGAAGAGGAAGAAGAGATTCCGCTCACCCAACGGGAGAAGGCCAGCTCCGTAGCTACGGAGCGAAGCGAGGTGGCCCCCGATCAGGGCAACAACGGAAAGGAGGAGGAGGAGGAGGAAGAAGAGGAGGCCGATCGGTCGATGGCGTTGGTGACGAAGCGGCGGTATGGGTCCTCCTCGCAACAGCACCGGAAGAAGCCAAAGCTGGCGGAAGCGAAGCGACGGCCCGATGGTACACGCTCCCAGTGCTCTTCACCTAGCTCTGGCGTGGAATGCGGCACACGATTCTTACCACAGCGTTGTAGGCAAGTCGCACAGCTCGGACGAACTCGATTTCCCTGCTACCTCGTCATCTGGTACACCTGGTGGATTGTATTGTGTGTGTGTGTGTGTGTGTGTGTGGTGTGTGTGTAGTGTGTGTGTGTGTGTGACGCTCACCTCGATGCCAAACAGCCAACATAGAACATGACGAGGGCGAAGAGGAGGCCGGCTCGATTCCGTGCACGCAACCACACACGCCACACGCAGCTTCGACTGAGGGCAGCAAATCGGACCAAGATAGTCACGACGAGGAAGAGGAAGAAGATGAAGCGGAGGCGGAGGCGGAGGCGGAGACTACCGGTGGAGAGAAGCAGCGGGTCCGGCTCGGCTCCGACTCGAGCGAATTGAAAGCAGCGGAGGAGCCGAATGAGGCACAAGCTCGCGAGCGCGACGAGCAGCCGCCGGGGTGGTACCGCAAAGCGGGCAGGGAGGAAATGGCGCAAAGCGATCAAACCGACGCGCGTTTCTTGACAACACCAACCGCACAACCGAGCGCCGACCAAACGCCGTCACAGAAGGAGCGCAAACGAAGGGCCAAAGGCAAGGAGAAGGCGCCGGCACCGCCCGACATCGACGAGGAGGACGAACGTGGACGAGGTGAAGAGGAAGAGGAAGACGAGATTACGGGCTCGCAGATGCCCGCCGCGAAGCCGGTGGTCACTCGAGGCGAAGAAGAGGAACACGAAGAAGGCGAGCCGCTCGCGGCGTTGCCCTCGGTCTGTCCCATGTGCAGCAAGTCCGTCAAGCACATGGACCTCCAGGCCAGGGAGGCGCATGTGAACAGTTGTATCGATTCCCGCCAGCACACGACTGCCGATGATCCGGGTACGCATGCATGTTCGTGTGCGTGTGCGTGTGCGTGTGCGGTGGTGCGTGTGCGTGTGCGGTGGTGTGCTTACGTGTGCAAGTGTGTGCGATGTTGCTTGCGGTTACTGACATGACTGAACGTAGACTTTGTGGAGGCGTTCCATTGCGAGCTGTGCGGCAAGGACATGACGAAGTGGAACGCGCAGCAAAGGCAGCAGCACATGGAGCGCTGCCTCGACAAATTCACCGACAACATATCGCAGCAACTGACTCAGCAAGGTGCAGTACTTCCCACGCACGTCTGCTTTATTCCTCCGCGTACACTCAAACACTTTTTTTTTCCTTTGGCCAGGCTCTGAGCCAACCCAGGAGGATTTTGGCACCATTACAGGATCACGGTAAGCCTGGCACACACACACACACACACACACACACAAGCACACACCGTCGCACGACACACACACACCTACTGATGGCGGTCTCTTCAGGTACCGCTGTCCGATCTGCCATAGCGATCGGAGCAGTAGCGCGTTGGTAGGACGCATTGACCACCTGAAAAAGTGCGCTCGGAAGCACAAGCTCAGCGTCGAGTCCTTCCGCAACACCAAGAAGTGGAACGAGATGGTCCCCGCGCCGCCATCGACCCTCAAGAAGGCCAAGACTAAACGTACACCCAACACATACCTCCATTCCTACAAAGCGCGCATTCCTCACATTCTCCTTCATTGCACCCTGTGTCGGCCTCAGGCGGCGCCACGAAGAAGACAACGTCAGCCGCTGCCGCCACGAAGCCGAAGCGGACACGGAAGAAGAAGACGACGATGGCCGACGCCGCCGCAGAGGCTGCCGAGGCGGCCGCTGCGAGCGAGGTCCGGTCCAAGTTCTTTGGCGACGAGCTCGCCACGGTCTCGCACGCCAACTTCCTCGCCACCATCGCGAAGCTGCGCTACAAGCAGGGCGGCGCCAGTGACGGCGCCGCACCTGCAACCTCGACTAGCACAGGCCCCGATGCTGGCCCTGCAGCCAAGGCGCTGGGCGCCGGTGCCGCCGTAGCCCAGCCCCAGGAGCTCGGGCCCACGGTGGCTGTCATGGCGGCTTCGTCGGCTTCGTCCTCCTCCTCTACGTCAAGCGTTGTCGACAAAGATGATGGCGAGGACGACTTTGCTGCCGACCCTCAATTCAAGCGACCACCGGCCGTGGCACCCAAAGGCCGCAAGACCAGGGTACGCTCAAGTGATAGCGTTCATTCATTTATTTATCATTTATTTGTTTATTCGTTATTTATTGCTAACCGTGGGTGGTCACATGTTGAAGGTGAAGAAACTGAATTACGATGACCTGGTGGCTGGCATGGGCAAGGAGGACGAAGAGCTGATGCTGGCCGTTGCCCTTTCCAACTCGCTCGCTCCGGCTCCTCCCGCGCCAGTGCTCTCTAGTCCCGGTAAAAACCACACGCACATCCATGCACACACGCACACGTGCGCACACAACCACCGCACACGCACCAGTCACACAACTACACCGCACACGCACACGCACCACCGCACCACTGAAGGTTCGATCGAACAAACAACAGAGAGCAGCCCGAGAGATCTTGCCGGGTTCAAGCTGGGCGAGGAGCAACCGAAGATGGACGAGGCAGCCGTCTCCGAGGTGATGAAGGTATGCATGCGTCGTCCTCACCACCCGTACCCGTTCTCGAAGAGAACAGCTTTGCAGACCTTCTCACCTCGCGCTCGCCCACGTTTTCAAGGATCTGTTCCCGGACGACGGGAGCCAGGAGATCAGGCCGACGCCCCGACTGGCCGAGAGCACCCTGGCGCGGCGGTCCCCACAACCGCCCGGCAGGACCTCCCTCTGGGTACGTGCACGCCCAGGGGACGTCATTATAATATTATTATTATTATTTATTTATTTATTTAATTCTGATTGAAGTTTCAATTCTAATTCAAAGTCAAATAGAACTTGTCGTCGTCTGTGGCCGGGGCCTACGACCCGGTGTTCATCAGGACCAATGTGCTCCTCAGTCCGACCAGCAGTACCTGGCCGACAAGGTACGATGGCGCGCAACTGCGACGGGTGCGGGTTCGGGGAGCTCACGCGCTTTCTTTTCATGTGTGGCGCGCACGTAGGCGAAGCTGCACCCGCAGGTGACTGCAGAGATGTTCGAGGCGGACCGGCGGACTGTGGTGCACAGGCCTGTGAAGAAGCCCTCAGAGTCCACCGAAACGCGCGATGACGCCGAGGTCGATACCGAGCAACAAAGGAGAAAAGAGCAAAAGCGAAGACGACTCAGACGATCTCACGCAGGACCCTGCGCACGACAAGGAGGACGTCGAGAAGGGGGAAGAGGAAGAAGACAACGACGACGACGACGACGAAGCGGACCGCAAGCAGGAAGAGGCGACAGAGGAGGTGACGGAGGAGTTTGGCAGCGGCGGGTTTTGCGTCGACTCGAGCATGGAGTTCCCTCCGCTCACGCAAAAGCTGCCAAGCGAGAGCGACACCAAACCCGAGGAGCGAACCAGCGACCAAGGCGAGGAAGAAGAGGATGACGAAGATGACAAAGAGGATGATGAGGCGGTGGTGCGCCACAGAAAGCCGCCAGCGCAGTCCACGAAGACGATTGAAAGCGACCGCGGCGCAGTGAAGAAGAGGAAGAAGACGAATGGGACTGTCATGGCCAAGGCGACGGAGAAACGACGGAGGGAGGAGCCGCGCGATATCGCGGGGCGAGCGCGAAAGAGGGAGGAAAAGAAAAGGGTCCGGCCGCCATCACCACCACCGAAGAAGAAGGGACGGCGAGCCAGGAACCACTCTCGAAGCGAAGACGAAGAAGAACGAAGCGATGACGACAACGAAGACGAGGAAGAGGGAGAGGGGGAGGAGCTGAACGAGCGACCATCGCGTTCGTCATCGAGACTGGCCGCGACGCGAACCAGCCAAGCGCGACGGAAGAAGCAGACGATCGACAGCGAGGACGAGATGCGGCTCTCCAGCGAAGAGGAGGATGAAGAAGAAGAAGAAGAAGAAGCGAAGGAGGACTGTGTTGATGAGGACGAAGACGATGAGGAGGAGGAAGACGAAGGCGCTCTCTCGGTGGAGGCGAGGAAGAAGCGGTTCGTGGCGAAGGCCGAGAGCGTGATGCGGGACTACAAGGCAGCGTGTGTCGATGCGCAAAGGATGATGGACGCACGCATCCAAGAGATCAAAGACGCCTATCTAGCTGAGGTGCGCACACGACACGACACGACACATGCACCGCACTTCTTAACTTACCCCCCCCTCCACAGATTGGCCGGATCACAATTGAGAAGGAGGCTCGACTGCAGCAGTTGCAGCACCGCTACGGGGTCACGTCGGCGCTCCTCCTCTCGTCTCCCTTCTCGCCCGCCACCGCGACTCCACCGACCACGACGACCACCACCACCCCGAGCAGCAGCAAAAGTCGATCGTCATCGTCGTTCGTCGTCGTCGTCACGTAGCAGCTCGGCCTCCAATGCGCGGCAGCAACAGCAGCGGACGAAGAAGTCGGGGACGACCAAGCGTGCGAGGACCAGTAGCGAGTCGGTGGCCGCCGAGCTGGGGCCTAGCCAGCTGGTCGTGCGCAAGACCGAGCCAATGCCCGAACTGGACAGCGATGAAGACTTCAAGGTGCGTTCCTGGCGTTGCACGGTGGTGCGTGTGCGGTGGCGCGTGCGGTGTTGTGTGTGCGTGCGGTGGCGCGTGTGCGTGTGCGGTGTCTAAACAGAACACATGTACAGCCGATGCGACACAAGCGACAAGTCCCGAAGAAGGCGCTGGCGGACCCGCGCAAGCGCAGAAAGAGGGACGAAGATAAGCGAGAGCTCGACGATGGCGATGACGCGGTCGTGGTAGAAAACAAGAAGGAAAAGAAGGAGCAGAGGTTGGTCAAGGCTGCGCAGAAGCCGGTCAAGCGACGAGCCGAGCCAGCAGCCTCCGTCGAGGAACAGGCGGAGGACAAGCGGAAGCGACGACGAAAGGTGGAGGAAGAGAAGAAGGAGAAGCAGGAGGAAAACAAAAGAGAACGACGAAGCGCAAAGAAGAAAAGAAAGAGCACAAGGACGACGATGACGAAGATGAAGATGAAGAGGCCGACGACGACGAGGAGGACGAGGACGAGGATGTGCAAGTCGACTCGCAGCGCGACAAGCAGGGGAAGCGCAGGAAGGACGACGAGGACGATGATGGCAGCGATGGCGTCGGTGGCGAGCAACGAGCGGACCAAGGCCGAAGCGGAGGCGGCGCCGGTGGCAACCGGGGAGGAGCGACTGGCCCGAGCCGCACCAGCACCAGCACCACCGAGAGCGGCAGCGCGGGACGCAGCGCGGAAAGCGGGAGCAGAACCCGGAACGCTCACGACCAGCCCCACGACAAGCGCGGCAGCGACGCAGCCAGCGGCGTGGACCACCGGGTTGCTCTGACGCCGGCGCCGCGCACCGCCATCACAACCGCTGCCGCCGAGAAAGAAGAAGAAATGGAAGAGGAAACAGAAATAGAAAGAGAAAAGGAGCAACTCGACGAGGCCGCCCCACGCGGCCACGAAGGAGAGAAGGCAGTGGCGGCGGCGGCTCCAGCGGAAGTCGGCGGCGCTCAGCAGGACATGTTCGTGGGCGTGGGCACGTATGGCCCCGGTGGTGCCGGTGGGCGCGACGGCGAGGACGCCGAGGAAGCGGAGACCTACGGCGGCACGCTGGGGATCGTCTCCAATCAGTTCCGCCGCTCGCAGCCGCAGCCGCCGCAGCAGCGCGGGGAGGCGGCGGTCGTGGTCGCGCGGATCGAAATCCATTCGTCGCCGCCCGACGAGGGCGACGATGAAGCCGAGGCCATCAACAACGAGCCCCCGGTCATGACTAATGACCACCACAGCGACCACAACGACGACGATCACAACGACGACGACGGCAACGAAGACGATGACGAGGAGAGCGCGAGCGGTGTGGTGACGGTGATTCCGCCCCGCGAGGAGGAGGAGCGCGGCAGGAGCGACCCCTTGTCCTTCATCATCACCAAGCGAAGCCGGCCTCGGCCCGCCGCCGGTACCCACCTCACCACCGATGCCGCCCCAAGCTCCTGCCACACGACCTCGTCGCTAATTTGTTCGCGCTCGTGCGTGTGCGTGTGCGGTTGTGTGTGCGATTGCGTGTGCGTTCGGTGTGTGCGATGGCAGGCGAGTTGGACGCTTCGCTGAGCGAGTCGGAGGGTGACGGTGCGTTCAGTCTGGCGTCGACTCCGCCGGAGGGCCTCGGCGCTGTCGCGTCGCCGCCCTTCAGCTTCACATCGACGACGACGACGCAGGCCACGTTGCTGATGGCCCGCCGCGTCGTGACCACCGTCCACGGACACATTCCCGACATTCCCTTCTCTCCCCGCGCCACAGAAAACTCGGCCACGCTGGAATCGCACCTGGCGGTCCGTGCGGAGTCGACGCCTGTCGTCCGTTCTGAAGACTACGGCGGCAGCGGCGGCGGCGACGACGGCGACGGGCCATCACTGTCGCCCTGGAGCGCCCGCATTCTCGCCCGCCGCAAACAGAAGGAGGCGGCCGACAAAACTGCCCGATCGTCACCGCCGAAGGCCAGCGTGGTGAGCGATGGCGACAACGATGAAGACGACGAGGAAGACGACGAGCGAGGTCTGTTCCTGTTACCATCGCCCACGCCGCCTCCGCCACCGCTGCCACCGCTCACCCCGCAGTCGCCGCCGTCATCGCCGCCGTTCTCTTCTTCGCCGGCGCGTGGGGCGCACCACCAGCGCCAGCCGCCGCCGCCGCCGCCGCAGGTCTCGCAGGGATCGCCGCTGCTCTTCTTGCCCCTCCAGGCCTCGACTCCGGCGGCCCACCACCACCACCGCCACGCGGCCCTCGCGCCGCAGCTGCCGCCGCTGGTGCCCGACCTGGCCGGAGACTACGACGACGACGATGAGGGCGATGAGGACGAGGATCAGTCGTCGTGGGCCGCGTCGATTCCGGGGCTCTCGAGTCCAGCGTCGGCGCCGGCGGTTGCTGGTGGTGGTCGGCTGACGCCGCACGAGCTTCTGCGTTCGCCCATCCGCTCGCTGGACGCCCGCCGCCCGCGCCTCTCGCCTTCTTCGTCGTCGTCGCCTTCGTCGTCGTCCGATGACGACCCGACGCACGACCAGCGCCAGCGCAACAGAAAGAGGAGGCACGCTGCGGGCGAAGACGATGATAACGACGACGAGAATGTCGAGACTCTTGCTCGTCGGGGAGGAGCGAAGAAGGGCGGCGGAGTGAAGAACAAAAAGGCGAAGCCGGTGGCCGCCACGGCGACCACAGAGACAACAAAAGTGAAGACAACGAAGACGAAAACGAAAGCGAAGGCCCAGACAAAAACAACGAAGACGACGGCGACGGCGAAGGCCACGGGAGGCAAGAAGAGGACAAGGGCCAGAAGCGACGACGACGACGACCACGACGAAGGCAGCAGCGGGGAGGACGAGCGAGCGGAGGAATGCGTGGCGTCCACGCCCACGCGCTCCCCTGCGCGGACGACGCTGAGCCGGCACGCCGAGAAGTGCCGGAGCACGCCCAAGCCCGCCTACGACTGCATGAGCGACTCCCTGCTCAAGGTATACCACTGGGCGACTCGCCTCCATAACGGCCCAGGTGCGCTTGGGTGATGGTCTGGTGCCTGAACTGACCACGATTCGACTACCCCGCATGTTGGCGAACAACAGCGCCTGTTGAGCGACTATGGCGTGCGCGGCGGGTCGCGGAAGTGGATGCTGGAGAGACTCACCGCCATCTGGGAAGCCCAGCACGAACTCGACAAAGCTCTCCCCGTGGGTACCTCCACACGTCATAGTGCACGCCGCACACGCACACCACCGCACACGCACACCACCGCAACGCACGCACTACTCGGACTCACCGCGTCGCACAAATGTGTAGAGAGCCCCTCTGTGCTCCGCGGGGTGAGGCTGTTTGCGCACGAGAAGGAGGACGACCCGAAGAAGAAGGAGAAGGACAGAGAGCTGGCCTCGAAGGTGACCGCCTGGGTCAAGACCAACAAGCGCATCTACCTCAAGATCCTACAGTACAAGGTACGACACACACGACACACACCGCGCGCACACACGCACGCGCACGCGCACGACACACGTCACACCACACGCCTCACTATCTTCTTCTGCCAGGAGATCGATCTGTTGGAGCTGCAGAACGGGCTCAAGGAGGAGGGCATCAAGTGCGGAAGGGAGTTCCTGGCGGCGTATCTCAACGGCCAGGGGGTGGTCTTTCGTGGACCCAAGAAGAAGCCCAACCGAGGTTGGCACGGGTGAAGGAAAAAAATTAATTAAATCAGGTGATGTGTGTCGGCGACAATGCCGCGTGTGGATGATGGGGTGAAGACGAGGGTCAGGACGAGGGCAGATATCTGGATCTACTTGAGCCAGGCCTTGACCTCCTCCTTGGTCTTGTTGGTGCGCTGCGAGGAGGTGATCTTGTCGCCCAGGGAGAGCGCGATGCCCTGCTTTTTGCTGCGGATGCGGATCGAGCCCTCGATCTTGCCCGTCTCCGGCTGCCGCTCGATGCTCAGGTTGGCCAGCGCATCTTCGCCTGCAAGAAAAGAAAAGAAAAAATAAGTAAACAAATAATAAACTGTGTGTTGTGTGTCGTGTGTTGTGTGTCGCCTGTGTGGTCCGCACCGAAAACGCTCTTGGCGTAGAGGTTGGCAGAGATGAAGCCGCACTCGCCTTCGAGTGCCTTCTTGGGGGTGAGGCAGCCCATGTTGGTCACCTTCATGATGTGCTCCAGATACTCATTTACATCCCTTTTGAGATATCGCATACGACACACGACACGCACACGGTCAGATCGCACACGGACCACCCACTGCACACGCACGCGCGTTTCATCGTACCTGATCTCGGTGTTGACGACCACCTTGTTCTCCCACTCGAACTCGGACCACATGTTGCGGAAGTCGACGTGCGTGCACTGGGCCGGCGAGATGTAGTCCATGATGTCGATGTGGATGTCGTTGAGGATGACGCAGTTCTTGTCGGCGTTGAGCGTGGTGGCCTGGCCGGCTACGTCGTACACGATGTTGCCGAAGATGATGCCGGTCTCCGTCGACGACACCTTGATGTTGGCCCGGATGCGCTTCGAGTCGAAGGGTCCGAGGTTGTAGTTGCGCGGGCGCTCGCACAGCTTCAGGTCGCCCAGCGTGGCCAGCTCCAGGCACAGGTTCTGCAGCGTGTCCGGGGTCTGTCGAGCAGCGCACGAAGGTCGTCAGTTCAGTTCGGAGGTAAAGAACGAAAGCGAAGGGAAAAAGAGAGAAGGGCCAACCTGGTTGATGACGAGGACGTCGAGCACGATGTCGTAGACGTGGACCTGGACATAGGCCTCGGCGTAGACGGGGTCGCTGAGACCGGTCAGCTGACGCAGCCTGTTGAGCTGCAGTCCCTGCTCTGTAATGGCGAAAGGACGCATCATTGTAAACGTCAGCGATCAGCGCGCCTGCGCGTGTGCGTTGCGGTGCGGAAGAGTACTGGAGTCTTCGTTCTGAAGGCCGGTCACCTGGCCGAGATCGTCCTCCAGGTCGTCCGCTTCATCAGCTCCTGCACGCCCACAATGATCAGCTTGCGCGAAAAAGAAAAGAAAAGAAAAGAAATCAAAAAAGAAACGCATACCGACGACCCGGTTGGCCCGAAGCTGGCGCAGGACCAGGAGGTCGTCGGCCTGCACGCTGACCTGCTCGTCCTTCTCCTTCTTCTTCTCGGCCTCCTCCTTCTGCTTCTGTCGCAACATGTCGGAGAACGAGTCGCGGCAGAACTGCAGGTACAGCTCTCGGATGAACGAGGCCTGCCTGGGCTTGCTGCTGGCCTTCGTCGTGGTCGTGGTGCCGTCTTCTTCCTCTGCCTCCTCGGCCTCGGCCTCGTCCGCGCCGTTGTGCTTGCGGGAGAGGAACCCGCCATCGCTCAAAATTCGAATGCACGAGCAAATGCGGCCGTACGAGTCCTGCACATCGGCACCGATATGATCAGCGCCGTGTGCGTGTGCGTGTGCGTGTTGCGGAGGGCGTGCGTACGTCGTCGATCTGGTTCTTGGTCTGCGGGGACTTGCCCAGCTTGAGGATGTTGACCATGATGAGGAGCACCTCCACGGCAAAGGCGTGCTTCTGGCTGGCCTCCAGGTCCTCCTCGAGGAACGATCGCAGCACGAGCTTCGTGAGTGTCGTCGACAGCGCCGAGCCCAGGAAGAAATCGCCCGCCTCCAACAGACGACGCAAGCTTCCCTCGTTTTCTGTTCGTTCATGTGCGTGTGTGCCATGTGTGTGGTGCGTGCGGTGTGTGCGGTTGAAGTCAGCACAGTACAACAGATGGGCCGGCAGGAGGGGGTGAGGACCTTGAGGAGCAGTGATCTTGGGCACGGAGAAGGCGCTCTGGGTGGCGTAGGTGCCGTCGGCGAGGATGGCCGGACGGCTGGAGGGGAGCTGCGGGCTCAGGAGCACGTCGGCCTTCTCCTTCTTCTCCTTGTCTCCGCCCTCGTTCTCGTCCTCGCTGCCGTCCTTGACCAGCGGCAGCGCACCGATCTCGCCCTTGAGCGTCGAGAACGCCTGGTCGATGTCGTCCGTCGTCAGCGCATACTCGCCCAGCACCCAAAGCGCCGTCCGGTACACCTGCACACAAGCCACACCATCAATTAGCATTTATTTATCTATTTTTAGCAATATAATAAGTCACCATCATCATCGTTATTATTGATGTGAAATATTTGAGGTAATTGAGAGGCGGGCGTACGGAGGAGGCGGTGATGTGCTTGAGAGAGAGGAAGAGCTTGCGGAGGATGGACTCGCGGAGCTCGGGATAGGTCTCGGCGACCTCGCGCACAAAGGTGACCACCTCGACGGCCGTCGGGATGTTGGCGTCGCCGAGGAAGTCCATCAGCGCGAGCACCACATTGCTGGCCACCGACGGGTACTTGACCGCACACGCGTGGATGGCCTGGATCAGCATCTGCCTGTACTCGCCACCCTGTTGTCCAAATTGATTGTTAGGACATGGCACGTCTGTGCGGTGGTGCGTGTGCGTGTGCGTGTGTGCGGTGTAGGTTTGTGCTAAGGGCCGGGTACCTTCTCGAAGCCGGCCACCTGGGTCTTGGCGATCTCCTTCTTGAGGTAGAGGATGGCTTCGTCGATGTTCTGGGGCGAGACGAGGTCGAGCGCGATGTCGAGGGTCTTCTTGCGGATGTCCATGTTGGGCGTCGACAGCGCGCGCAGGATGTCCATCAGCAGCGGCTGCAGCGTCTTCTTGTGCCTGTTTGAGCGTTGGGGGGAGAGATGGTGAGTGATTGAGCATTCTTTCGAATGAAACGCGCGTGTGTCGTGTGCGCGCGTACTTGAGCCTAATAGCGTCGAGCTTGTCCGTGACGATGATCTTGACGTTGTTGTCCGCTTCCTGTTGGAGGCAGTTGGGAGCGGTAAGCACCGGTCGCACATAAAACACTGAACCGGCGAAAGTGGGAGAGGCGGCCTTACGTTACACAGGAGCTGGATGAAGGTGGCGGCGGCAGCGCGCACGGCGGTCGGCGCGGAGGTGAGACCGACGAGCGCGCCGGCGGCCTCGAACTGAACGGCGGGCGACGGCGCCTTGAGGAGCTCGAACAGGCACTTGAGGTACTTGGCCTGATCACGCGCGTCAAGTGAGTGGTGAGTTCCCAACGCTTGCGGCAATCGTGTCAGAGGCGGGCGAGAAGTGTACCCTGTCGCTGCCCGAGGCGGTGGACTTGCAGACCTTGCGGATGAGCTCGATCACGATAATTTGAAGAATGTCGCCGAAGGTGTTGACCTGGCCGATGACCGAGCTGAGGTATTCGATCGCCTTGTCCTGATCGCAGTTGAAGAGCATGATGAACGCGTTGCGCTTGCACGCCGCGTCTCCCTCCTACGGTGCGTGTTACGTGTCGCGTGAGTCGCAAGAAGGACAAGCCAACACAAGACAACACAAGGCGAAGTGAACCGTACGGTGTTGAGGAAGTTGAAGATGAGCTCGGGAGCGTCGGGAATGAGGAAAGAGAAGGCCTTGTAGATGCTGTAGACGGCCAGCACGGCATTGCGGCGCACATAGGCGTGGCGGTACTCGAGGTTGGCGCGCACGGAGGGCACCAGCGGCTCGAGGATCTCTGCCTCCTTGAGCTTGCACAGGAAGCGCAGCGTGCTGCCCCGCACGTACTCGTTCGGGTGGTTGAGATCGTTACGGAAGTGCGAGCTGTCCGATCACATAGTTCGTGTTAGACGTCTATGTCATTCAGGAAAAGGGCTGTTGCAAATCGAAATGAATGAAGTGAAATAAAGCGACATTTGAAGCGATGATCGCGGGGAAGCGAAACAAATCTAATCTTGAAAGGCGAAATAAAATGAAAGCGAAAATCTGAGGGCGTACCACACGAGGATCATCTCGTGGAGAAGCTTGCCGTCGGGGCCAGTCTTCTCGCAGAGCTCCCAGAAGAGGAGGAGAAGCTTCTTCATGGTCTTGTCCTTCTGAGGCATGCAGAAGCGAATGACCGACATGAGGAGCTGGGGGAGCGGCTGTCCATTCAGTGTCAAGAGGATGATCTTCTTGAGGGCCGAGATCTTGACTGCGAGATCTCCATTTTCGAGCTGTTCCTTCAGTTGCGACACAGGGATGTCGACTGTGTCGTTGTGGATGAGAAATGTGCAGGGGCGCTCTCGTTCCATGTTGCTGCTGTGCACTCACGGCTGATGTTGAGAGATGGGGAGAAGTGGAGAATTGTGCGCTAACACAGGCCGAGTTCAAAGCGCCGTCAATTAATGGAGAACAGAGGCTTGGATGGCAGCAATCGATTCGAATGAGAAATCGTCCTGCTCGCTGTCGGGCCACGTAGCCCTGCCGACGTGTAAATTTTCATTTCCCACATTTATCCCCTTTTCTCCCAGCTTGTTGGCATCACGAGCAGGCACTTTTTTTGGCGCGAAACCAAACTGCCGGCAAAACGCCACATCGAACGTGCAAGATCACAATCCACAGCCGAATCTGGAGATAGTCACCTACGAAGGATGAAGAATGGGACTTCGACACATGCGCCGCTGCATCAGACAGTGAATTCATTTTTTGGCGGTGTTAAGCAATTCGCAGCTCATGCGGAAGGCGAGGCGCGAGACCTCCGCACATCGGTGGAAAAGCCTCCACTTTCTGGCACCCAGGGTACGCGGCACAATCCATCTCAAGCTACATGTCAGAATTTTAATGTTTCCGGTACATGCAGGCTATTCTTCACTGTTCATGAAGAGGATGAAGACGGACGTGAGTCGCCTACAGAAGGACGTGGCAACGATGCATTCCCAATTCACGAGCGCGGTCTCATTCGAGGAGATTATAGAGGTACATATCTTTCGCTAACTGTGGTCAACGAACGCTGGCGTTGCTGATTGAGACATTGGGTGCAGGTCTGCATGGGAATGTACAAACAGAACGAAATGTGGCGCGAAGAACTGGAGGAAGTGCTCGAGCAAGAGCACGGACTGCGCCGTGTCGAGCCTCCGCCTCTTCTCTCCCCTGCCAACTCGCACGGTACGTCTTCTGAGTCCTCTCTCTCTCGCACGGTGTGCGCTGGTTCTAACGTTCCCACAGACGAAAAGGACAGGGGCGAAGAGAGTGCGGACCCAGACTCGTACTATTACTCTCAGATGCGGGAAGAGACACGCATCGATGAGAGTAACGGAGAAAGAGGCGAAACTCATCAGTACACCTCTGATGGGACGTGAACAAAGTAGAGCGCGTACCAGGCGAGCGCAGAGCTGCTGCGGTCTCCCACACGCCCAAGCAGTCCTCCCGAACTCAACCCGGATCGCAGAGCGGTACTCGCACCAGACATCAGCCGACCCATGGTAGCAGCCGACCAGCGTACGCCGACCACATAGATCATTGCTTGCATCAGTTCAGTACAGTAGTACTAACTTCAAAATGCCTCAACAGACCGGCCGCGCACAACAGCAACCCGCTCTTGTACTCGCCCTCAGCTGACCTGGGCCTATCGGCGGCCTCGCTCGAGCTCATCTCCAGGCGTACGTTCCGCTCTCTTCAGCGTCAGAGCGCCCAACTAAGCTGACGAATCGCCCGTTCTAATGGCTCGACAACAGGACCCGCAGCGCTCGAATTGCAGAAGCCGAGCGCTCCCGTCGGCGAGTTGAACACTGGCGCTCGCATGCATCAACGCCAGATGGGGACCGATGCTCAACTCTCTTCCTTTTCTTCTTCCGTCGCCGCACCTTCTTCCACGTCGTCATTTGCGCAGCCCACCTCGACCTATCATCGCGCAGCCGCGTCAGGCAAGACACCCACCCCGTCCTCACACTACGCGTCATTCTCTTCCTCTTCTTCCTCGATGTCGGCCTACTCCAACGCTTCCTCGTCGGCTCCCAAGACACCCACCTCGTCCTACCGTCCATCCTACGCCATGGTCGCCTCGCCCGAGTACACCGCATCGTATCAGTCGAAAACACCGCAGCATCACGGCAATACCTCGGGGCGCTACACATCGGCGACGCCCGGCTCGGTGCAGCGAGGCCATCATGCGAACGCTTCGATGTCGGCCATGACGCCCGTCACTCCCATCACGCGGTCCTTCCACGGGGCAGAGAACGGAGGCGCGGGCGACATGGACTTTGACGACTTGTCGCCTATCCGGCCCTCGGCAGGCGGCCAGCTCTATCCCTCGCTCCCGACCACCACGCCCACTGTCGACCTCAGATACAAGCACCTCCTCGGCAACTCGCCGGCGCAGCCTGCAGCAGCACGCGGGGCAGCACCTCCCGCCTTTAGTTCGCTCTATCCTTCATCTTCATCGTATTCATCGTCTGCGTCCTCCTCCTCCATCTCATCTACGGCCTCAGCTTACTCGAAGTATTCTTCGTCCGTCGGACCGTCATCTACTACCACTTTTGTTTCTTCTTCTGCGCCGACCTACTCTTCTTCCTCTTATGCTTCTTCTCTCCCGGCTCTCTCGTCCACATCGACGGCCTGGTCTTCCACTCCGGCCGCACAGGCGCCCACATCCTCGTCGTCATCCAAAGCTCTGCCTCCTGCTTCGCTCATTCCGACAGTTACCGAGCAGGAGTATAACGGCTGTGCCGGCTTCCTAAGGTATACCCATCTTGCACCACCGCACGCGCACGACACACACGCACACACATCACACACGCATTCTCATTTCCGATACGGTCTGACATCGCAACTGTGACAATTTCCTCTGACAGAGGCCAGATATCGTTGCAGCAGCTCAACGAAGCCATCGAAAAGATGGGAGCCTTCTGTGCCGCCAACTCGCTCCCGCATCTGAGCGAAGATCAGCTGCGCAACGACCTGGGTCTAGGTACAAAGAAGCACTTCTCTCTCTCTCTCTCTTTCTCCTTCATCGGCACTAATGCATCCGTCTGTGTCACATTATCAACATCTTCATCGTCACCGTCATCATCAGGGAGCAAGTGCAAGGCGGCCATCCTGTTCCTCCTCCAGCTCAAGCGCATCACATCGCAGTTCCACTCGGGCGCCTCAGTCTACGTGCCCACCTAACCTAAAACCTCTTGTTCTTATTCTGTTAAAAAAAGTTTCGGGGCTGCAGCATGTTCGCGAAGAAGCAATGGCGGTGGCCACAAAGCGATGGAGACGGAGGCGGAGGTAGCTCGTGTCGCCGAGCTTCAGGCAAAGCTTGACATGGAGCACAGCCAGTTCGAAGAGGACAAGGCGAAGATGGCATCGGTGGTTCATCTTCCTTCTACGGCCGTTATCAAGCTGGACGTCGGTGGTCGCCAGTTCAAGACCACCACCGCGACCCTGTGCAGGGAGGAGTCGATGCTCTCGGCCATGTTCTCGGGCAAGGGGTTCAAGGTGGAGAAAGACGAGGACGGCTTCTTCTTCATCGACCGCCCTGGCGCGCCCTTTGAGCACATCCTGCACTACCTCCAGACGGGGGTCTTCATCCCCCCGACCGATCCCGCCCTGCTCAAGGCCGTCCAGCTCGAGGCCGACTTTTACCAGGTTCGTTTCATTTCGTGTTTCGTTTCGTTTGGTGCTTCGTTTCGTTTAGTGCTTTGTTTCGTCTCGTTTTGGACGCCTGCGCAGTGTGCGCTCACCCTTCGCTTGCAAACAGATCGAAAGCTTGATCGACCAATCAACGTGGCACGACTTTACCTTCTCTGATCTCGACGACAATCGGGGCGTCTTGTACTGGCTCGGCACCAAGAAGGGGACGGCCCTCTACCGGAGCCCGGTCGACGCCGGCTTGGTCAAGGTCGTCGGCGCATACAACGGACGCAACCTCATCGAGCGCACAGCAGGCGACGGCGGCTGCTGCTACGCGCTCGACCAGAGCTTCACCATCGAACTGCCCGTCGCTGTAAGGCCCAACCGCTACTGCCTCTCCTACGCGACCGCCACCGGCTGCCGCCGCCCCGCCAACTGGTCGCTCTCGGCTTCCGTGGACGGTAAGGCCTGGGCCACGCTCTGCGCCCACGTGGACGACCGATCGCTGATCAAGGCCAACCGGGCCTCGTGGCCGATCCCCGAGCAGGAGCAGGCCTTCAAGCGCTTCCAGCTCACCTGCACGGGCGCCAGCGAGGGTGACGAAGAGGACGAGGACGAGCTTGACGAGGACTACCAGGACGACGAGCCCACACCTTGCAAGTGCTTCCACGTCTGTGGCTTCGAGCTCTACGGCCAGGTGCACCTGGAGTGAAGAAGAAGAGGAGGAAGAGGGTGTTGAACTCGACGAGTTGATGGTGATGCTTTTGAGGTTCTTGTTCCGTGTTTTATTCGATTCGAGCGCAGATCAGTTACAAGAAGGCCCTGTCATCAGATGCGCGTACCCTGTTGAAGACCAATGTTAGCATGACTCCCGCTGGTGGGCGTAACACACAACGACACACACACGACACACACGACGACACACAACGAACCTGGTGATGACCTTGCGGCCACCGGCCGTCGAGAGCTGGAAGTTGCCGTCGCCCACCTTCTTGGCACCGCCGCCGCCGCCTCGCCTGCCGCGCGAGGCCTCGTTGGCGACGATGGCGAGCGACAGGACCTGCCCCTCGAGCTCGGCGCCGTCAAAGTCCCTGATGGCCCTGTTGGCGGCCTCGCGCGACTCGAACACGGCCTTCGCGGTACCCTCCGACCTGCCAGACCTGTCGAACGCGATGTGGACCTTGAGCAGGTCGCCATCGCCGCCCAGCAGACGCTGCACCACAAGTTGGTAGTAATGACGTCAGCAACCAGAACACACACAACACACACACACACAACACACACACACAACACACACACAAGAGAGAGAGAGGTTGGACTCCAACCTTGAGGTCGTCGCTGGACACGTCGTAACTGAGGTTGGTGATCTCGACAGTGGTCTTGTCGCCGCCGCCGCCGCCGCCGCCCAGCGAGCGCTTCAGGAAGCCGGTGTTGCCGAGGTCCCTGTCCACGCCGCCGCCGCGTCTGCGCTCCTCGTCCTCGTTGTAGAGATCGTGCGACCACATGTTCTCTGGGTTACCCTGAGAATGGTTGCAACACAGGTCTGGTTAGCCCAGACTGGTTCTACAAGAAGATGAAGAAAAGACACAAAGCAATAAGGAAGGAAGGTCCACCTATGAAACAGAATGTTAAGTAAGAAGGGAGCAGTAGTGGTTAAAAAAAGAAGGTGTGGTTGTGAGTGAAGGCTCGCTCTTCGCTCTTCGCTGTCTCTGCAAGGAGGTGCCGCGATTTGGGGTGTGCGGGCGCCCTCCCCCATCGCAAGTCGACGGTTTGATGTCGAGGTTGTAGGAGGCGAGCGATGATGATTTTGTTCGCGATGGAGTAATGGAGAGCGCTTGCTGGAGCAGGGGAGAGATCAAACCTGCCCATCATTAAGATAAATTGAGAAAAAAGGGGAATCTTTTGCTATTTGACAGTGAATGAGCAGGAAAGGAGGAGGCAATTCGCGATTGCAGCACCTGGTGCTGAAATGAGATTTTGCAGGGCAGATGTGATTAACGTAAATACAAACCAGGCGCGATTGAGGTACCTTGTCGTAAGGGGTGGCCCTCTGTCCTCGAGTTCGGCGCTGGCCGCGCTGGACGCCACCGCCCTGGCGTCTCTCCTGCTGCTGCTGGCCTCCACCTTGCTGCCGACCACCACCGCCCCCACCACCACCAGTTCGGCCTCCACCAGTTGCCCGACCACCCTTGCCCGAGCCGCCACGGACGGTCTGCTTCGCCTTTTCCCTGAATTGCTTCTTCTTCTTATCCGACATGATGACCTCGTCCAGACTCAGCTCAAGTTTCGACATGGCGAGCAAGTGCTTGAAGGAAGCTGGAGATGTGATGATAATTTTACAGAAGATGTGATTCTACACAAACGTTCAGCCCTGCCTGCGGCTATTGGTCGTTTGATACGTCGACAGAAAATTTGAAAGAAAACATTTTTCGTTCTTTTTCTTGGGCTGGTTTGTGGCGAAGACGAGGTCGCTTTTTCAGTTTTACACACAGACGAGAGCCTTGTGGGTGGTGCTTTAGATGGGCAACGAAGTGAGCGAACCACAGAGGCGGCCATCTGGAAGCAGCAGCCGCGCCAACAAACAATACACTTTCAAGATTGTCGTACTTGGCGACCGTGGGACTGGCAAGGTAGTACTTCTTCGTATTCGCTTGTTGCCACCACTTAACCTTTTCTTCGTCTTTCCTCGTGCCACAACCCCAGACGGCCCTCATCAATCGTACGACCTTATTATTCCTTTTATTATTTGTTTACACTATTTACCGAATTATTGATTTGCTAATACAATCTTGTTTGTTTTTTTTTTGGCCCACAGGGGTGGTCCATGGCCTCTACACGGGGAAGGAGCGGCCGACCACCGGCGTCGAGTTCGCCCTGTGCTCGCTCAACGACTTTGCCACGTCCGTGGGCGGTGACCGCACCGCCATACGGCGCGACAACGTGCGGCTCATGCTCTGGGTAGGCCACACCACCATCCGTGTGTCGTGTCACGTGCGGCCTGCATGTGCGGTTGGTGCGTGTGCGTGTGAGTCTGTCACTAAACGCAACCGTGCGTGCGCGGCTGAATCGGTAGGACGTGGGCGGGCAAGAGAAGTTCGGCGGAAAGACGCGCTTTTACTACGAACACGCCGTGGCCGGCATCGTGGTCGCCGACGCCACCAAGCCCAAGACCATCAAGGTTCTTCTTTCTCGACCAGTGCCGCTTTCATGCTTGATCGTTGCACCACACTCACACACGTGTTGCGTGTTGCGTGTGTTGCGTGTGTTGCGTGTGTTGCGTGTGTTGTGTTGCTATCACCGCACACACCTTGCAGGAGGCGGAGGCGTGGGTGACCGACCTCCGGGCCAAGGTGGCCAACAAGGGTCCCAACGGCGAGAACATGTCCGTCCCCGTCATCATGTTCGTCAACAAAGGTGCTGACACTCTCCTCCTTTATCGTCGCATTGTTTTCGTTCGGCCTTTCTAACCACCCATGTGTCGTGTCGTGTCGTTGGTCGTGTCGTGTCGTGTCGTGTGTTGTGTGTCGTGACGTAGTGGACCAGGTGTCTCCGAAGCAGCTGTCGGCGCTGACGCCCTCGCTCAAGGAGTTTGTGCGCTCCAACGACATCATGGGCTTTTGGACGTGCTCGGCCAAGGAAGACGCCAACCTGAACAAGCCCGTCCAGATGCTCGTCACCAAACTCCTCGAACAGCGCCACAGCGACGAAATCAAGTGCGGGCCTACTCCACATGTGTCGCGTGCGTGCGGTGTTGCGTGTGCGAGTTGTGCAAGCACTGATTGATGTGGTGCTTTTACGCAGGCTCGAACGAAGTGAGGGGTACAGCTACAAGAACTGGCAGCCGCTCGAGCTCGCCACGCATTGCGCTGCGTGCCAGACCGAGTTCTCCCTCTTCACCTGGAAGGTGCGCGAGCCTCCACTTGCACCACTTTGCGCTGACAGTTGTCACTCACCTCTCTATCTCTCCTCGCTTCCAGCATCACTGTCGCAGTTGTGGTACGTTGAGGCCTAGAGCCGCAGAGCCGCACACGCCGCACACGCACACTCACGCACCACTGCACACGACTGATCGTGTGCCATTTGTACGACACGCAGGGCTGATCTACTGCGGCAACTGCACGCCACACGCGGTGGCGCTCCGCGACAAGGGCTACACCACCCCGGTCAAGATCTGCATCAACTGCCACCACGCCCTCGTCACAGCCGCCAAACAGAAATCATCGTCATCATCCACGACGACGACCTCTTCTTCATCATCATCTCTTTCCTCCTCTTCATCTTCTTCTTCCGTGTCCCGATCCGCCAAGCGGCCCACCTGACAACTGTTATTGTTGCGTGTGTGAAATTTCTGGCAATGCAACGCCCAATGAGGAATGCAAGGCATGTGGGGTTTATTACTGCGCCCAGGGTGGTGGCGGACACTCGAAGTGCCAGTCGGGTCCGGTGTAGGCGATGGCGTGGAGCCACACGCGCGGCACCTTTCGTGCTCGCACGCCACCCTGCCGGCAGTCGTGGCACCACGACACCTGCGTGTGCGTGTGCGTGTGCGTTGTGTGCGGTGACGAAGCGTCATCGCTCAGGCAAGTGTGCTCGAACAGCGTGGGCGAGCCACCGTAGAGCAGGTCGTTGGCAATCGGGTGGCCCAAGTGCCGCAAGTGCGCCCTTATCTGGTGTGATCGCCCTGTCATCGGCTCGCACTGGACGAGCGAGGTGTCGGTGGTGCTATCGTACGACAGACCCACAAACCGTGTCTGCGCCGACTTGCCCTCGCCCGACGCCTGAACGTTATTCGACATTTTAGGGGTGCACTGCCTAGAGCCGATGATGTTGGAGGGGAGGCGGTCTTACCGAGGTTTGCGTGGTCCTCCGCTTGCCCTCGTACTGCAGCGGCACCGAACACTCCTGCGCCTCACTGCAATCAAGATGGCATCATCATCATCATCGCCAGTACACAGCACAACGACACACGACACACACTAGACGGCATGGCACGTACGTGGGGAAGCGGCCGACGACCCGGGCGTAGTATTTCTTGGTGACTCGGTGCGCGGTGAGCTGATCGCGCAGGGTGCGGGCCATCTCGGGCGTGCGTGGAATCACCACGAGACCCGACGTCGGCATGTCCAGACGCGACACCACTGCGCCGACGCCAACCCGGTGACATCAATTTTTTTACCGCACACGACACACACCGCACACCGCACACGACACACACGGCCAACCGCACACAACACATGAACAAGGCCAGTCGCGTACTGAAGACGGGCCGTATCTGGTGCTCGCGAGCCAAGATCCACTCCAGGGTGTTATGTCGGTACATCGCCACCGGATGCATCTAAGTGTGCGTACGAGCTCCTTGAGCACACACACACACACAGCACCACACAGCACCACACAGCACACACAGCACACACACAGTACACACCACCGCACATGCACGCAACACATTTGTATGTAGGTACCGGTACGCCGGCGGGTTTGTTGACGACGACGAGATGGTCGGAGGCATGTAGAATGTCGATGGGATCCGCCGCGATGGGGCTCTCGTGCATGTGCAACCGATGGCAGATGTGGCCCGAGGCCTGTCAGGTCGCGACCTCTTCAGCTCACACACGCACCACCGCACACGCCACGCACACCGCAATGATGTGTACCGGAACGACGGTGTCCTGGTCCGCCTTGGCACCGTTCAGCGTGATCCGGCCGTCCTGCACGGCTTCTCGCTGTAGGCGAGCAGCGAACAAGTGAGTCGCACCCGGGCAGCCGCCATGTGTGTGTGTGTGCGTGTGCGTGTGCGTGTGCAGTCTGTACCCAGTACTCGGGCGGGAAGCGGTCGTAGTTGCTGCTCAGCACATCGAGCAGAGGCCGCCCGCTCCAGGCGGCCTTCACGTGGGCGAGCATCGTTGTCTCGTATGGTCGCACCCACCGCAGTCCTGGACACAAAAGACAACAGAAAATCATTTGATTGAAATAAATGAATAATTATGTAAAATAATCGATAAAAAAGCGATAAATAACTGCGTACCGTTTCGGATCTCGATCTCGGGTCGGTGGTTTTCCCAGTCTTCGTCAGGGTGCAGCAATCGCTGCCGGACTGGTGGCGATTTGGAAAGATGTGGCCTTGTGGAAAATCGCGATGTCGCTCCCGGCAGCAGTGCATCTGCTCGGCATAAGTCTGCACGAAGGAAGAGGCGCTAGCAACCCAATCGGTGCACTCTGCATCTGCTCCTCATCTTGCTCAAGAGTTATATTGCAATTTAAATATTGAATTTTTTAAGTAAATAAAATATCAATATCAGTTATTCTTCGTTTCTCACGCGATTGCGAAGTGTTGTTTGGGTGCAAGGTAGGTCGAGGACTCGAGGGTGGCTGGCACGTCGCAGCAGTGCCCTGTGGGCAGTAAATAACAATAAATAAATAAATAAATGTACATTTAGTGGTGTCGTGTGCTCACACTCTTCGTCGCGGCGCTGATGACGCGGTTGAGACGATGCATGGCAAAGCTGGCCTCGTCGCCATCGTCGCCGTCGTCGCTGGTCACGCTCGCTATGCTGCCCGCCCGGCTGTGGTTGGCGCTACTCAGCTCACCACCTCGGCCGTCTTCCTCGCCGTTGATGCTGAGAAGCCGCGTCTGCCACGTCACGCGGCCTTCAACGGCTTGGCGCCCTCGTCGGTGCTCGTCGTAGATACTCGACGTCACCACTGTGTCGGCTCCCTCGAAAATGTAGCGCTCGTCATCGTCGTCGTCGGTGTGGTCGTCGACGCTCGACGAGTCGTCTTGATCTTCGTCGACATCGTCTTCTTCCCACATGACGCGCTCGCGCTCGCGCCGCCGGTCGTCCAGGGCGAAGGCCCGCGCAAAGGTGCGTCGCTCCACGAGCATGAGGCCGCCGAGTAGCGCCACCACCAGCAACACGAAGCCGAGCGACAGCAGGCCCTCCTCCAGCAACCCTGTTCCCACACTCCTCTTCACATCGCGTGTGCGGTGGTGCGTGTGCGGTGGTGCGTGCGGTGAGTGCGTGTGCTACGCCGGAGTTGTCCTACCGGCCGGAACGAAGAAGAAAAGGAAACGTTGGGTTTGAGGGGGGGAGGTGGTACCTCGGCAGTGGAGGGTGAGGGCGAAGCTGAGGGCGAAGAGGTACCCTCCATCGCCTCCATCGCCACCAAAACAAAAGACCCCACTTCGTGGCAGAGCACTTGCAGAAGGTGCACCCTCACACTACGGCAAGTCGGGCGATCGCCCGAGAAGAAGTGAAAAGCGAAGAAAATCTAGTTTCTTTAGCATTTAGCATTTTGCTTTTATTTTCCTATTTTCTAATCAAAAAGACTGATGATGCAGAGAGCAGGACGATTTGGGTGCATTGGGCGCGGGGCTCGAGCACCCTCGTTGGGCTTGCTGCGGCTGGGCGCTGATGCACATGCTCGCACTCTTGCCCACTACTGGAACCGACCAACATCTTCGGCTGCAGCGAGGTTCGCCACTGACGCTGCTGCCGCCAGCAGACGTAGCGCCACACGAAGCCGGCGGCAGCGAAGAGAAGAAGAGGAGGAAGCCAGAGCTAGAAGCAGCAATCCTTGGGGCGATCTCGAAATTAGCGAAATCAGAATCGTGTACGACCCCAGGGGCGCTTCATACGTACCATCTTCTGCCTCGATGCTCGCTGATAGCCACACCGCTGATCACGCGTACGAGGACGCCACCTCTTCATCATCTACACGCACTACCGCTCGCGATCCTTACGAGCGCATCTCCACCGCTGATCGATTGCGAACGAGTAGCGGCTCTGCTTCATCTCCATCTCCTTCATCTTCATCATCTTCGCCCCACGTACCGCCCACCTTTCCTCGAAGTAGTAGCAGCAGCAGCCCCCCCGCAGCCGACGTCGCCGCCCCCACCACCGGGCCGACCACCATCGGCGGCGAGGCCGCCAAGCCCATGTCGTGGAAGACCAAGCTCTTCATCGTGGCCGTGATGCTCGCTCAGATCTGGGACATCCGGCGCACCGGCAACAAGATCAAAGAGGCCAAGCAGAAGGAGGACGACGAGCGGCGCAGCAAGTTCAGCCCCAGCCCCACCGCCGCCGCCAACAAGCACGACTCAGCCGCCGCCGTCGTCGCCGAGCCCGAGGCCTCGGCGCCGCCGGCCAAGGCCGCCGCGTCAACGCCGTCAACGCCAGCGTCGTCTACAGTGCGAAAGGCCAACTCGCTGGAGCTGTGGGTGAGTCGGCAGAAGAAGCTGAACCGGAGCCGCCTGATCCAGCGCAAGCTGGAGCGCGGGCTGAACAAGCACGAGCGCGACGCGGTGCTCAAGCTGTGCATCCAGTCCATGATCGAGGCCCAGCAGGCCCGCGAGATTCTCTCCGCCGACCAGCAGAACTTTGTCGACATCGACAACGAGGCCGAGCAGGGCGTGGTCGGGACCGACCGCCGCGAGGTGTCGGTGCGCAAGGTGCTGGCCGAGCGGCTGGGCGCCGAGGTGCAGATCCGGGACTACGTGGTGATGAAGACCACGCTGCGGACCAACACGAGCGACACCAACGAATGGATCCAGGAGTCGCGACAGCTCCTACAGAGCCGCGCCGACCCCTCGCGCCGCGTGCAGATGGACATTCGGTGCGTGTCGTGTCGTGTCGTGTCGTGTGCGGTGTCTGTGTGTGTGTGTTGCTCACTGGGGTGCGGCGGTGCAGAACGCGGATCGTGGAGATGAAGGACGCGCCGTCGACGATGGACGCCGAGGAGGGGCTCATCCTGGTCAATAACGGGCGCGACCTGATGCAGGAGCTGGTGCAGCTGGTCGCCCGCCCGCCCGACCACGAGAGCGACAGCCGCATCGCCACCTACATCGAGAAGGTCGACATGTCCTTTGGTCCCTCCATGTGTCTTGAGTTTGAGTTTGACCACGTGCGCATCAGCTGAATGCCCCCCCCCCAACCACCCCTCGACATGTACATACATATGGTGCACTCACCTATATTGAACAAGGCATAAATATATTCCCCACACACAACACACCGCACCAATCACGCTACAATGCAACTGTTGGTCGCATGCCAACTGCTTTTATCGAGAAATCACACGCGTCTTGACGGACTGCGCGACTCAGTCGATCAAGTCGACGCTGCCGGCGTTCAGCGGCATGTGGTCCCTGGAGGCCAACAGCAGGAGAAGAGATGAGTGTCAAGTGTTTGATTTGTATGTGTCCATTGGTGAGCGCCAGCAACACGTGTACAAGCGTTGTCAGCTGGGCTTGCAAATAAATAAAGTGGTGGGTGAGGGCCGCGGGCTCTGAAGTAGAAGCCGTCGGTACGTCAAGCGTTGGCGAACTTGAGCTTCTGGATAAGGGCGTGCATGGGCAGAAGCTCCCGGTCGTCGACGAGGCCGTGCTCCCTCACAAAGCGCACAAACGCTATGAATGAAGACTACAGCCCAACACAAAAAGACTGCGTCAGACACACAGGGCAACACACGACACACGACACACACAACTGCGAGCACGCGCAGCACTCACTGCGTACCTGCAAGAGCTTCATTTCGCCAATGTCATCGAAGAAGGAGACGTGATGGTGGTAGATGTGCGCGTACACCCGGAACAGCCGTCGCAGCGAATCTCGAATCTTGGGCAGGCTCGGCGCTACACGCATGCGTTATATCTAATGAGATAGTGTGTGCGGTGTGTGCGGTGTGTGCGGTGTGTGCGGTCACGTACTGTGTGTGAAGATCTGCTCCGTGGTCTGGAAGAGCAGTGAGATGTACTGCGGGGCCGGCAGCGCGGTGGCCTGCTTATATCGCCCCTCGTCCTTCCACAGATACTCGAATCTGCAGCGAAGAGGGTTGGTTAGGCCAAAAAATTGAGACGCCCAAAGCCTAAAGCTCTTAGCGTACTTGGGTCCGGCGGTCATGTTGGGGCAGTTCTTGGTGTTGCACTGGTCCTCCACCAGCGCGTAGATCAGTCGAATCCGCTCAAACAGTTGTTTGGCTGCACAGCAAAGCGGGAGCGAACGTCAGTACAACGCCTTTGCACACGCTTTCACCCCAAGGTCAACTTACTGTTCGCCAGGAGGAACTTGATGTCGCTGTGTGATCGCGGGACCTTTTGCGGCGAACTACGCAACACACACGCACGCACACGCGCACGACACACGCGCGCACACACACACACACACACGCGCGCACACGCACACGCACACGCACACACGCACACACACACACACACGCACACACACAACACAGTCAGGATGCACGTTGGGTGATCGTACGGGAGGTGGGGGAAAGGGGGGGTGGGGGCAATACTGTTGGGGCGAGGCCTGGACGGGGAGGCTCTTGGACACGGTCTGGAATTTCTTGGTGGTGGAGGCCTTGGCTGTGGTGGAGTAGGTCAAGGTGCCCCGCACGTGTGTCGACCGCTGCCTCGAGTGGGACAGCGCCAAACTGGTGCACCAATCACGCATCACCCGATGATCAGAACGTGTGTGTCGGGTGTGTGTCGTGTCGTGTCGTGTGTGTCGTGTCGTGTGTCGTGTGTCGTGTCGTGTCGTGTGTGACATTTACCTGGACTGGTACGAAATCTTGTTGTCCCTGCCAGAGGCCTTGGCGCGCTTGGTCCGCATGATGCACTCGTTCAGATTTTCCACCAGGCTGACGATTCCCACCCAACGCAGACCACGAGATAATGGGTCAGACAAAGCGTGTCGTGTGCGTGCGGTGCGTGCGGTGCGTGAGGTGTGTGCGGCGTGTGCGGTGCGTACTTGACACAAAATGGATCGCTGGCCGAGGCGGATTGCTGGATCTGCTGGATGGCCTCACTGAGGATCGCCACCGCGCTGTCGAATCGTCGCTCCTCCTGCTCGGCGATGGCCTGCTTGATCGCATCGGCCGTGTGCACACGATTGCGCTGCTTGTCGACCTCATACGACGGCTGCACGAAATAATAAAGAATAATAAATAAAGAATTAAGAATTAAGAATAATAAATAATAAATAATAATGCAGCAGGGAGGCTCGAGGGAGTTCGCGAACCGCAGAGTCGCCAGGAATGGCCAGGGCTGTTGGCCGCGCCACGCTGCACTCGGAGGAAATGGTCGTGTGGCGGCCACCGGGCAGACTCGAATAGGTGAGCGTGGCGCTCTGTGCGGCGATGCAAGGAAACCGGTTCAAGTCAATAACATGTCGTGTGCGTGTGCGGTGGTGCGTGTGCGTGTGCGGTGGTGCGTGTGTGGTGGTGCGTGTGCGTGCGTGTCGGTGGGGGCAGTACCAGAATGAGGAACGAGTCAACGGGCTGCTCGAGAGCTGGCAGTGTCAGGGCGAGCAGCACATCTCTTGTCTGTGGGCACACAGCCGGGGCGATGTTGTGAGCCCTTGGGCACGAGAACACACGACACACACGCGAGCGAGCGAGCGAGGACGTTGTGGTGCACCTCTTCGTAGTAGATGTCGCCCAGAAGAATGGAATAGGACTTGTGCGGGGAGTGCTCTGCCACGCTCTGGTTGCCGTAGATCTTGTTGATCATCACGCCAGTGCCCGACACCTGCACGTTTCATGAAATGTGTAAGGCCAAGGACCGCCGAAGAAGAAGCAGCAGAAGCAGAAGAAGAAGTGCCTCGAGCTTCAAGCGGATGTTCTCGGCGCACACGGACAGGAGGCCGCCCAGACAGTCAGCAAAGGCCGTCGGAATCGCTTCTGCCGCTTCTATAGCGTAGTACAGCCCGTTCCCCATTTCCGCAATCTTACTGTCGTGTGCCACCACACACACACAAACAACACAACACACAACACACAACACACACAACACACACACACACACAACACACACACACGCACGCGCACATACATGCATATGAGCCTCTCTCGGGCTGGGAAACCAAAAAGGGGAAAAAGAGGAGGGGGGGGGCAAAGGGCGTACGTGAGCATGTTGGCGTCGGGTGCGGATCCGAAGCCAAAGGTGAAGACGGTGGGCGCGAGGGACTTGGTCCGCAGTAATCGAAGCTCCGTGTCCAACGCATTCACGATAGGTTCCTGTATTGGTGGTGGTGGTGGTGGTGGTGGTGGTGGTGGTGGTGGTGGTGGTGGTGGTGGTGGTGGTGGTCGCCGTCGTGCACCGACCGCTCGCAGTCAGTCATTCGTAACGAGATCAGCGAAAAAGAAAGAGCAGACGGGCGGACGAACGTTTTGGTGAGGCCACGATTGGCGCCACCGTCGGTGAACAGCAAAATTGAGCAGACCATGTTGGAGTGATTGGACCTGCGTGGGCGACGCACAAGACATCAGCTGATACCCCCCCCCCGACGCACGCACGAGATTGGGTCTCGGGGAGGGGCGGGGCGTACGGCAGTTTTTCGAGTAGCCGGAGCGCAGAGAAGAGGCCGCCGGAGAGGTTGGTCCACAGGCCCGTCTTTATATTCGACACGGCCTTCAATACGGAGTCCTGTGTGGCGACACAAACAAATTCAATATCGTTCGCATTCACTCAGCACGACACGACACACGACGCACGACACGCACGACACCACGACACACGACTAGAGAGAGAACGCATACCTTGCCCGCGTCGTCGAGGAAGGTGAGGGGAATCTCGGTCGTCACTTCCTCGTCGTAGGAGACGAGGCCCATGCAGTCACCGGGCGAAAGCTGTGACGTCAGGAAGAGCAGCGATTCCTTCACCAGCGACAGCTTCGGGCCTGGAAACGGAAAACGACGATTCAGTGACCATGTACGCGTGTGTGTGTGTGTGTGTGCGTGTGCGGTCGAGTGTGTGCTGAGCACAAGCGCTCTGGCGCACCTTTCATAGAGGAACTTCGGTCGATGGCAGCGATGACAGCGATCTGCGCGCGCTCACCGCCAAGGGCCTGGCTCGCGTCGGACCCGCTGCCCGTGTTATGTACATGATGGTGATGGTGGTGAAGACTGCCGCCGCCGCCGCTCTTCTCCTGCGAGGGCGAGCCGACGGCCGCTACCAGCGACGACGCACGTAGCGAGGCGTTGGGCGCTGACTGCGCGCGCACGGAGACGATGACGTGGATGCCCTTGTGCTGCATGTCATACCGCAGGTGCGGCACCTCGACGTCGAGCGCGAGCCGCAGCTTTCGCTCGCTCTCCTCGTCGGTCGTCCGCCGACGCAGCTTCTTCTGCTCCGCCTCCTGCGTCTTCGTTGTCGCCGTCGCCGTCGCTTTCTTCTTTTTCCGGGGCTTTCTCTTCGCCTCCGCGCTCCGTCGTCGGTCCGCTTCGCTCTGCTCGCTCTCGTCGCTCACGCTGCTGGTCGCGCCGCCACTGTTCGTCATGCTGCTACTGCTGCTCGTCATGCTACTGCTGCTACTACTACTCACACCGTCCGCCTCGCCGTCGTCATCGTCGCCACCATCATCGGCTTCGTCTTCCGTCTCCTCTGCGTCGTCATCAACCTCTTCCTCTTCCTCATTGTCTGCGCTGTTGTTGGTGTTGTCTTCATGCGCAGCCTGCTTGGCCTTGTTGAGCGCGTCTCTGTCGCGACTGTCGGTCTTGCGCTTGTTATCGCCGTCGGCGCTGCCGTCATTGTCGCTGCTGTCGGACCCTCGGGCGCCGCCCGCCTTCTCTCTGCTCGAGGAGAGGGCTTTGAAGCGCTCGATCAGGCCGTGCATCTTGGCCGCCTTCTCCTGCTTGCTGGTGGCCGGGTCCTGCTCGCTCTCCGAGTTGTCATCATCATCGCCGCGCCCGTCGATCACGATCGTCTCGCTCTTGTTGGGCCAGCTGCCGGCGTGTCCATCGACGACATCGTCGTCGCTGCTCCCGCTCTCGCTTTCCTCTTCGTCCTCCTCCCCCTCCCCCTCCTCCTCTTCGTCTTCATTTTCGCCTTCGCCTTCGTTCTCTTGCTTCGATGTGCCCTTGCCGGGGGATGGCTCATCGAAGGAGAAGAGCGAAGACGTGAAGCCGACGCTGCCCATAGGGTCACCGCCGTCGTCCCCGATCAGGCCGCCCATCGACACCGACTCGTGGCCACCCACCATCGCGCCGTCGCCCATGATGAGACCGCCATCGCCGCCATCGTTGGCGCCATCGTTGAAGTAGCTCGCGCTCGTGATGATCGTGGCCGCCGACGAGGCCAGCGACGAGGCCGAGAAGTTCGACGCGCCGCTGTCGCCGAGGAATCCCTGGTACGCGCCCGGCTCGGCCGGGATCGTGTCCATGAACCCGTCGTACCACGACCCGCTGAGCACGATCCCGCCCGCGCCGCCCAGCTGCTCCGGCGTAAGCTGCGCGGCCTGCGGGTCGAAACTGAGCACCGTAGCTGACCGCTGCCGACAAGCGTCGTCCATCATCGCCGGCGCCTCGACGTTGGCGTCGCTGGTCTCGGTTCGGCCACCGTGTTCGGGGCTGGACTTGAGGTCGTCGTCATCGTCATCGTCATCGCTCTGACCGTCATCGTCGCCGCGCTGTCGGGCCTGTCGTTCCTCCTTGGCCTTCTTGTCCTTGCCGTTGACCCACGCGTTGAAGAAGGCGAACGGCGACAGGTGCTCTTCGCCGGTGCCGCCACCGCTGCCGGTACCGCTGGAGTAGTCTCGTCGGTGGTCGTGGTCGCCCTTCTTGTTGGCCTTCTTCGACGACTTCTTCGACGACGACGACTTCTTCTTTTTCTCCTTTTTCATCGACTTCTTGCCCGACGACGGTATCGACAGCTTCTTAATGCTGCTGCCGCTCTCGGAGGTGATGATCGATGTGGAGGAGGTGGAACTACTCGACTTGGCCTCCCGCTTGGCCTCCTTCTTCTTGTACTGCCGCACCACTGCCCGCAGCGCGTAATTGGGTTGCATGTCCTCGACCGTTGCCGTTCTGCGAAAAGACAAAGCGCGGAAGCGTGTGTGAAGCTTGGTAAATACTTGCTACCACGCGACACACACGACACACACGACACACGCGACACACACACGACGACACGTACGTGTTACACGATGGACACTTGTTCTGCTGCTGCAGCCACTTTGTAATGGTGCGTCGACTGAAGCTGTGTCCGCAGGGCAGCATCACTGAGAGAGAAGAGGTCATGATACGTGCATAAGGTCAGCAGGAAGCACAACACCACAAGGCAGTGTGCGTTGTGTGTCGTGTGTGTGTGTCGTGTCGTGTCGTGTGTGTGTGTCGTGTGCTACAGACCTGGCTTCTTCATGAGCTCCAGGGAGATCGGATCGATGAGGAGATCCTCCATAGAGCGACTCAGGCTCGAGGTCGTCGGTGTCGGCGTGGCCCCCAGCCCGCCACGCATGAGATCGTGCTTCTTGATAGAGAGCGACGAATACGACGCGCACGGGGTGCCCGACGCGGGGGCGCTTACGCCGCCGCCGGTGCTTGCGGGCGACGAGACCGAGAGTCGCCCCGTCGAACGTTGGAAGCCGCCGGTCGGGGTGGGCGGCGAGCCAAAGTAGTCGAGCGGCGATTCCATGTTCGGAGGCGAACCCGAGCGCGGCGACAGCGAGGCGAAGATGCCGTGGGGCGAGGCCGGCGGCGACATCCGCTGCTGCGGCGACCGGGGATCAGCGCCGCCGCCGCCGCCGCCGCTGCTGGTGCTGTCGTTACTGGCCCGCCGCTCCGACGAGGAATACACCACCGTCCCGTTCCTGCGCGTTTCGCATGTATCCACCAACATGCGATTAACGTTTTGACTGGAGGCTGACGAGAGAGTTGGAGTTGAGTCGAAGACTTACCGCTTGAATACCCGCGTGTTGAGGCCTTCGCTCCCCACCTTTTCCTTGAGCTCGTTCTCCTTCTCCAGAATGACCGTTTTGGCTTCATCCTCGCTGATGGTGGTGGTACCACAGAGCAGAACAGAGAGATGAGAGGCGGTGTTGTAGGTCATGAGTGTCGGTCAAAGACCGCAGCAGTGCAATCACCACGACGAGCTAGTAGAAGTGCAGTGGCGGGATGAGTCAGTACCTGAGGTCGTATTGTGACATGATGGCACGAATGAGGTCCTGCCTGGGCACACTCAACACCAGCGACGCATCCAACTCAGAAAAGCACCTGTGGCGCCAACGCGTGACGATCAGAGGGTGAGTAGATGAGCTGAATAAATCATTTAAAGAGATGAATCAACCATTCAAAGAGCAAATAAAATAAGCAAGTGCTTGATCAAAGCATGGAAATGCCAAAATTGATGGATATATGAAAAAAATAAATAAAAAGTGAGATGAAAGGACTTCACCTGAGGAGGCGTTGCATGCTGCTGGGCTGGCGAGGCAATTCCTCTTCTTCATCTCGTGGTTGGGCTGATTTTGGTATTGTAGCGGGTGCGTGTCCATGCGGCATGCGCACAGATTTCGTAGCGAGGGGGGAGGGCAACATCGGCTTCGAAGATGGCCAAGATGACGAGCTTCGAGTGGATCCGCCCTGCGCCTCGTCGTCGTAGTCTTCATCTTCTCTTAACATTTTACACTTTCTTTCCCTCTTCTTCAATAAACGGAGCGATCCTTCTGGAGCTGATGAAGATGGACTGATTTGATGGTGGCCACGCGTGAGTGGGCGAATCAATGCTGTTCCAGATGTCTTCTACAATGCATCGAGCCTCTTTTCCTCCTCTTCCTGCCTTCCCTCTCCGAACGGACCGTTCTCTCGTCGAGCGTGCCCCAAGCCCAAATCGGCGATTGTTGATGTCTTTGATTAGGCTGGTGTGATGATGATGATCCAATGCGCCAGAAAGCAGCAATACGAAATGGAACCTGCGACGCAGCACGTGAGAGCACCAGGCCAAAAAAAAACAAAAATAAATTGTTTGTTACACAGACGGGCTCACCTGCTGATATATATAGTGAACATGGTCAGGTAGCGCCGGGCCTCAACCACTACCGTTGTTGGCCAATGATACAGCGAGTAAGTTGAATGTTGTGGATGTACATGATCGTGATGGTGCGTTCTTGGCTCTGTGCCTTAGGTTCGGCGGTAGTCAATGTCGGGCCTCGCTGCCGTGGCTTCGAGCACCCACCGGGCAAACTGTCGCACGCTCCGGGCGCACAGCTCGCGCGTCCGTCGGCGCACGTTCTCGCTCTTTGCGCTACGCTCGGCGGCGCTTCGCGCACGGGCCACGCGGATCACGACGTCCATCTCGTCCTCGCCCTCCTCCTGGACCCACACCACCGACTCGTCGAGGTAGGTGTAGGTGTCGAGCAGCCGGCGGTTGGCCACGAGCGGGCAGCCGGCGATGAGCGAGGCTGCCACCGTCGACGAGGCCCGCTCGATGTAGTACTCGTCCGTGGCGAACGACGGCACCAGCGCCACGCTCCGGGCGATGATGGCGTAGTAGGGCAGGTAGTCCAGCCTGCTGTCGACCACCACGCGGCCATCGAGCCCCTCAATCGGTAGCTTGAGGCCCTTGCCGCTGCCCAGCAGGTGCAGCGTCAGGTCGGCCGCCTGTCGGTCTGATCGCAGCCGCGACAGGATGTGATCGTAGTTGCGCCGCGCCGGGTCGAAGTTGCCCTGGATCGCAAAGGGCGTCTCCCCCGGCCCGACGCTGGTGCGCTGCCCGGCCAGCCCGGCCACCGGGAAGACGGGCACGAAGGTCTCTACGCGGGCTGCTAAGGGGCTTGTGTTGGCTGTCGACACCTGTAGGTGCCAAGTTGGTATGACAACTGTCGACAAGAGGTGCGCGACGTGCGGTGCGAGGGTGAGAAAGGTGATGCGGCCGGCCTCGACCCAGGGCCGGAGCAAGGGCAGCAGCTCGGGCCGCATCGCCTGGGCCTCCCACTGGGCCGCGTGGTGCACCACGCACAACAGGTAGGTGTGCGGCGACGAGGTGAAGAGGTGGTGAAAGACGTCGGTGTGGTTGGCAAAGTCCCACTCGCCGGTGGCCAGCACGACCACGTCGGGCGCGGGCATCCAGCCCCGCACGAGGTGGTCGCGCATGCGGGCGGCCGGAAAGAAGGAGGCCCGCGGGGCGAAGGCCGCATAGATTTGGTCGATGCCGTAGCGCTGGGCCTTGAGGTAGAGGGTGAGCGCGGTCGAGGGCTGCTGGCCGAGGGCGTAGACCAGCGCGGCGACGACCTCGTCGTGCCACCCGGTGCTCTCGAAGACCGCGACCCGCAGCATGCCCTTGTTTTTGGCCCGCCACTCGGCTTCGGTCTCCTCCCACGGACCGCCGAGGAAGTGGGTGGCGAGGAGTACGAAGGTCGCCAGGCCAATGACGAGTAGGAGGGGGTGGCTCATCTTCATAATCTTCATCTTTAGTTGCTGCATCTCTGCCTCGCAAGGAAGAACGAAATGATTTCGTTTTCGTTCTTGCTTTTAAAAAAAGGAAAAAGAATAATTTCGGAGCTAGCGCCACGACTAACCCAAGAACTGACGTTCCGACCTACAACATCTGAAGAAAACTTTTATGGAAAGCTTTGGGTCGAGCTGCTGATGATACATCATAAGTTGGGATCCAGTTGAATGGCAATCGGCTTGGCTGTAAACTACTTACTGCATGATGAACTTGACTGTTAACGCAAAGGGGAAAAGAGAAAGAGAGTTGTTGTGAGGTGGGGACACATCAATATTTGGCAGACAGAAAGAGAGAGTGACGTACAGGAGGTGACCTGGTTGTTGAAGCCCGCAGGCATGCTCGGGGCGTAGAACTGGCGCACCTCGACGCTGTTGCCAAAGCAGTCCAGATCGTAGAACAGCTGCAGACCGACGGCGCCCGTGGTGCCGGCGAACAGCTGGAAGGACGACGCGGCGTCGTTGAAGGGCAGAATGTTGTAGCACTGCTCCGTGCCGTAGTGCGCCGCCACCGTGAGACAATCGCCCTCGGCGTTCTCCTCCTGTTGGTTCCGATTGGGATGTGAATGAGTGATTGCTGCATTGCGGTTGCACATACCACAGCCTTAAGTGGGGAAATGGAGGAGTACGTTGCAGAAGATGGCCTGGGGGGAGACGCGGCTGTTGGCCTCCAGGGACCACATGCAGCTGAACGCCGGCAGCGCTGACTTGATCGACTGAGTCGCGCAGTCCGAGATGAAGTTGAGGGGGTTCAGGTACTGGTCTGTTGTGTAGTCACGCGGAGGTCAGTTGGGTGAGACTAAAATGTCTACAAGAAAAACCTGGGCTGGAGCAGGAGCGTACAGTCTGAGCGAAGAATTCGGTTGGACGCACGATCCTCGTTGGTCGAGCAGGTGTAGCCAGCCGAAGCCGGATAGGCGTCAGGGTGGTTGCCGCCCAGGTTGTGGCCAATTTCCTGGTATGGTGATCGCACATGCAACACAAGACCAGGTCAGCCAGGAGTGCTGTCGAACGCAGCCGTGCAGCAGGCGTACGTGGATGGCGAAGCCGATGACACTGTTGCCCTCGTCGTCGCCCTGGCCGTCGACCGAGAAGCCGGTGGCACCGAAGTTGGACGCGCAGGCGGCATTGACCCAGGCCAGGCCGCCGACGCCGTAAGGGTTGCGGCCCGTGATGAGGTGGTAAAGGCAAGCGCCACTGGGCACGCCTGCGAAGACGCCGGCGCGCAGGCCGTTGGTGAAGCTGTCCAGGAGCTCCTGGCCGTCGAGGGTCTCGGTGAACGACGAGCCGTCCTCGACGTGGACGTAGGTCAGGTTGAGGTTGATGCCGAAGTGGATGTCGTAGAACTTGTTGATGTCGGCCCAGTACAAGGCATACTTCTGGGCGATCTGCTCCAGGGTCATGCCGGGCAGGTTGCGCCTGACCCAGTTGTCGACAACCAACACAGACTGACACACTATTCAAAGATGATGAATGATATTCTAGTCAGACGACTGCAAGAGAGTCAGGAAGTATCGAATAGCGTACCAGCGCCGGTGTTCTGAGGCGGCTGAGAAGGCGAAGGCTGCGACGAGGGAGAAGCCGACGGGTTGGAGGGTTGCGAAGAGGGCGAGGCCGAGGCCGACGGGTTGGCCTCGCCGGGGCAGTTCCAGCTGGAGACCTGGAAAGGCGCCGCCTGGGCCGACCTGATGGTGTAACCGAAGTTGTGGCTCTGGCCCGCCGCAATGCCTCCGTTCTGCTGGCGCCACTGCGGCAGCTCGTACAGCGAAGGGTTCCCTGTGGGCGCCAGCAAAAAAACGCCTTGAGTGTGGCAACGCAAGAAGAATGTGAGGCATGCAGGCATGGCATGGCGTGGACACATACCAGGCTTGGGCACGAGTTCCCAGATGTTGTCGATGGGGGCAGAGTTGGCCGCCGGGTCGATGGAGAGAATGAGGGATGAGATGGTGTTGGAGCCGGTGGCGATGGAGGCGCTCCACACGGAGTAGGTGACGCCCAAGCCATCGGTCCACGAGGTCTGTCTCGACTGCGAGATGGTCGGTTTCACACAAGCTGTGCGCACACATCACAACATGAGCACCCAATGTTGTGAGTCAACCGCACAAATGCGCGCTAAGGTTCATCTCATCATACCTCCAAGCGCGCTGGAGCAGGCCAAGGCCAAGAGAAGGAACACGCAAGCGTAGGAGACCCGCATGTCTGGTGCTGTTAAAGAGCGAGTGGTTGTTGTTTGAAGTGGTGACTTTCACGACAACGAGAGTGGCCTTTTATACATTCGACCGTATCAATGGCCTGTATGCCATGACCGGGTATTCTCCGGGTTTTCCAATGGCATGTGTAGCGCTCAGGCCAATATGTTCATCGTTGCGGATGAACAGTTGTTGAGGGGCTTGACTTCTCTGTAAAATCTGCCCACACGATAGCACATCGCCGTTGCGTTGTTACGTGATAACATACGTCCTTAAAGTCCCACCATAACTTGAAGCCGACCAAGAACATGTTGTTCTCTGCGTTCTTGCTCTAGGAATTAGGAAATGCTTTGAATTCTTGGATATCTTAGATATTTCGGTGGAACTGACCCAATTGCTGTACGTTCTGTGCGGATTTCCGTCCGATCAGAGCTGAGGTGCCGCCAGGGCCTGCCAAACTGACATTGGCACGGCCTGTGCGCTTTGGCATGAAGCACTCGCGCCAACGCTCTGTCACACTCTCAGAGGCCTCGAGCAAACACTCAATACTCGCCAGACGACACATAGGCCATGGACCCCCGACGAGATGATGGTGGGAAAGAAGAAGGAGGAGGCAGAAGAGAGGAGGATGGGGAGGACATGCCCCGATCGGGTGGGGAAGAGGAGGAAGTAGAGGGAGAAAGAAAGGGAGACGATCAAAAATCGCAGATGAAAAAGAAGAAAAAGAAGAAGCGACGAAACGCGAACAATGGCAGCACGGGGGAAGGGGAGGACATGCCCCGATCGGGTGGGGAAGAGGGAGGAGCGGAAGAAGCCGGTGGAGATGAAAAGAAGAAGAATAGCAAGAAGAAGAGGCCGCACCGGCCCCTGCAGCGCGAGAGCAGCTCCTTCTTCTCTGCCGACGAAGGCGGTGCGTGCCCAAAGCCCCCCCCCACAAATCTCCTCCAATTGATTCTACTCGCGCTGAGGTGCTGGGCTGACGAGCGGGCGTACCTGCAGAGGGGGCGGATGTGCTGATGCTCAACAAAGATGACCTCCTCTCGGATCGACTCGAGCGCAAGATGCGCAATCTCAACCAGCTCCGCCGCTCATCGGTCGTCTCTGGCATGAAGGTGCCCTTGCCTGCCCTTCATCTTTCATCTTTCAGTCTCCGATCTCGTTGAGCTCAACGGGGCGTGCTGCAGGAGCTGTGGATGGAGGACCTCCCGCACCCGCAGCGCAGCGGTTTGAGCGCCGCCTGGGAGATGCCCACCGGTGCGTCCAAGTTCCACCTCACACGTCAATGAACGTCTGCTCCGTTTGTGCGATCGCGCGTGCGGTGCCGTGTGCGTCGCGTGCGATGTCGTGTGGCCGTGTGGGTTTGTAGAGAGCGTGCTGATGCATCGATGTGCAGGCTACGCGGGGGAGGCGGATCGGGACGAGCTGGAGAAGGAGCTGTACCAGTGCCTGTCGGCCAAGACGGCCCTCATCCTGCCCTTCCACTGGGGCGACAACCAAAAGTCCATCACGCAGTGGATCGACCGCCTCCTTAAGCGAACCATCATCGGTACCGACGCAGCCGCTGACCACCGTTGACAAGTTGGTACTGAGCGTTAACGCCAACCGCGCGTGTCGTGTCGTGTCGTTGGTGTTGCGTCGTGTAGACAAGGATTCGGGGCGGCGGGTGCAGCTGTGGGAGAGCGACTTCATGCTGCCGTTCGAGGTGAGCGAGCTGTCGGCCCACTTCCGCCAGATCGTCGGCTGGAACGAGACCGTCAAGCGATTCATCCAGCAGCAGCAACAGCAGCAGCCACGCGCCTCCAGCGGAGACGGCGGCGGCCTCAACTTCGGCGAGTTTTCGATCCACCAGCACAGCGAGTTCACGCCGCGGCCCGACGAGCTCGGTCAGTCCCACGCCGAGAAGGAGGAGCGACGCAAGGATCGCATGCACCGCCGCATGAACAAGCAGATGACCCAGAAGAAGGCTGGCGGCGCCGGGAGCGGTCGTCGGCGCGGCGCCGGTGGCACGCCCGAGCGCCGCAGCCGGGAGGCGAGGGCGAGGCCGAGCGCGAACGGTCGTCGACGACCGAGGAGGGCGAGACGGAGGAAGACGAAGCCGGGCGGGACGACGGACCCAACCGGAACTGCCTGCTGATGGACGAGGGCGGCGACATCGAAGCCGAGCAGGAGGAGGAAGAGGTCGAGAGCATCGCCAACGACCTTGAAGTCTGGTACGCGCGTGTGCGGTGTGTGCGGTGTGTGCGGTCACTGATGGGTGGTGCGGTGCAGGAAGTGCCAGCGGATGAAGCTGACGCGGAAGGCGCGCGAGATCCTGTTCCCCAATCCGTGCATCTGGGCGTCGTCGGGTGACGCGATGCCGTCGCCCGTCCAGGCGCGCGACGAGGAGCGCCGCCGCCACATGGCGGGCGGCAGCCAGGCCAGCAGCAGCGACAGCGACTACGAAAGCGACGGCGCCGACACCACCTTCCCACCCGACGACAACATTCCACGCATTCCGCCGCCGCCCGCTGGTGCTGGGCGCCCGCACGCAGTCCACCACTCGGTGTCGGAGCCCAGCCTGGCCATGGCGCCCGCCATGTCGACAGTCGAGGCGGCGGCCGAGGAGGCGACGACGCCGCAGCCGGCATCCAGGGGCCGCAAGGCGAGTGTGCCGTCGCTGCCGACCTCGTGGGAGGACTACGCGCTCACTGGCTCGGCATCGACGGTCATCGCGCCGCCCCAGATGCCCCAGGGCTGCACCGTGCTCTCCAAATGCGACAACAAGATCGGTACGCACCTGTGGCTTTTTTACCTCCGACGACCATCATTTTAACTCCGAACGAGTGTGCTCACTGCGTGCCACGCATACTATCGCGTGCGTGTCGTATGTTGTGTCGTGGTGTGAATGGATAGGCTTCGAGGTGGAGATGGATTCGGTGGAGTTGGTGATGTACCCGTTGGGCTGCGGCCTGCTGGTGTTCCATCTCAACTGGATGCCCGAAAAGCTCAAGGACGTGCCCCTCACCCTCGACGAGCTCCGCACGTACGTCTCACCTTTCACTTCACACCCAGCTCCTCATCACTCATGTTTTGTGTCATGTCGTGTGTCGTGTCGTTACAGGTGGCTCTTCTTGGTCAAGTTCCGCCACAAGGTGAAGAAGGTTTTCATGGGGTGGACGCTGGGTATGGAGGCGGCGCTGATTGCGCACGGCCTCAGCGAGGGCTTGGACAAAAAGAAGAAGGCCAACATGGGACCCTTCCTGCCCTCGCACCTTCGCTCCCTCGGTCGCCTCGGCAATTCAATGTACGTCCCACACGACACGAGGCACAGCACACACGACACGACACGACCAACGACACAAAACATGGGCTGACAGTTCACGCGGGGACCAGCTATGGGGACGAGCTGCTGTCACTGTGTACGATCGGCAATTGGCTGCTCCAGCTGCCCCACGAGGACCCAACCTCGCCCATCCGCCGCATTTCCTATGGCGCCGTACGCTCGCTTCTCCTCTCTTCTCGTCCGTCGTTCTCTTTCGTTCTTCTCTTTCGTTTTCCTTCTCTCTTTTCGTTCTTTCTAGTTCGCGCTGACCGTGACGTGGGTCACACAGTGCGCCAATCACCACACCACGGTGGTGCTGGACCGGGAGCCGGACGAGGCCGACCTAAAGGAATACTTGTTCCACCTGACCCGAGGTATCTCCCCCCCGCGCGTGGAATGACGATGTGCCGCCAGGCATTTCAGGAATGCTTAACAAATGTGTGGTGGTTTTGTGTTAGCGTTCGGACAGCGCAATCGGCCGCCTCCGCCTGGCGTGGCCGAGCGGCAGCGACTGGACCACATGCTCGTGCACCGACTCAACCGCTACATTGGCGTTTCCAGGTGCGTGCGCCCACCACGCTCACTCGCACGTGCGAGCACTCACCGACACGACACGACACGACACAAAAGAGAGGGCACGGTGGCGATGAGCTGGCCCACGGACGCGGCCAACCGACACTTTGAGGCCCACACGTGGCCCAAGCTGTTCCAGGGCGTCTATCTTATCCTCTGTCTGCACGCGTACGCATCACCCTCCCCGCCTCCGCCCCGCTCCTCGGCGTCTTCACGTAAATACAAACGAGGCGCGTGTGTCGTGCTGTGTTCGGTGTGTGTCGTATGTGCCGTGTGGTGTGTGCCATGTGTGTCGCGTTTTCCGTGGGTGCCGCGTGGAACGAGCAGACGCGGCGAGGCGAGCGTGCTGTCGGAGCTCTCCAATCTGTCGGCGTCGGCTGCCGAGCACCTGCGGCTGGAGTCGCTCATGGAGGGCGAGACGCTGGAGAAGCTCGAAAAGGACCGCACCTACCTGCGCTACCTCGCCGTACGGCGCCACCTTCATATTCCTCCATACTTCTTCGTCGACACTCAATCTCACACACGCGTGTCGTCCGTGTGTGTGTGTGTGTGTGTGGTTGAAACGTCGCAGGTGCTGCTCATCAAATACTCCCTGGGCATGAGCAGCGATGACTGCGGCGGCCTCTCCGAGTACTCACACTTCTTCTCCACCATGCGCCGAGTACTCCTCCCCTCTTCGTCTTGTTCGTGGTCTTTGTCTTCGTTCTTTGTCTTCGTTTTCGTTTTCGTTCTTTGCTAGCGAATACTTCTGTGACCCACATGTGGGTCCCTCCTCCACCTCTGCCTTCGCTCACCGCTGCACAACGCGGCTGGCCTCAGGTGCTGCGCATACCGGAGACGAGGCAGGAGATCCGGGAGGAGATCCACGACGTGCTGGGCATCGTCGAGGGCGGCTACCTCGAAGAACAACGACGACAGCTCCAAGAGGTTCTCTCCCTCCTCGCGAGTGTGCGACGTGTGCTGTGTTGTGTGCGATGTGTGCGATGTGTGCGACCTGCCGCCTTTTTTGCTGATGCCATGGTCGGCGTCGTTGGCATTGGGTCCGAACTACAGGAAAAGCGAGCGCAAAAGAAGAAGGAGAGGGAGCGCTACAAGAGCGACAGAGACAAGGATGCCCAGAAGCGTCGTATCGAAATCCTCCTCTCCATCATCGGTTCGCCCGTCCTCCCGCCAACGCGCGCGCACACACACACACACACAGACACACACACACATACACACACCGCCGCACGACACTCACACCACTATGCCACACACATGTGTGTAGGTGCGATCACGTTGCCGTTGGTGCTCGTGAGCGGCATCTGGGGCATGAACGTGCACGACCTGCCCGACCTGTCCTTCTGGCCGCTGCTGGGTGTCACCAGCGGCTCGTCGCTCATCTTCCTCGCCATCCTCCTCGGTTGGCTCTTCTTTCTCTCCCCGCGCCCCAGCACGTCGGCCAGGCGCGGCGGAGGCAGCGGCAGCGGCGGCGCCGGCATGACTCGCGGCGCGAACAACAGCAACGGCGGCTACACGTCGCTGGCGTCGACGGCGCCGTCGAGCCCGCGGTCATCGTTTGACGCCGAGCGTACGGCGACGATGAGTTCGCTAGCGGCGGGCACGACGAGCGAGCGGTCGCTGGCGTCGGCCTTTGCCGCGCTGTCGGGCATGGGCAAGGCCCACCGCGACCAACGGCCGGGCGAGCTGCACCACCACGACTACCTCACGCCCTCGCGGTCGCGCAATGAGCGTCAACGCCACAACGCCGCGCGTCTCGTTCAACCTCCCGCGCGACAGCGAAAATGGCGAGACTGCCAGCAACAGCACTGACAGTCGCACCAACGCACGCACGCACACGCACGACCTCTACTCGAACCCCTGGTAAACAAGAAGAGAGAAATTCGCACACACCGCACACACCGCACACCGCACGCACACACCGCACACGCAATACAACGAAGAAAAACAAACAAGTTTGCCCCATTGTTTCAAATTGGGGTCCTACAGGCCAACGGCGCATGCGTTGAGTTCAGAACCGGTCCATTAGGGCTCGAAGGCGGCGGCGACCAGGCGGGCGTCGTGGTTGAACTCGTACAGGTAGGACACCCTGCCGTCCACAAAGCGCATGTGGTGCACCATCTCGATGGCGATCGATTTGGCGGTGGACTGAACGGTGCCCTCGCAGCTGATGAAGACCACCACTTCGTCGCCGTCGGCGAAGAAGCGGGTGGGCTCGAATCTGGTCATGGCGATCTGGCGCTTATCGCGCACCCACGTCAGCACCTGCGCCCTCCCGTTGAGCTGGCCGCCGTAGGGGGCGCCCGTGCAGACGTGCCACTCGGTGTCGTCCGTGGCGAGCGCAGCCATTCCGTCGAAGTCACCAGCGCCAAACCGCGCGTAGATCTCCTTCGCCACGTCGATGTTGGTGGTCATCTTCTTCTTGTCCTCTTCTCGCAACACAAGACTCGTTGGTGCGGAGCCAGGCCGCAGCTCCCGAAGGCGTCCGGCTCAAGTTCATCGACGCTGATGTGGCTGCGCTGCGGGAGGCCGACGGCGCAGTGGTGGTGATCGACATCGTGGAGGGATGTTATGCCGCCATTGTCACCTGCGGTGAGCTCAGGCAGTGCCTGTCGCAGGCGCGCAGCATCAAGCCCGTCCTGGTTCTGACCAAGCTCGACCGCGCCTTTCTCGAGCTGCAGCTTGTAAACGTTCAAACCGCACACGCGCCACCGCACTCACACACACGCGCGCGCCACCGCACACTCACACACACACACGCACGCACACGCGCCACCGCACACACCCAACACGGCTCACTGGGGGGGGGGGGCAATGCCATGTGGTAGGATGATGAGGAGATCTACTCGAGTATGTGCCGATGCATTGAGTCGGTCAACAGATTTATCATCGACTTGCACAGGGGCGAGGGTGAGCCCAGCTTGGTTGAGCCTGACCAGGGCACTGTCGCCTTTGCCTCGGGCCTACACGGCTGGTGCGCGCCACTGACTTTACTCCCCCCCCCGGCCGCAACATCAATTCGCCTCGTCTTGACACCGAGTCACCATCATCTTCTGGACCACATTGCTTCTCAGTGATGACCTTTGCCACATTACTTGGCCAGAAGTTTGGTGTGGCACCTGCAATACTACAGAAACGTCTGTGGGGCGACAACTTCTACGATGCTGATGTTAAGAGGTGGTGCGGTGGATGAGGCTCCCTCCCTCTTTGCCTGGGCGGTGGTGATGATGGTGGTCGTGGTGGTGATGATGGTGATGGTGGTGGTGGCGCCAGGCGCAAGACCAACATCTCGCCTACGACTGGCAAGAGGCTGGATCGAGGCTTCTGCTATTTCGTGCTGAGCCCCATCCGCTTCATTCTCACAGCGTGTCTGGGCGGCCCTGAGCAGCGGGAGGCCCTCGACAAGGCCCTCCTCAAGCTGGGCATTGAGCTCCAGCCTGAAGAGAAGGCTCTCCAGGGCAAGGACCTCATGAAGTGTGTCATGCCCAAGTTCCTCCCTCTTGGCACGGCACAGCACCCATCCTGTCCTCCTTGCACTGCTTGGTTTCTGCTTTCATGACGCTTACCTTCTTGGACCCAAACAGCCCCTGGTGGAGATGATAGTGGTTCATCTGCCCTCACCAGCCGTGGAGCACAAGCAGAACTGACACTGTGCGGAGAGGTATTAATTGATGAATTGCAAAAAATTGTTTCTTTTAAATACAAAAAAGGAAAAAGATAATCTTAAAACTTGTTGAAGTTGTTTGGTTGAGGGGCACGAGAGCCACAAGCCCGCGGCAGCACACCATGGTTGGGCTTCGCCATTTCCTCCTCCTTCTGGTCGCCTTGGCGTCGTGCCTGGCTGCCGTTGTGGCTTCTGCTGCTGGAGGCGACGCCGGCAGGCCCAGGTGGCACGAACTGCTGGAAAGCGCCATTGCGGTGGACACGTCAGACGAGACGGTCGTGAAAGCAGCCCTGGTACACTTGACCTTCTTCTTCCTTTTCTGCCTCACTTCTTCACTTGGCGCATGTATCACCCTCCGCACTGTCGCAGTACGCGGTCGACCGCGTATCGGAGGCCTATGCCAAGGTGATGGGCTCACCGCACTACATCGCTCGAGTGGCCGCCGAGCCCTATTTTGTGCTGGAGAGCATCCAGAGAGCCTTCCTCAGAGTGCAACCCCCCTCTCCTCCTCCTGCCTCTTCCACCTCTTGAAGAGAAGTGTACTTGTGGTGGGCCTGGGCGCGCCAGAAGCCGGGAGGCAAGTACTGCCTGGAGCTGGTGTTGAACAACCCCGTGGCCACCTCCAACCTGGGCGCCGTCCAGTACTTGACTGACCGTCTGCGCGCCACCCCCGAGCTCGGCCCCCTCTTCACCCGCTGGCGGTACCGTCACGCCACACACGACGCACACGGCACAACACGACACACGACACACGACACGCACGAAGTTGACAGTCGCGGCCCACAGCACAGAGCGAAGGCAGGAGGAGACGCGCTTGAACAACGAGGGCAAGGATGAGCCCTACAACCCGCTGCAGCCCTTGACGCGCCGCGACAGCGCCAACGCCGACATGCTGCCGCGCCACCTGCGGGCCTTCTTCATGGGCCTCGACCCGATCCAGGACGCCAACCAGCCGGTCCTGCTCGGTGCCACGCCCGAGGTGCATCGCGTGGTGGTCAGCATCGACCCTCTCGACGGCGAGTTCGAGGTGCAGTTCCATCAGCGCGTGAGCCACACGCACGAGCGACAGCAAGACGACGCGGGTGACAGGACTGTTGAGCTTCTTCTTTGAAGAAGAAAAGAGTTGGTAGGCAGTTGGTAGATGAACCTTGTTAATCTTGCTTGCCTGACTGCCTTCTCTTCTTGGAGCTGCTGCTGTTGGATGTCTGCTGTTGACGAGAGGATGAAGACGAGTAGGAGGACGAGGCGGGCTGTTGCTGGGTTCGTTGGTGCTGCGAAGGGTAGAAGCTGGTGTTGGTGGCTCGGCTTGAAGCTCCGCCGCCGACTCTGCCGCGACCTCGGCCTCGGTTCGCTGTCAACGCGGAAGGCAGGGCCTGGAAGAACTGGTCCATCAGCTGCCGGCCCTGCCGCGTCCGTGCCAGGAAGGCCAGCAGTCCCATGTTGGCCGCAGCTGCCGTGTAGTAAGGCACCTAAGGCAAGATGATGTCAAGATTAGAGAGATGCTGCATTCACCCAGACGGCACGAGTACCTGAAACGACGACTTGGCGGTCTTGTGCCTAAAGGTCTGCATGGCCAGAATGCCGCCTGCCCAGCCTGCACGATGCATTTAAAAAAAATGTAGGATGGATGTAGTGCCAATTGCAAAATGAAAGGATGCTTAATCTTTGCGAGCGAGCGATGAAGAGCTGGCAGAACGTGAAAGTGGTTGGGGGTGGCTTGGGGGGTTACCTCCGGCAAGAGCGGAAAGCTGGAGGGTCGATTCGCGAACGCGCCACTGATGCCGAATGGCACACTGCTTGTCGTAGTAGAACAGACCAGCCGCCCCAACGTTCACCGCCACCAGGTAGGCTCCAACGATCATCATCCGCATACGCGACGCCGACCCTCCGCCCGTTGCCATCTTCGTCTTCCTTCTATTTTTCTATTTTTTCTATTTTTCTATTTTTATAAAATCTAATCTAAAAACAATTTCCTATTTTGTGATATTTGTGCCATTCTTTTTTCATTTTCTTTCCGACGAACACGCAACAAAAGTTGTGTCTGCTCAGTTGAGTATCGAGCCGATGGCCATGCTGCGCGACGTCTTCTTGGCTTGGCCGTAACGAAGCCCACACCCATTGCACAACCTATATAACAGATATATCTCTTAGCACCATCCAACGGATACGGACGGTGCGCCACACGTGACAAAGCCAAGACACGTACGTGAGGCCACTGGGTCCCCGACGCCACGTTGGTGACTTAGTGGCGCTGCACTGTGCACAGCTGCGCTGCGTGGTCGGTGGTTTGTTCTTTTGTGTCGGCCCCGAGTATCATGGACCTCAGCCAATCAGTGGTCTGCGCCTCGTTTTGTGTGGGGGGGGAATGTGGTGGGACTGGGGTGGGGGCAATATACCGAGCGGCGGGCGGGCGGCAGCTTCTTGACGTGGCATGTAGGAGAAGTCGATGGCGAGGTCGAAAGGGTCGGCGACGAAGAGGGCGAAGATGGAGGAGACGGTGAAGAGAAAGACGAGGTTGCCGTAGTAGAGTTGTGTGTAGAGGAGGAAGACGTCGTTGCCGAGGTACTGTCAGAGGATGATGTGACCAAGGAGTCACGCCTCGCGGGAGTAGTGGAGGTGGTGCTGCTCTGGTAAAGCCCATAGGCCATGCGCGCCAGCCGCTCGTTGTACTCGAGCATTCGCGCCGACGGCAGGAGATCCTCACCAGCAGTGTCATGCGTCGGGTGGTGAACCCAGGTAGGCTGGGGCTCGTCCTGCCAAGAAGAGCGCACGGGAAGTTGATGCCACGGGCAAGGCTGATGATGATGCTGGTGGTGGTGTCGATGCCGAACGTAAGCGCCATCATCATACCCGGGCGCAAGGTCAATGCCAAGGCTCGTAGCGCTGGCGGATGTGCTCGTGCTGTAGTCCAGCTCATGAGGGTAGTACGAGGGGTAGGGGTGGTAGCCCAACCCTGGCGGGTACTGCTGCCCATCGTACGATGGGTGTTGATGTTGCTGATGGCGCAGTGCCAACGAGCGCCTGAGCATCTAGAGTAGTAGCACCAGAGGGCATCAACTGTGAGACCCCACCGAGCGAGCGAGACCGAAGAGACCAGGTACCGAGTGGTGGGACCGTGCTTCGGTTGGGCCAGGGAAGTAGACGCTGCTGCTGGCCATGTTGGTTGTATGAGGTTCAGGAGCAAATGGTCTGCTGCTGGCACGTGGGGAAAAACGGCACCCGTGTGTTTGAGTGGTAGTCGTTTGTGAGGTGTTTGGCCAATGGCCGAGCTCGGTGGAGCAGCTCACCTTGCAACAGAGCACCACAGCGACGTTTCGCTTTCTGCGACGCCAAACGGTCATGTTGAGATTATTCCCAGTGCTGGCTGGTTGGCTGCTGCATGCCACATAAATAGAGCCCTATCAGAGCCTCGATCAAGTGTGGAAAATCAGGTGTAGGCGGCGGAAGCTCTCCGTCGATTTGTTGTGTGGCGTGCGTGTTGCTTGACGCAAGTTCCGACCGCCTCCATGAGCGCAGTTGCTTGGGTTCGGTTCACCCACCAAGAAGCCAAAACTACTTACCTTGGCGTACCTTGCCCACGAGATAGACGCCAGAGCGGGCTGCCCTTCAACGCGATGATTCTACGGACGGAAGTGGAAACTGCTTTTAGAGTTGCGAGTGGTCCAGCAGTGCTACTGCGCATCAAGGGTGGATCAGGCGAAGAAGCCAGGGGTAGTGGATGTCCGGCTGGTAGGTAGCAGCTGTTGCCGTTTGATCGCTTTCCGCCGAACCGCCACCACTGATGCCGTGCGACAGTAGCTCTTGATGGCGTGACCACACGAGGCGATCATACTCCTCGTCAACCTGCACGCGCCATTCCTTTGAGAGCGCAGAGAACGAGGTGAGTGGTCCTGCCTGGCCACAGCACAAATAGAAAGGGTGGAGTGCAGGGTGTACCACTACAGTATCTTGCTTGGCCCGCTCGACGAATGCCGCCAGCGTGCGGCCCCTTCTCGGCGCGATGATGAGCGCCTCCCCGCCGGGACGCAGAAGCTCACGCAGGATGTGAAGCAGATCGTCGTGGTACTCGTGCAGGAACAAGCTGGCACCACGATCAATCCAACCAATCAATCAATCAGCGGCGTGTGTGGATCGCCACGAGGAGCAAAGGTGGTGATGATGACGAGGGAGAGAGCTGGTCTGATTCTCATCTGGCTCGGGGGAAAACGTACCAATCAGCGGCGACGACCAAGTCAAAATAGGATCGGTAACGGTCAGCGATCGGGCACCGACGATCCCACAACAGCTTCTCGCCGCGCACGAACCCTCGGCTCTCCGACCGAACGGCGTTGTGTTTCACGCTGCAAGCAAGATCTGAATTTGATGCATGGGTGAGAAAATCACACACAACACACAACACACGGACAGAGTACGCACTCTGCGTGGCCTTGTCGTTGCCGTCCGTGATGAGAACAGAGGCACAGGAGAGGTGGGTCGCTGCCACGAGACCTGCAAGCCCAAGGCCAGCACCCACTTCGCACACGCGCTTGTTTCTGCACACGTGCGGCGAGGGACCGAGGGATCCTCAGCACGCACATATCGTCGTGGCGTTGAGAGGGAGGTGGACCCAACCTGAGCTGCTCAGGGTTCTGGAGGCAGTAGTATGCCAGCACTTCCTCTGATGGCCACACACCTGCATGAACCCGCAGATAGACGGGGAGTGTGAGGCCTTGGCTGCCCGCCACAAAGGAGGACTAAGCCGTACAGATGTTGCCCGTGTTGTCGAAGCCTGCAAGATCGGCCTTGCCCAGCGCTACTCGCTCATTCGGATGCCGTACCACCACACTGCACGGCAGGTCGGCGCCTGCCTTGTCATCTTCGGCGGTCTTGGTTGGAAATCGCGCCGTGTAGCGAACGAATGTGAAATCTTGCTTCGATTCGTCTTCGCTCTCCGTCGACCTTCAACGTGGTTCAGCTCCTCTTCGCGAACTACGGCTTTGGTGAAGAGATCGAATCCTGGGAAGGTCCGCTTCGACGTTGCACCGCCAGGTTCGCCGTCGCCTCCCTCATTCCTTCTTGCCCGATTCAACAGAGCGTTGCGCAGGATGCCCCACCTCCCACGCGCCACCTGCCTCCGTCGCAGCTGTTCCTCCTTCTCTATGGCCTCTAGCCCTCCATCTTCATCGAGCTCCATTTGCTCTTCCCGCCATAAATAACCACAAATAAATAATTGGCATAATCCAGCTTGGCCGAGAGACAAGAAGACGGCTCCACCCGTGGGAGAAGATGATGGCGATGGTGGCTACAAGTTCTTTTAAAAAAAGGGGATGAAGAGTAGCAAAAGAGAAAAAGGGGTCGGTGGGCCTTGGGGTGGTGTGTCTTCAGGCCTTGGCTCCGCCGGAGGAGGAAGCCCTGATGGGCGCAAAGTAGGGGTGCTCCATCGCCTCGATTGCCGTCAGGCGCTCCTGGTGGTCGTACCTGTACGCAGGTTGTAGAAGAAGACGCAAACATAACGTGAACGCCAGGTCAGACCAGGTCAGCCATCACAGGTGGTGCGGGGGTTGGATGGAGTTGGTGGTGGTGGTCGTCGGTCACTCACCTGAGGAGCTTGTCGAGCAGGTCGATGGCCTCGGGCACGGCAAGCTTGTTGTTTTTGCTCTTGATGAACTTCTTCCAGGGCTTCCTCTGGCGCGTGCCGATGGCGGACCTGAAGCGGGCGTCGAGCTGGATGTTGTACTTCTTCAGATAGGCGTACAGCTTCTCCGTACCTGCATGATGCAGCACAAGCACAAGAAGTGCGAGTGTAAGCAACCATCTACCGGCGAAGCAGCATTTGGTGTGGCGGTGGCATGTGCGTTGAGTGCGCGTGTGGTCGCGTGTGCATACCAAGAACTTTGGCGATCTTGACGAGCTGGTTCTGGTTGTCGGAGCCGCAGAAGAATGGCTGCTTGTTGAAGAGGATACCGGCGAACATGCATCCGAGGGACCACATGTCGAGCGAGTAATCGTACATCTGGTAGCCCACCAGGAGCTCGGGACCCTTGTAGTGCCTCGACGCCACTCGCACGTTGTACTCCATGTCTGCGAGCGCAAGCGTGAGCGCATGGCACATGAACAAGACGTCGGCGAGAAGTATTAACTGACTGGGTGGCGAGGAAGGGCGTACAAGGGTGATAGAACTCGGCCAAACCCCAATCAATAAGACGAAGCTGCCTCTTCTGATGGTCGATCATCACGTTCTGTGACAAATCAAATGATAAATCGGATTCAGCGAAAAGGGACATCACGGCGATCGCGAGGTTCAAGAGGTGCGCACCTGAGGCTTGACGTCCCGATGCATGACGCCATTCGAGTGGGCGAAATCGAGAGCCCGTAGGAGTTCATACATGTAGAAGCGGCAATCAAAGTCGGAGAAGTTGGCATAGAGGTGCTTGTAGGGGGTGTTGTTGATGAATTCGAAGATGAGGCAGGGTGTCTTCGTGTGCGGGTTGCGCACTACGTCAACGAGACGCACTACGTTCGTTCCGCCGTTGAGGTTCTGCAAGATCTTGATTTCGCGCCTATTGATTCGAGGTGAGCCCTTCAATCACGGGAACAGGAATTGTTCTTTCTAGCTGTTCGGCAAGGATGAAGAATGAATTGAGGTATACCTGATTTTCTTGTCCCGGACGGGCTTGAGGACTTTGATGATGCATTTCTCGTTGTCTCTGACGTTCATGGACTCGAACACCTCACTGTACTTGCCGCGTCCCACCTTGCAAATGATTTCGTAGTCATCCTGGCCGCCCCATTGCACCACATGATTTTCGTAGTCCGAGTACTCTGGTGGTCGCTTCTGATTGATGTCTGGATAGACTCGCGCCACACTCTTCACATGCTTGCTCTCCTTCGACGTGGCCATTGTTTTCCCCTTCCTATCGCTCTTCTTCTTCCGAAGCTCTTCTACTTCCCTCCTCGCCTCAGGCCCTTGAAACGAGTCTCCAAGGCCCTCTTTCTCAAAGAAGAAGATACTATCCTCTCGCTGACGCGAATGGATGGATGGGGGCGAGAATGGGGTGGAAGGGATAATCGATCTCCTAACCCACGGGCCACTTCTTGTCTCTGGAATGCACAGACTCCGCTAAAAACGAAAAAATATGAAAATATGCAAACAATTCCGGTCTATTCTTTTTCGGTTTGTTTTTATTTTGTGCGGAAGATGGAGGTGGTGGCGCTGGTGAGCGGTGGGAAGGACAGCTGCATGTCTATGCTTGAGTGTGTGCGTGTCGGGCATCGCATAGTAGCGCTTGCCAATCTGCTTCCGCCTCCCTCCGCTCCAGGTACATGAATTTTCATCTATTCCTTCTTCATCTGTAAGATGGGGCAATGACACCATGGGCACAGATGAGCTGGACAGCTTCATGTTCCAGACGGTAGGACACACCGTGCTGCAGTCCTACGCGCAGTGCATGGGCCTGCCCCTTTTCCGCCACACCATACGGTACGCTACACGGTGTACTCCACCCGCTCGCCTCGGCACTATGGCCCACATCCCCTTTTCTCGTCGGCTCGCTGCAGAGGCAAGGCACTCAATCAGGACCTGCATTACGCCAAGACACAAGAGGATGAGGTCGAGAGCCTCTACGTCTTGCTCAAGGAAGTCAAGAAGAGGTGAACACCATGCGCCACACACAGTAACTGTATGAGCTCGCGCACACTTACACAGTCATGCCTGGAGGCCAGGTTTCCGAACGTGCAGGGTGTGGCCTCCGGCGCCATCCTCTCCGACTACCAGCGCTTCCGCGTCGAGAACGTGTACGTTCATCTTTTTGAATCGACACGATTACACCACAAACGCGAACGGGCCAGACGCCAACTGCGCGCGTTGGTGAATGGTGGGAAGACCTCATCGCTATGTCCGGCCGCGTGTGCAGGTGCGAACGACTGGGCCTGGTGTCGCTGGCCTACCTGTGGCAGCGGGACCAAAAGGAACTCCTCCAGGAGATGACCGAGGTGCCGATCGATGCCGTGCTCATCAAGGTGCGCGCGCGCACCTCCAAGCCAAATGCCCTTTTGGCTGCTCTACTATCCTTAACACGCGCGCAACGCGCAGGTGGCCGCTTTGGGTCTGGATCCCTACAAGCATTTGGGCAAATCGATCACCGCCCTGCGGCCACTCCTTTTTCGATTGGTACTGCTTTCTCTTCTCTCTCTCTCTCTACAATCCTCCGATCGCGTGTTACGATGATGAGCGACGGTCAGTGTTGCTCACTGGGTTCGTTTTCGTTTTCGTTTTCGTTTCGCTTTCTCTTCTCTGCGCAGAGTGATGAGTATGGCTGCCACCCTTGCGGCGAGGGAGGCGAGTACGAGACGCTGACCCTCGATTGCCCACTCTTCCGCTACAAGATCGTACTGTACGGGGCTCTTCTCTGGCGACTTCTCTTCTCATGGTAGTTGTACCTGATCGTGTCTTGTGCTTTGCCCCTAGAGATGAAACGGAGGTGGTCATACATTCCGACGACCAGTTTGCTCAGGTGGGTTACTTTCAAATCGCCAAGCACCACCTCGAACCCAAGGCCGATTACGACGCCAGCTTGGTTTCTGGCGGTGAGGTAAATGTTGCCCAGTGGTCCTCAGTCATGTCGCCATGGCAGGCAGCTCATTGCTGTCGTGGGCGTGGGTTGTGCGTGCCGTGTCGTGTCGTGCGCCACGGGCTTCGTGTGACGTTGAGGCATCAGGGTATTGTGTACGATGTGTGGAAGGAGTTGCCCGACGAGCTTCCCCAATGCACTGAAGCCGAGGTCGCTGTCGACGCCGCTTCTACCACTCATGGCGAACTCCAGGCGGCAGAGCCCCTGGACATCTCCCTCTCGCACGGCGCTCAAGGTGCGCGCACACGCTCTGCCACGTATTTATCTGTTTGCCGCTCGGCGACTGACCCTGCATTCAGGACAATTCTTTGTGCGTGGCTCTGTCGCTCCACGCCAGCGAAATGCCGAGGCGGTGAGCACCGTCGAGTCGCAGCTGGACCAACTCTTTGCCGCCATAAAGGGTAGGAAGC